AAAGTTTGATCATTTTTATTTAAACGTTTATTTTCTTGTTGAAACTGAGAGAAAAACCCTTCGCAGTTTGTGATCCGGCAGTGAGTGAAGGATGGCGGAGAAGAGGAGGGCGATACACGTCACAGCGTCATTTTAAAATAATAACAAAGCTGCCAGAAATATATGTTAAAGCCACAGTATGTCACTTTTTAACCACTAAATACATACAAAAAAGGGTGTGTTGTTTGTTTTTTTCATTTTGGTTGTGTTTATTGCTTTGAAAATTTTACAAAAGCGTGCGTCCTGACTGTGAGCGGGCTCGCATCTCCACAAACCTGACTCCTGCTTTTTGTTTCCATGGAAATGTTACTCCTTTCAGGGTTCTCACTCTTTTTCACTGACAAAATTTTAAAACTTTTCCTTGAATTTTCCCATGACTTTGACACCTACATGTGGAGAATTGATCAGACTTTTAGGGCTAAATATGAAATGTGAACTCCTTCCGGTCTAAACCAGGACTAAACCAGGACTAAAACAGGTCTAAACCAGGTCTGAACCAGGACTGAACCAGGACTAAACCAGGTCTAAACAGGACTAAACCAGGTCTAAACCAGGACTAAACCAGGTCTAAACAGGACTAAAACAGGTCTAAACCAGGTCTAAACAGGACTAAACCAGGTCTAAACCAACTAAAACAGGTCTAAACCAGGTCTAAACCAGGTCTAAACCAGGTCTAAACCAGGACTAAACCAGGTCTAAACTAGGACTAAAAGAACTAAAACAGGTCTAAACAGGACTAAAAGGACTAAAAAACAGGACTAAAAAGGTCTAAAACAGGTCTAAACCAGTCTAAACCAGGTCTAAAACCAGAACTAAACCAGGTCTAAACTAGGACTAAAACAGGACTCTAAAACAGGTCTAAAACCAGGTCTAAACCAGGACTAAACCAGGACTAAACCAGGTCTAAACCAGGACTAAACCAGGTCTAAACCAGGACTAAACCAGGTCTAAAACCAGGACTAAAAAAAACCTAAAACTAAACCTCTAAACCAGGACTAAACCAGGGTCTAAACCAGGTCTAAACCAGGTCTAAACCAGGTCTAAACCAGGTCTAAAACCAGGTCTAAACCAGGACTAAACCAGGACTAAACCAGGTCTAAACCAGGTCTAAACCAGGTCTAAACCAGGTCTAAACCAGGACTAAACCAGGACTAAACCAGGACTAAACCAGAACTAAACCAGGTCTAAACCAGTTCTAAACCAGGACTAAAACCAGGACTAAACCAGGTCTAAACCACATGTATGGAATTGATCAGACTTTTAGGGCTAAATATGAAATGTTTTCCACTCACCTTATGGTTTGGTTTTATAGTTTTTTAACCTTCAAAATCCTGTCAGTGCTTTTATTTTTATTATCTCTTTTAACCAAAAGGAGCAGAAATAATCAGAACAGTCTCATGAAAACTTAACAGAACGCCGTGGTAGCATGAAAGAGATACTAAAACTCCATAACTTTTACAAAACTTTCATTGAATTTACAGAATTCCATAACTTTTCCAGACATGGAAAATGACATTTTCAATTTTCATGCCTTTTCCAGAATTTCCATGACCGTGGGAACCCTGCCCTTTGGCTATAATCTTCCACAGAATGGCATAAAATGTGTCTATCATCATGGAGAATGTTCCTTAGTATGGTTTTAACTTTGTTTCCATGGAAGCGAGCAGGAGTCACCTCTAGAAAGTTACGCACTGTAGCTTTAAAATGGAAAAGAAAAAACGTGTCAATATTTAAACAGGGATCATATTTATTATACATGTATTTATAAGGAGATAGTTCTGCACGTCTGCGGTTAAAGCTGCACTGTGTAACTTTCCTGATTAGGGCTCCACCGTCTGCTTGTCTCCATGGAGATGTTGCTGCTTTGCCCGGAATGTTCCGCAGTGACGCATTAAACTTGTAAACCTTTAAGTCACTCAGCTTGATTTGTCGTTTTATGTACGTTTAATGACATACCGTGGAACATTCCGGGCAAAGCCATAACATCTCCACGGAAACCCCCCACCCACACACACTAGAAAAGTTACATAATGAAACTTTAATTGCAAAAACATAATTATAGTTATTGTAATAATTTAAGACCTGACGAGCTTTCTGCCGGTATCGCCGTCCTCCTCGCCGAGTTATGAACCAAAAGAAACACGCGGAGAAATATTAACAGCCATTTATCCATTTTTAAATACACATTTTAAGATCTTTCTTTTACATTTTTGCATTGTGCGGGACTTGGCATTGCATAATTGTGGTATAAAAACATAAAAATCCTCCCTTTATACAGACTACTGCTCATAGATATATTTACAAATGATAATTCACGTAAAGGGCCAATATCACGCTGCTTTCTGATCGACGTTATAATGTCGTTTCCTCATCACAAAATAGATCTGGAGTTGTATTTTGTGTTTTCATTCACACACAAACTTTCAAACACAAACTAAAAACACATTGTTCCATTGTTGTGATGTCATGTGGTGATACAGGAAGTGCTCCATTGTGGTTGTTAAACTCCAGACACTCCATAGACCAAGAGTTTTTGTTTTTGTTTATGCGACACATTTGACATTTTCACAGTTTTGATGATTAAAATGTTTGTGTTTCATATGAACTTTGCACAAAAAGTGGTTTAACAAAGACTTTTAGTATCACAGACGTGATTTAGACTTTATTTTTTATTGAACTGTGCCAAAACGATTTGAAATATATCGTATCGAAAGCTCACTGTATGGAGATCTGTGTCATATCGGCCCGTCATCATCCAAAGTCGTCATCATCCAAAGTCGTCGTCGTCATCCAAAGTCTTCGTTGTCCAAAGTCATCCAAAGTTTTTTGGTCCAAAGTTGTTCAAAGTCGTCGTCATGCAAAGTTGACGTCATCCAAAGTCATCGTTGTCCACGGTTGTCGTCGTCCACAGTTTTCGTCATCCAAAGTCATCCTCGTCCACCGTTGTCGTCATCCACAATCATCGTCCAAAGCCGTCGTTGTCGAAAGTCGTCGTCGTCCAGTCATCCAAAGTCTTCATTGTCCAAAGTCATCCAAACTCGGCGTTGTCCAACATCGTCGTCATCCAAAGTCGTTTTCGTCTAAAGTCGTCCAAAGTCGGCGTCATGCAAACTCGACGTTGTCCAAAGTCGGCGTCGTCCAAAATCGGCGTCGTCCAAAGTCGTCCAAAGTCGTCAAAGTCGTCCAAAAGTTGTCCAAAGTCGTCCAAAGTCGTCCAAAGTCGTCCAAAGTCGTCCAAAGTCGTCCAAAGTCAGCGTCGTCCAAAGTCATCCAAAGTCATCCAAAATCATCCAAAGTCGTCGTCCAAAGTCATCCAAAGTCGTCATCCAAAGTCGTCCAAAGTCAGCGTCGTCCAAAGTCCATGCACTTTCATTTCAGCAACATCTTCCTTTTGCTCAGTTCACTTTAAACTACCACTACATGACATCACAAGGTGGAATGCAGCATTTCGAGCTTTGGGAATGTAGACAGACTCATAATAAAAGTTTTACTCGCGTGTGAATGAAACAGAACACAACTCCAGGTCAGTTTTTGAGGAGGAAACATCGTTCGAACGTGACTAAATGTGCGTAATATCGGCCCTTTAACGACACAGACAGACTGTATAAAAACATGCAACCGAGCCCATTTGAAATCCAGGCAAATGTAAAACTACGTAAGAAGTCCGATGTAGTGACGTTTTTTTAGTATTTTCTGTGTAAATAAATGCAAAACATGATGGCAGACGGAAAAACAGTTCGGTTCATGGCGAGTTTGGTCGTTAAGGTGTTTCCTCTGGATTAAAGGCTCTGTACCTGATTTTTTTTTTTTCAGATACTGCATCTCAAGAGCTGATTATATGATCTAAGTCAGCCGCATGCCTCCTAATTAGAAAGCGTTATATTCTCCGGAAATCAGGAGGTGCGTATTAGCATGCTAGTTGTTGTTAGCATTACCGTGTGTCATTCGTTCTTTCGTGTTTCAAAATAAAATCAAAAGAAAGAAAATGAAAACAAAAAACAACTATTTTCTTGTAATTATTTGTCGCCAAAACCAAAATGAAAAAACAGATAATGATTTGTTTTTTTAGTTTTTCGATTTTGTGTTTAAATAAATAATGGAAAAAAGGATAAAGGATGTTTTTCGTTTCCGTGACTTAAACTGCGATGCCGGACTGAACCAGGTCCAAACCAGGTCTAAACTAGGACTAAAACAGGACTAAACCAGGTCCAAACCAGGTCTAAACTAGGACTAAAACAGGACTAAACCAGGTCCAAACCAGGTCTAAACTAGGACTAAAACAGGACTAAATCAGGTCTAAATTAGGTCTAAATCAGGACTAAACTGGTCTCAGTCCTGATCACCCCACAGCCTATGTGGGTGCACCTCTGGGCCCGTCCTGACACTCAGTCCTGGTTTAGTCCTGGTTTAGTCCTGGTTTAGACCTGGATTAGTCCTGGTTTAGTCCTGGTTTAGTCCTGGTTTAGACCTGAATTAGACCTGAATTAGACCTGAATTAGACCTGTTTTAGACCGGTTTCAGTCCTCGTTCAGTCCTGGTTTAGTTCTAGTAAAGACCTGGCGCAGTCCTGGTTCAGTCCTGGTTTAGTCCTGGTTCAGTCCTATTTTAGTCCTGGTTTAGACCTGTTTTAGTCCTGTTTCAGTCCTAGTTCAGTCCTGGTTTAGTCCTGGTTTAGTTGTAGTTTAGACCTGGTTTAGTCCAGGTTCAGTCCTGGTGCAGTCCTGTTTTAGTCCTGGTTCAGTTCTTGTTCAGTCCTGTTTTAGTCCTGGTTTAGTCCTGGTTTAGTCCTGGTTTAGTCCGGCATCACAGTTTAAGTCTCGGAAACGGGAAACGTCCGTTATCGTTTTTTCCGTTAATGACTTAATTAATTTATGAATTTAAACACAAAATCAAAAACTGAAAAAATGAATCGTTATCAGTTTTTTCATTTTAGATTTGGAGACAATAAATGAAGAAAATAGTTGTTTTTTCATTTTCTTATATTTGGTTTTATTTTAAAACACAAATGAACGGATGTTACACAGATTCTAAACACTTTGTTGTGAGTAAACAGAAAGTTCTAAATGCATAAAGGTGAGTGAGGAAGAACTTTGTTTAAAATGAACTAGTTCTGTTTTTCAGTAAAAATAAGGTACAGCGCCTTTACACATAAAGGAGAGTAAATAAAATTCTTTCTTATAATTGAATAAAATAGTATTCGTAGCAGCATCAGCAGAGTGTAAACTAGGACATACCTAAAACTTACGGCGCACACACATAACGGGGTTTGTAATGTAAATATTCGTTGACGTAAAGCACTTAGTAGTCAGGCATGCACACGTGTTCCCTCCACGGTCCTCCGGGTGGCGCTACAGGAGGCGAAGGCACTGAGAAGTCGGAGTCGGCCGCTTACGGGTCAGTATTTAGGTAAACTTTCTCTGGCGTCCTCCAGTTTGGCAAGAACCCACTGAAAAACACAAATCATTTTCAAGAATAAGCAGACGGGATAAAACACCGAAAACAGGTGAAGAAACTATTGTAGCCACAGCTGCCCTGGGGCGAACCAACAAGTATGGCTGCTCATCGGCCCCTCCCAACGCCATCAACACTGACTCCCACATTCACACATAATGGCTGTTGCAAACTACAGGAGAATTTTCCCGATTTTGGCTGCGATTTGCTTCTCCACGAGTTCAAGGCGACGTGACCCGACTTTGTGTCTTCGCGTGTGATTTTGAAGCCGCTGCTCCTCGTGTTTGTGACTCTGAGCTGCTCTGTCAGATCATAACCACCAAATTTTAACTTCTTGGGTTCTATTTAAAGACAATATAGTAAAGTGTATTTACCTTGTATTTATTTGTGCCCCGACACAATCCATATGTGCTTATTTCTTTTACTTTGGTCTGATATGGCGGAGTTTAGGTTTTCCTGCTCTGTTTCGTCTTTTTGTGTTCTGGTGAGTCTCCCTGATGTTTCCTTTTTTCTAAAATCAATGACAACCGAAACCATCCTGTCGGGATTCACAAAGGCCGGAATAATTCTAACTGGAACTGATGCTGAGTCTGACGACAGCGACACAGAAGAGGAAGCGGCGCTCTGTTTACCTCCGGAGGTCGTGGAGTTGCTCAGAAGTGACACCGAGGATGAAGAATTGAATGGATTTAGTGATTTGGAGTGAGATGTTTGTTAAACTTGTTCTGTTGTTTATGTTATATTTATCTAAAGAACTGTTCATATGTGACGTTAACAGTCTGTTGTTCTCTCTTCTATTGTTTTTACTAGAACTTGAAATATCAGTTCCTTGTCTTTGAATTTCCCCCAAAAGAGCAACAAAGTCTGGTGTGACTTATATATGTTTTTATCTTCTTCATTTTGCATTTTTTGACTGGTACGAATTATACTCTGGAGCGACTTATAGTCTGAAAAATACGGTAATTAATTTTTTTCAATCATACACACTTTTTTTTTTTTATATTTTGATTTAATAATGCAGCTGTCTTTGTTTTAAAATATATTCTGTGTGTAAAAGGCGATACGGTGATGCGGTGGTTAGAAATCTCTCCCCACAGACCAGAGAAGCTCCTGGGTTTGACTGGGTTTGATTGTGGAGTTTCCATGTTCTCCCCGTGCGTAGTTTCCTCTCGTCGCTCTGGTTTCCCCTTCCAGGACTCCCCTCTAAACAAGACTCTCTACTCTCTATCTCTGTGGGACTTTCCTGGCTAAATAAAGGCCAGTAAAATGCAAACGCCGAGGGGTTTCGGGAACTGAACCCGGGAGCTTCCTGCTGCGAGGCGAGTTTACTGTACTGCGCCGCGCCGCTTTGGACCCACACTGACCTTGGCGATCTCTGGAGTCTTGAAGTTGATGATCTTCCCAAACTCCTTGGCGTGAAACACAGACTTGACTCTCTCCTGAAGGAAACAAAAAGGACAAAAAAAAAAAAAGAAACGTAAATGTTATAATGTTTGTTAGTTTTGTTTCACCTCTGTCCCACATTGTGATGTCATGTGGTACAGAAACCGCTCTACTGTGTTTTTAAACTCCACACACCTTCACTAGAATCATGTGAATAGTTTCAGCCTTGGAACTGTCGATCTCTACTGAACTAAAAGTAAAAGGAGCTGTTAACATGAAAACTATCGCTTCATGACGTCACAAGGTGGCACAGAGCATTTTGATCTTAGACAGACTAATAATGAAGAATTTCTCAAACATTTGTGGATAAAATAAAACAACTCCAAGTGTTTTTAAGGAGGCAACCTTTATATTACAAACAGGCAAATCAGAAAACTGGAGCTCTTTAGATGAGCTACTGCTAATAAAATCGCTTTAAGGCCTATTCATACTTCATAAGAACATAAGAATAAGAATCATTTTGTTTGTCCGGTTCCTGTTTATCAGTTCTCGACACCTCAGCTGAGCAGAACATTATTCGTTTCGGCAGCGCTGTCCAGCATCTTCGCTCTGATTGCTTATTTACATGTGTGTGGTTTATCTGATTCTTTGCCGGTGCGGATCAAGAAAAAAGAACGTATGGTTTTGAGTCAAGGCTGACAGAAATGGTGAGAAAATACAAACATCTAAATGACATGATGCTCAATAACTATAAAGACGCCGAGTGGCAAGAAATTCATGGAGGGAGATCGCAGACATTTTAGGCTCGGACGAAAATCGGTGTAGAAATGTTTGGGGTAATCTCCGTGACAAGTTTGTGAAAGCCAAAAGGTGGGTCACCAAAAAAGAACGATCAGGCTGGAGTACGAAAAGAAATACACTCAAAATAAACCTGGGCAGGGGAGAGCGAGAGGACGGAGCAGGTCGGCAGCAGAACATCTTTTGAGGTATGAAATGTCAGAGTAAATCAAAAATCACAAACTTTGGTCTCTAGTTTTCTCACTGCTGTCTCTGAACATCCAGAAGTCTACTGAACAAGCAGCCTCCTGCTCATCAGCTCATACATCTCTTAGAACTCACTAGTGCTGTCAGCTCACTGTCAGTGAAACACTGACTGAAACAGTCTGAACATGTGACTGTGCTGAACTCAAAACATTTAACTGTGTCTTCTGTGCTCTATGATTTTAATGTATTTCTTATTCTGTAAAGCACTTACTTTGTGTACGAATTGTGCCTTGCCTATTCTGTCTCGAAGCCACAAACCCTGTACTGTAAACTTTTACAGGCATGTTCTGAAATGTCCCTGTGTGTCAGATGCCCTCCCTGTGTCTCCATGAGGTTTTATTCTGTCTCAAAGCTACTAACCCTGTACTTTAAACTTTACAAACATGTCCTGAAACGCTCGTGTTGTGCTCGTCAGTTCAGATTTCAGTTTCTGTCAGGTGTTCTGCTTAAATGTTGGACCTTGGCTTCGATGCGCAGTCTGCGATCCTCCACGATCATCGGGTCTTTGGTGAACTCTTCAAACAGATACTGCCACTCGCACGTCAGCTGTCCGAACGTGCCCTTAGTCACGAAGAAGATACCCCTGAAGAGACAAAAACACACGATTTATTTGTAAGTAAAGTGGTGTTTAACATAAAGAATGAGCTCTACTTTGTATAGGCCGGGCTGGGTGGTACAGTGGAGTTAACAAACTACATTAAATACGAGTAATCAAAGCTACAAAAATACAGAACAGACATGGTTTTCAGGTAAGTCAGTTCCATTTAGATCCATGTATCATTCGTTCATTCGTTTTTCGGTATAAAATCAAAAATAAGAAAACAAAAAAGCAACTACTTTCTTCATTATTTGTCTCCAAAACCAAAATGAAAAAACATAACCGCTCTAAGGTTCATATTTGCAGCCTGTATTTATTTTCAATTTGAAAGTTTTGCGTAAATTATCAATAACAAAGTGTATTTTGGAGAGAGAAATGATGAATGAATGCATCGTGTAACTAAAAATTAATCGTTTCAATATTGTGATTGTGATTTTTTTCCATAATCAAGCAGCCCTAGACTAGACTTTAGACTCCAAGAGGAAATTCTTTTATACAAACAATAAATACGACTGAAAGCTCATCCCAGGCTGAACACAAAAGAAGGTATAATTAACTTTACTATGCTAAATAATATCCGTCTGTAAAAGCAGGACTCACCTCTTTGTGATCATGAGGAAGTCTGAGTCATTGACCTTGGCGTGGGCGAAATACCTGTACTTGGCAAAGCGCCCGTTCTCAATTTTCTGAAAGAGAAAGTGGAGTAATGTTTATAATACAGATATTTTAACAAAGCGGCGTTTCTCGGGTCTCCAGGCGTCTTCAGAATCGAGAGCGGTATTCATTCTCTCCGGAGTCACACGGAAGGAGCGTTTCCCAGCCACAGACCGACACATTCACACAGACAAAACTACAGAAGTGTTTTTGTAGTGGCTCTTTCATAATTATTACAATCTTTACAGGGCTTTGGACACTTAAAGCTGCACTACGTAACTTTCAAATCCAAGTCCACTTTACGTATATAGCACATTTTACTAACAAAGCTGTTTCCAAATCATAAAACGAAAACAACAAAAAGATAAATTGCTAAAATCCGATCATACCAGTCCTAAAACAATAAAACTCAATCAAATCAAATTAAAACAAAAACATAAAATCGCAGTAAATAAGTCAAATAAATGGATTTCAACTTTGCAGGTGGACGGTCCGCCGCCTGCTCGTCTCCATGGATATGTTATTATTATTTTGCCTGGGATTTTCCACAATACGGCATTAAACTTTAATTTTTGGTGATGGTATCATGTCAAGTTACAGGTCAGATCTGTGGAGAAGCGGCTCTGCTCACAGTCAGAATGCATGTTTGTATTTTTTGAGCAATAAAACACCTAGAATTGAACAAATGACGATACATAAAGACAGATAACTATAATGCCACACTGTGAAACATTCCAGGCAACGCAGTAACATCAATATGAGACAAATAAGTGATTGAAAGTGAGAAAAATTACAGAGTGTAACTTTAACTTTTGGCCGGGGTCCACCAAATCTCTTTACAAAAGACCATTTAAATTCAGAACATTTAAATCAGGTTTAATTTTGTTTGTTGGAGGCGTTTATTGTGTTTTTGACGTAAATTCATCATAAAAGAATAAGAACTTCTCACATCAATTACTTGAGACGGGTGCGTTGGAGGAGAGGGAGCAGCCCAAGAACAAAAAAGAAAAATCCCACACACCGTCTTACTTACAAAATGTGAGATTTATTAGGACAAACAGTGTCCGTTTGTCTATGGCCTAAATTCATTAAATAGTCCATTTCAATTCAAGTAGATTATATACAGTGTCGTTATTTTAAAATGATATCTTCCAAGGCCACGTTTATACTGAAACAAATCACCGTATCAGAAATGATTTGCGTCCAGACACGTCATTTCTCTGTCCGCAAGTCTTCCCTATCCACACAGTTTTGCGCTTATTTGTTTACCTTTTACAGAAACAAAACTTAAAACCACATGGTTAATTTGCATAAACCAAACGCTCAAAAAAACAGCTCGCTCCTTGTGCGCTGATGCAGTTCAGCTTCTGTCGGACTAAAGGACACGACTCAGTGGATTATGAGTGTTCTTTCTGTGACAGAGGGATGTTCTGCTGATGGTGAGTCTGTTCTGTGTTTCTGTCGTGTTGAAGATGGTTCATGTTAAACTTTTCAGAGATTATACGTCTGCAGGTCGAACACACAGACTGTATATATGAATGGACAAATATTCTAGCCTCTTAGCGTTTTGGTGGTGAATTACTTCGCGGTGCATAGATCTACATCAGAGTATCAGCGTTTTCAGGCGTCCACACGGTGCCGGATCAGATCTGTACTCAGTTGAATTCGTGGGAGCTGGAGGCACCAAATCGTTCCGTCTCTGGAGCCGGATTAGTGTGGACGAACACTGCATCCACAACAAAAACGACTAAAATATGTACTAGTGTGGACGGGGCCAAGTCATCTCGTGAACCCCACTTTGGAAACAGCTGCACTAGACACTAGAGCACACTGGGAGCCGGGATTGAACCACAAACCTCTGCGTTACATGGCAAGAGCTTTACTGACTGTGCCTCTGTTGACCTATGACCACTTAGATACCACTATACTACTACTACTACTACTCCTACAACTCCTACTGCTACTACTACATCTCCAAAACCAAAAATAAAAACTAAAAATGTAAAACTTATCCGGTGAATGATGTGGGATGAACATGAAAAAGGGAGAAAACTTCAGGAAAAGTGTCATTTATTTATGAGAACTGAATGACAAAAAGAATCAAATGAAAACACAGAAAAGTGAAAGTGAAACTGAAAGTGAGTGGACGGTTGAACTAGCTGCTCTCCTCCTCTTCCTCTGCTTCTCTACAGCGCCCCCTGTAGGCCAGTCTCCTCTGTGGACCCAAACACAAAGAGTCACGTCTCTCCTTCACAAACACGTGTCAGCTACAGCGCAGATCACAAGGTTAAAAAGGACTCTTGTGAGCTTTTGCCATGTAATAAAGCTGTTCCCTCCTCAAAAACAGACCTGGAGTTGTGTTTTGTTTCATTCACACATGTTTGAATAACGCTTTATTATTTGTCTGTCTGCATTTCCAAAGCTCAAAATGCTCTGTTCCAACCTGGGACGTCACGTAGTTCAGTAGAGATCGGCAATTCCAGGTGTGAAATCATCCAAATAATTCCAGTGAAGGTGTGTGGAGTTTAAAAACACAATGGATCACAAGTTGGAATGAAGTTTTCTGAAGAACTCCTACTCCTAAATCTGCAGGATTTGTTTGTAAAGCTGAGTATACACTGTGAGATATTGTCACGGTTCATGTTTTGTAGTCATTGTTTTTGCTTATTTTGGTGCATCTTTTCCTATAGCGTCGTGTGCTCTTGCTCTTATTTTGACATTTGTCCTGTCTGCTTGTAGTTTTGAGTTTGACTTCCTGTCTGTTGATTGTTTGCCCCGCCCTAATGTGTTTCACCTGTGTCTGTGTGTATTTACCCTGCGTTCGATTATCTTCAGACTCCCACTTGAACCTCGGATTTGACATCACGTCCGAGCCTGAATGGCGTGTCGGACTACGTGGATTATGATTATGACTATTCCCTCATCTTATGAAAACGCTGCCACTTTAATTAATTACATTTTTGGAACTTCATTTTATGTTATGTTATGATTACTTTACCGTTACAACATTAGGGACATAAATGGCTGTTAAATAAAGTATTGGCCTCACCACAACACCGAGTACCAGACCCACAGGCAGTGATACAGACGTGGTAAAGTACTGCAGTGATACGAGTGACTGAAATTGTCATTTAAACCACCACAGCGTCCAAACACAATGAAAACACTTCATATTTACATGTCACAGTGGGCGGAGCCATCTTTAATTCTGACTCGAAATCCTTGCTCGGTCTACTGTTGCCGCTACCGAGGTCCGAGTCGGGCTGTCCCAGGAAAAGGGGCGTGTCACGTGTGCCGCTGGGTAACTTCTCGGAAAACTGATTCGGAAGGATAATTGAACGCAGAGTTATACCCAGTGTTCTCCTCTGCCCGCTGTTGGTCCTTTGTCATTATCCGTGTCTTGTCTTATCCTGGCAGTTTAGTTCTGATTTTTAGATTCTTTCTTTGTTCTCAAACTGTACGAACAAACTGTATGCAGGGTTTAAAAGTTCACAGCTTAAGATTCATGTTCTCACACTATACGAACGACTTCAACAGAGCAAAACCCTCAAGAGAGGCGACTGGATTTCAAACACGCTTGATTTTCTTGCGACCTATGATCGGGAGCTGGACGTGAGGTATTCATCGGTTCTCATTACCCCATGTTTACTACACAAAGCACGACACACGATTAAGCCAAAACTCGAAAAACAGTCGCATGAGTGAAAAATCGGCTCTAAAAGGGCCAAAAATCGCAGTGTACACCCGGCTCTAAACATGTGAATGAACCAAACCACAACTCCAGGTCAGTTTATGATGAGAAAACAACATTAGAACATTTGTATCTACAAATCCATAAACTACTACTAGGGGTGGGCGATATATCGATATTTTAAATATATCGAGATAGTTTTTAAACTCAATATGAATTCTGACATATCGTATATATCGATATAATGCTTATATTAAATTTAGATTTCGCCGCTTCGCTTGTTTATCTTCTCTCTCGTCGCCCCCGCCTCCCTGATTTTGTTGCTCGTGTCTCCTTCACTCGTCACTATCGCCCTGAACGCCCAAAGTTGGTGCCAGTGAAAAGCTTCAAGCACCACGAACCTTTTCCACCATTTACAGACAAAACCACCAGCAGCACATCCTCATATTCCACCGAGTCGCGTCCTTTAGCCCGAAAGAAGCTGAACGAGCTGAGCTGCGTGAGAAGTGCTGTTTATGCAAATGAGCCATGTGCTTAAGTTTCATTTCTGTAAAATGTAAACACACGTGCGCAAAACTGCATTAAACACATTATTATCTCAAACGGGCTGATGTGGCTCTAGAGTCGTTATGCTTTATTTATTGTAAAGTTTAGTAATGTAAAGTTTATTTATGCAGAATATTTTAATGAATAATCTGCTGCAGTGTCACTTGTACAACAGTGTTTGGAAACGTGGGGTTTGATCTGCAGTGGATTGTGGGATTAAACCTCAGAGCTCCTCACGCTGGAACATGGATCTATTGTTAAAATAAGGAACATCCTGAGCTTCTTCTGCTAAAGGAGCTCATGGTTTTGGTTCTGGTTAACAGAGTTAATGCAAAGATGAGTTTGTGTTGAGTTGTTTTATTTATGAATGAAAAGAAGGAAATATGTATTATTTCTTTTATTTTACAGTTAAATTATTATTTTTTGTAATCTTAAATATTCTATATGAACTGCCGACCTCTTACAAAAAATAAAAAAAAAGACCTTGTGGAATTTGGCAGATTTGTTTTTGCAGTTTTCAGTTTTAGGGGGTTATTTTTTCTTGAACAGATATCGAGATAAATATCGTATATCGAGATATAGCTAAATATATCCAGATATATTTTTTGATCCATATCGCCCAGCCCTAACTACTACTACTACACAGAACTACAACTAAACTACCTGTAACTGTAACACACACAACTCCATAACATCCAGAACAGACGAGTCCCACCTGGATCTGAAACGCACAAAACTGCAGCCACTCGCTCCAGACAAACTGCTCCAGACGCAGCGACAAAAACACAGTTCAACCAGAGCAGAGAGAGTTTAGACAAACAACAAGCAGAAGGAGTTTTGGTAGTTAGAGTTCTGGGAGTACAAGCTGTAATAGTAATAGTAGTAGTAATGGTAGCACTCATAGTAGTAGAAGTAGTAGTGCTAGTAGTAGTTGTAGTAGTTTTGGTAGTAGTCAGACATATTGTACTAAACAGTAGTAGCAGGTAGTAGTCAGAGGTGAAGTACTAAACTGAATAGTAGTAATAATAGTTGTAATACTTTTGGTAGTAGTCAAAGTACTAGTACTAGTAGTAGTAGTCAGAGGTGTTGTACTAAATGGAGTAATGATAGTAGTAGTAGTAGTAGTAGTAGTAGTAGTAGTAGTAGTAGTAGTAGTAGTAGTAGTAGTAATAGTAGTAGTAATAGTAGTAGTAGTAGTAGTAGTAGTAGTAGTAGTAGTAGTAGTAGTAGTAGTAGTAGTAGTAGTAGTAGTAGTAGTAGTAGTAGTAGTAGTAGTAGTAGTAGTAGTAGTAGTAGTAGTAGTAGTAGTAGTAGTAGTAGTAAGTAGTAGTAGTAGTAGTAGTAGTAATAGTAGTATAGTAGTATAGTAGTAGTAGTAGTAGTAGTAGTAGTAATAGTAGCAGTAGTAGTGTAGTAGTAGTAGTAGTAGTAGTAGTAGTAATAGTAGTAGTAGTAGTGGTAGTAGTAGTAGTAGTAGTAGTAGTAGTAGTAGTAGTAGTAGTAGTAGTAGTAGTGGTGTAGTAGTAGTAGTAGTAGTAGTAGTAGTAGTAGTAGTAGTAGTAGTAGTAGTAGTAGTAGTAGTAGTAGTAGTGTAGTAGTAGTAGTAGTAGTAGTAGTAGTAGTAGTAGTAGTAGTAGTAGTAGTAGTAGTAGTGTAGTAGTAGTAGTAGTAGTAGTAGTAGTAGTAGTAGTAGTAGTAGTAGTAGTAGTAGTAGTAGTAGTAGTAGTAGTAGTAGTAGTAGTAGTAGTAGTAGTAGTAGTAGTAGTAGTAGTAGTAGTAGTAGTAGTAGTATCAGTACTCGGACTTCACAATGACACAGTATAAACAGAACATAATCCTTAAGGAGAAAAGTTTATATTTTAAAAAACTGTTCTGGTATTTTGGTAATTAAAAACGAGGGAAATATTTCACCCACTTTCACAACAACAGTGTGTTTTTGTTTTTAAGATGATCAGACCCAGAACATTTGACTGCCATTACACAAACACAATCTTGACTTTTCCCCCTCCACAATAAACTATAATAATTTTGGCGTCCAGCTTCAAAAAAAGACTTTACTGCGACTGCGATTCTACGTTTATGATGAAGTGTAAAATATATGAATGAGTTTGCATCGACCAGCAGAGATGACAGCTGCACAACCCTGTCTCCATCTGGTCTTATTCTGTGTAAAACCTGCTGTTAAAGAGTAAACAGTGTTGGGGAGTAACAGATTACATGTACCAGAGTTATGTAATCAGAGTACAAATTATGAGTAACTGTATTCAGTTACAGTTACAGTTTCAGTGAGTGATAATTAGATTACAGTTACTTGGTTGAAATAAATGGATTACACAGAGGTATTTTCCTGTTTTCACATTTTGGGCTAAATCCCTTTTTTTTCTTTTTTTCTCTGTAATTCCACTCATTGCCGGACACTAAATCAGGTCTAAAACCAGGTCTAGACCAGGTCTAAACCCAGGTCTAAACCAGGTCTAAACCAGGTCTAAAACCCAGGTCTAAACCCAGGTCTAAACTAGGTCTAAAACCAGGTCTAAAACAGGTCTAAACCAGGTCTAAACCAGGTCTAAACCAAGACTAAACCAAGACTAAATCACGTCTAAACCAGGACTAAACCAAGACTAAACCAGGACTAAACCAGGACTAAACCAAGACTAAACCAGGACTAAACCAGGACTAAACCCAGGTCCAACCCAGGTCTAAACTAGGTCTAAAACCAGGTCTAAAACCAGGTCTAAAACCAGGTCTAAACCAGGTCTAAAACCAGGTCTAAAACAGGTCTAAAACAGGTCTAAACCAGGTCTAAAACCAGGTCTAAAACCAGGTCTAAACCAGGTCTAAACCAGGTCTAAATCAGGTCTAAACTAGGTCTAAACTAGGTCTAAACTAGGACTAAACCAGGACTAAACCAGGACTAAACCCAAGTCCAAACCAGGTCTAAACCAGGTCTAAACAGGTCTAAACCAGGTCTAAACCAGGTCTAAACCAGGTCTAAAACCAGGTCTAAACCAGGTCTAAAACCAGGTCTAAAACCAGGTCTAAACCAGGACTAAACCAGGACTAAACCAGGACTAAAACCAGGTCTAAAACCAGGTCTAAATCAGGTCTAAAATCAGGTCTAAACTAGGTCTAAAGTAGGACTAAACTAGGACTAAACCGGGACTAAACCAAGACTAAATCACGTCTAAACCAGGACTAAAACCAGGTCTAAACTATGTCTCAAACAGGATTTAACAGGACTAAACATGCCGCGTGGACCGTGTCTCCTCGTCTTCTATCAATACTATTTCTAATTTTGTTAAGTAAAGACTGTTTTTTTTTCATTGTCTTTTAGCAGACAAAACATCTTATGTGAAGATTTCCTCGTCTTTGCTTCTCTACAGCAAATCAAGTAATCCAAAGTATTCAGATTACATTACTCACTTTAAGTAATTTAATGGATTACGTTACAAACTACATTTCGGTGTGTGTAATCTGTAATCTGTAGGGGAAAACATTTTAAAAGTCACCTTCCCAACACTGAGCGTAAAACACATGGATGAATAGATTGTTTTCACCTGGAGCATCTGACTGCCCAGCCCCTCCCTCTCCTTATATGGGCGTATGACTCCGTCCTCGTGGATGAAGCGCGGGGGACGCAGAGACTCGATGTCCTGAGACGTCTCCGCGGCTCTGAACAAAACAGGAAAAGTCTCAAGTTAAGAAAAGTTAGTGCAGATCGTCTTCTCCAGAGGGACGTCCGCTGTGCGAGGACCGACTGGTGTGTTTACTGTGTCTAAAAATGATGGCAGTGGACAGCATGAAGCCAAATAACTTAAGGCGTCACTTAACGACATACAAATGATACTGTTTATAGTGTTGACGGAGAGTGGAGGGGCGCAAAATGTTTTCTTCTTCCTAGAGGGGGGTGTGACAAAAAATAATTGAGAAGCACTGCGTTAAACAAAGGTGGGTCAGTTTGGTTATAGTTTGAGTTTGGTGGTGGTTTGCGAAGGTTTAGTGCTGATGTGGGGATCTTTGAGCGATCGTTTGGCGATGTCTGACCTCTTGATGCCCTGGAAGGTGCTGGAGGCCATGTCGATGATGCCTCCGGTGGGTCGGGCCACAGCTCCCACCAGCCCTTTCCCCACGCCCTTAAAGAAGCCGGCCGCCCCCTCCTTCTGAGCGCCTGGAGACGAGGAAAACACAAGGACCAGAGACACAGTCAAAATAAAACGCACAATAAACGGAGATGATTCTAAAGTAGATTCAGCAGTGAGTCGGGGCTGTGAAACATGTGAACTTACCTTTGATGGGTTTAGTGACGATTCCTGTGATTCCACTCACAAAACCCTGGACAAAACAGCAGACAATAGTGAAAACATCCTCATAATACAATTAGTTTATTTAATTAAAGTGTGATAATTATTTATAGAATATTCTCCAATCTGCTAATCACTAACTTTGGCACTTTTCAAAGACACATTTAGGAGTAAGGATGTGCAAAAATATTGAAATATCGACAAATCGTATTGTTTAAGGTGATGATACAGTATCGATATCATGAGCTGCTGTATCGATATATCACCAAGAGTATTTTGTCGTAAATTTTACTAAATTATTTTGTTACAGCTACAGTTTTGTTGCTTGTTCAGAGGAAGAAAACTCATTTAAGTGACACATTTGACATTTTCACTGTTTTGATGATTAAAATATTTGTGTTTCATATGAACTTTGTACAAGAAGTGATTTAACAAAGACTTTTAGTATCACAGACATGATTTAGCCTTTATTTTTATTGAACCATATCGAATCAATTTGAAATATATCATATTGTATCGAGACATGCATCGTATCGTGGCTTAAATCATGTCTGTGGCACTAAAAGTCTTTGTTAAACCACTTCTTGTGCAAAGTTCACATGAAACACAAACATTTTAATCATGAAAACAGTGAAAATATTAAATGTGTTGCATAAACGAGTTTCCTTCATCTAAACCAGGGGTGTCCAAACTTTATTCATCAAGAGCCACATCTCTAAACACAGAAGAAGCAGAGGGTTGATCGAGGGCCGTAGACTGGAGCTCAACACAGTGAATAATTGAAATATGTGCATGTTTAACACGTTTGAATGAACCTCAGTCTTTATTCATGCTAAGATCCTTAAAACCACACACTAAATATTAACCTAACCCTAACCCATGGAAGGCTGAGGACCAAAAATTCATCAGAGGCCCGCTTTTGGACCATAGTTTGGACACGCCTGCTCTAAACAAACAACAAAACTGTAGCTGTAATAAAATAATTTAGTAAAATACACCAAAAAATACTTGATACTCGATACAGCAGCCCACGATATCGATACTGTATCATCACGTTAAACAATACGATATATGGATATTTCTATATTTTTGCATGGCCCTAGTCCAGAGAAACCTCTGTGATAGGTTTCTACATTTTTTCTACTGAGAGCCACATATTCAAACTTTTCTGAATTGGAGTCACAAACAGGGGGTCAGTACAGGGGTTGTTTAGACTGGTGCATTTAACACACGTTTCACAGAGCCTACTTACTTTTAATACCTTTAACATTCACTTCAGGTCTGTATCACAGTGCAGGGTGGTGTTATTGAGGTTGCAGTGGTAGAATAACTTAAATTTGCAAGGTGTCTACGATCAGTTGGACCATTTCAGGTGAGGGTCAACGGTCCCTCAATCTGACCACGCCTCAGGAAGTAAGAGCTGATCTGTGACCGTTTTAAAGACGCCTCACAGCCCAAACTTGTCCAATAAGTTATTACATTTAGTCTTTGAAAAGAACCAAAATGAGTGAAGTTGGTGACTGTTATGATCAGACTCCAGCTAAAGCCCCTGTGTCCTGTATTACATTGTTTCCCAAAGACTTAGGTGAGTCGCAAGAGATTTTTTTTGGTCTGATCTGCATGTAGGTCTGCAATATACACTTCTAATACATGAGAGAATGAGTTTTTATTTATTTATTTTTATTTAGTGAGAGGTGCTTGCCCTGAACGAGTCTTCCTGCAGTTAAAGATGAAAAATGTTTGCTTTGTTGTCCAAAAAGAAAAGTGATAAATCAGCAAAGGTCAGTCCACTTCAGGATATTTATGGATCCTTTTATTGCTGGTTCAATTTCTGTTTTTCATTGTTTAAAACTTGAGTAATACTAATTGTTCAGAGGCACGATCACTCCGTCAACAATAAAATATCCACATTAATGTTCAATAATGGTCAAATAATGTCTATTGACTTGTGTCGTGAAGGTTTGTGACTTTTAAAATATGTGTCCCCAGTAAAAAAGTTTGTGAAACGCTGGTGTATTTGTATAAAGTTTCCTCACAGAGACGAGCCCTTTGCCTCCTCGGGCCAGCCCCTCCCTCAGACCGCTGGGCTGCTTGTTCATGGCCTCTCGTCTCTTCTGCTGGTACTCCTCGTCCATGGTGATGGCCGCCACGCCTTTGGCCATGGCCCCCGTGATCCTGGACGCGGCGCCGGCGATGCCCCCTGGAGGAACAGGCAGGAAGCACAGGTCAAACACAGGACTCTGGAATACTTTATTTGAGCATGTACTGTCCGCTTATAGTTGTGCCGATTCCTTTCAACCATTCAACTCCTACTGGCTTAAAAATACTCAAATACTGCAAAAATACTCCAATACTCCACACCTTGACCATGCCATGAATCCAAGGATCTGTGCTTCCTATTTATAAAGCACGTTTCTGAGTAATTTTCACCATTCAGAAGATAAAATATTTGCTTCTAAATGTTAATTGTGCTTGTTTATGTTATGTTTTGTGCCATTCAATTATATCCATGTGCAATTATTATTTTTAAGTCTATTTTTAAATTATTTTTAAGTTATTATTTATTATCTGTTTTTTCCCCACTGTGGGACTAATAAAGGCATATCTCATCTTAAGAAAAAAAACAAAAACTTTATGATTGGTGTGTACATGTGTTACGCGTGGGCACATTGATTCGGATCATTACTTGTTTTTATTCCCTTTTGTAGTAAGTTGTAATTAGTCCTTTTTGCGTAATTTTTGTTTATGGTTTATTTTTGCGGCTGCCGTAGAATCTTCGTTCGCCATGAGCCATTTGTTTTGACCTGGTGAGACCGAATGTCATGTTTTCGTTTTTCTTTTGGGTTCAGGTTTCTGTTCATTACTTTTCATTATTTTTTGGGAGGCACGGGAGGGTTTTTAAATTTCTTTAAAAATGTTTAAAAAAAATTAAGAACCAGCTACAAATAAAATTAATTAAAGAGCTATATTTTGACTCCTGTGTCCTTTTTAAATATGTTGGGACTCACCTTTTGGGGTCGTAACAACATGTTTACTTTATAGCTGTAAACTTCCTTCATATACAAGATACATACATATATACATACAGACGTTTCATTACCCACTGGCAATGAAAGAAAAATCAACAATCATCACTGAAATCACTTGAAACTGATAAAAGCAATAATAAATAAAAATTTACTGAAAATTGATCAACAAAAATCAAAAGTTGCTTTTCATCTGGGGTTAAACAGAATCATTTGAAAAAAACAAAATAATGAAACTGGCCTGGACAAAAATAATGCTACCATTAACTTAATATTTTGTTGCACAACATTTTGAGGAAATCTCTGCACACAGTAACAATTTTGTCCATGTTTGTAAATATTTTTAGTCCCTTTCTGAACACTGCATGTATTAAATTACCATGCTGCGTATTTCTCTGTACTCTGTTAAGTGTTTTATTTACTATAACAGGAGTAATAATTCATTCTACTGTGGTCCAAAGCGAGAAAAAAATGATCTGACGAAGGTTTCTTGCCAAAACGTTATCTAAAAATAAAAAAAAGGTTCTGGAACGTTGCTGTTTCTTGCGTCTGCATCTGTACAAGAACTTTGGTGTGTGTTTTGTGTTTCATTTGTAATAATTCTGTTAACGTGGACCCACTCACCGACAGCTCCTCCCACCAGAGCCTTGACCCCCAGAGCCATGCCCTCCACAAACTCCTCCGGCCCCTGAATCGCCCCCTGAGAAACACCACACAACAGTTAGAGCACAAACACGGTTTTCATCTGAAACTCTGAACAATTATATGAACGTAGAGTCTGTACCTGCCAGGGCTCATAGAAAAAGGCCTCCACTCCCTCAGACAGACCTCGGATCAAACCAAAAGGATTCCCCAGGACGTCCAGCCCCAGCACCAGCACGTACATCTGCTTTATCGCCTGGAAACAAAAAACGCCATTTCAACTTCCTTTATAGATGCCATTTTGAGTCATTCTAACAATAAAATTCTTATTTATAGCTATTTTCATCACTCTGAAAGCCCATGGATTACTTATGATAGAATTTAATAGAAGTTAGTGTCACTGTAAATTCCTGTATCGGGAAATAAGGACAGACAAATATATTTTTTTGAATACTTTGGCTGTGAATTGAATATTAAATGTAATATTTATTAGGTTGTCCACTTCTAACAAAATAAATTAAAAAATATACTCTATTTTCTGCACTATAGGGCGCGGTTAAAAGCCTTTAATTTCATCAAAAAACGACTGCACGCTTTATAATCCAGAGTGCCCGATAGTGCGGCAAATAAGGTATGTCAATGTCATATGTCAATGCAGTGAATTAAACATTGTCATATTCATTTAGTTGTGCTGACTGTGTTACCTGTTTAGAGTAGTGCCGGATGACCTCCCACTGCAGCTGCTGTGTGGTGCAGAACATGAACTTCAGCTCGAAAAAGGCCAGTCTGAAACAGAGAGGTCTCCAGTTTAGATCAAAATGCAAAAAATTCAACATTATTATTTAACATATTATCATACAGAGCCAAAAAGGAGCATCAATGGCTAAATCTGTACAGTTTTCTTTATACTGTATATGAATGTGTTTGTACTTGGTCCTTGGTGTTTCCCCGCTTTAAACACAGACTTTGTCAGGCTGCCTACAGCTGCTCTAAAATGACATGAAAACACTGTTGAGACTGGAATTTGTCAGTGTTTTGAATTGAATTATGTGTTTAAAGAAAAAAAAAAACTTCTTGATTATACACTACCAGTCAAATGTGTGGACACACTTTTTTTTTTACAAATATTTTTTTCATTAATTAATATGACTAATTAGAGAGGTGCACAAGCATTTAGGCCAAGTGCTCAAGGCTAAGTAGTAGTTTACTTTGGTTACTTGCTGCAATGTCATGCAAAAATGCCATTAGGACCGACCTACTGTGCTTAAATATGACAGTAAAGAGGCAAAATTATTTTATTATATATAACTCGCTGGTAATGCCCTACATAACCTACGGTATTGAGATTTGGGGCAATACATATAAGATGAATACAAAGCCAATCTTTACCCTACAAAAAAAGGCAATAAGAGCATCACATTATCAACTTATAACGAACCAACCAATGCATTATTTATAAACCTTCAAACGCTGAAATTTTATGATTTAGTCGACCTTTACACTCTTAAAATCATGTTCAAAGTAAACAACAATCTCCTGTCGAAATCGTTACAGAACATGTTCAAAATCCGAAAGAGCCGATATGAGCTCAGAGGCACGACCGAGTTTATTAAAAAGAAAATCAGAACAAACATTATGAAATTTTGTAAATCTGTTAAAGGGGTGAAGCTGTGGAACAACTGTACAGAAAACCTAAAACTGTGCACCACTTTCTTTCACTTCATAAAGAAGTTTAAATGTTTAACTCTGGACAGAAACATGAAATATGAGACTTAGTTTGTGCTGTAGAACTTTGTTGTTCTGTTACTGATTAGCTTGTTTCTTCCTGCTGTATTTATGAAGATGAACTGATGTCAAGATGAAGCTCTGACAAAGGAATAAAGGGTAAAGGCATAATAAGCTTAAGCTTCAGCCTGCACCTTTTCGGTCTGTATATGTTAAATATGAATTAAAGTCAAAATATACCTGTGACCGAAATAAATAAATAAATAATAAAAAATAAATAAAAAAATAACAGTAAATATAGCCTAAATAAACCCAATTTAAAATCTAATAGAGCGAAACCTAAGTTTTATAACCAGCTGAAGTTTCACAGTGAATTTTTACATAACAATATCGGCTGTTTACATCAGCTGATGGACCTGTTTAATCTGTGTCATAACAAGTCTAAAAAAAAAAAAACATATCGGTCGTTCCCTAATCAATACTAAAAAAGTCCCTTTAACAGGACAGAAATGAACCTTTCCTGAAGCTTTAGAAAGATCTTGAGCTGTATCAGAACAAGTTTAAGAGCACATAGACTAATAAACACCCATGGACCACTGAGGATTACACAGATAGAAGAACAGATGAGAATATAAAAGTAAGTACTATGATTTAATATTGAAAATCACATTCTGTTTTCTAAATAGTGTTTTCTATCATCATCATCATGTTATCAAGTCCATTCCTTAGTATTGAATATTGAGTTTGAAATGTTAGTCACACTACTAGTAAATTAAGGCATGGACTTTTGTTTTAACATAACCTGTATTATACTTACACTACCAGTCAAAAGTTTTAGACCACCACACTTTTTCCAGATTTCTACTGTTTACTGTTGATGTATTCTAAACTTCAGAAAGTTCTTCCCAAGTCTGTCGCAGAAGTTTCCATAAATGTGTGACACTTGCAGGTTGCTTCACTCTTCTGTCCAGTTCATCCCAAACCAGCTGGATGGGGTTTAAGTCTGGACACTGTGCTGCTGGACACTCCATGTTTTCAAGTTTTACCATCTTGTTCTTTTTTCCTGAGGTAGTTTTGGCAGAGTTTGGACTTGTGTTTTCTATCTTTTATCTATTTTCATCATCTCTGGCTGTTCAGTTTTTACCTTTGTATCATTTCAAGCTCTTCATTTGACTTGCATGACTTGAATTGCAATAAATAACTGGAAAAATGTGGGTGTTTTAAAACTTTTGACCAGTAATGTATGTTAAAAAACTGATTCCAGCATCATGTAGTAACGCGTGTGTGAGTTCGGTGCGTACTTGAAGACCACGTCCTGCACATCGGTGAGTGTGGCTCCGATACTCTTGAGCAGCAGGTTCAGACTCTGCACAGGGATCAGCTCTTTGTCCCTCTTCTCCTTCAGACCGTCCTCTCCTCCCGTGCTCAGGGAGAAGCTCAGGTGCATCTGAGAAAACAACATTTTAAACATCAGGCAGTTGCACAGTCGTTCACACCTTAAAAAAAAAAAAAAAAAAAGTGCAGAGTAAATAGCACAGACCTTGATGGGAGAGATGTGGAAGAACTCGAACAGACTGATGGGAGAGTTATCCGCAGCAGAGCCGTTGTTCAGCTCGGCCTTGATGTACTCTATGTCCTTCTCAAACAGCTCCACCTGCAGGAAACACATGGAAAACACAGTTGGATCAGGCTTGGGCCATGTGTACAAAAAAACAAAAACAAAAAAGACCTGTTTAGACCTGGTTTTAGTCATGGTTTAGACCTGATTTAGACCTAGTTTTAGTCATGGTTTAGTCCTAGTATAATCACTGTTTAGCCCTGTTTTTAATTCATGTTCAGTTGTGATTTAGACCTGGTTTTAGACCTGGTTTTAGACCTGGTTTTAGACCTGGTTTTAGACCTGGTTTTAGTCATGGTTTAATCCTGGTATAATCCTGGTTTAGTTCTGTTTTTAGTCCTAGTTTAAGTTCTGGTTTAGACCTGGTTTAGACCTGGTTTTAGTCATGGTTTAAGCCTGGTATAATAATTCTTTAGTCCTGTTTTGAGTTCTTGTTCAGTCCTGGTTTAAACCTGGTTTAGACATGGGTTTAGTCATGGCTTAGTCCTGGTATAATCCTGGCTTAGTCCTGTTTTTTAGTCCTGGTTCAGTCCTATTTTAGTCATGGTTTAGTCATGGTTTAGTCCTGTTTTAGTCCTGGTTTATTCCTGTTATAATCACCATTTAGCCCTGTTTTTAGTTCATGTTCAGTTTTGGTTTAGACCTGGTTTAGACCTGGTTTAGACCTGGTTTAGACCTGGTTTAGACCTGGTTTAGACCTGGTTCAGACCTGGTTTAGACCTGCTTTAAACCAGGGTCAGTCTTGATTTTGACCTCGTTTAGACCTGGCTTAGTCCTGTTGTTTTAGTCCTGTATAATCCTCGTTTAGTCCTGTTTTTAGTTCATGTTCAGTCCTGGTTTAGACCTGGTTCAGTCTTGGTTTTGACCTGATTTACTCCTGATTTTGACCTGGTTTACTCCTGGTTTAGATTTTGAGATACACAAAAATAAACTGAATTGAACTGAAAGATTTAATAAATACAGTTTGACACAAAAAGGCTCAATTAATCCTCCCAAATCTAAACTCTAAACCACACACTACTGACAGGGCATTGGCTGTGGACTTCTTCTTGATAAAAAACCTTCAATCATATCACTGACGATTACACATGACTGAACATCGATCTGCATTTAAACCTGATGTCTCGCTCAGACCGAATCCACAGACAACAGACCACAGACAGTACCTCCTGCTCCGTGGTGACGGCGCTGGCGTTCTCTGGAGTGAACAGGTCTAAGATCGCGTACAAGAAACCCAAGTCCACCTTTAGATCCATCTCCTGAATCAACACCACGAAATACCTACGAGAAACACAAAGACTTTGATCATGTGGTATCGTAATAAAGTGCCTATAGTCAGATTGCAGATTTGTTGACCTGTTTTATGGTTAATGTTTGTTGTTTTTTAATTAAAATTACTTCAAAGCTACAGAATGTAATTTTCTGGAAGTGGCACATCACTGTACTTTAAAACATTTTCTATGTTTTGTGTCATGTATTACAGCCAAGCAACAACATTTCCAAGTAAAGGAGTTGGAGGAGGCCCCCCTCTTGGTCAAATAAAAGTCAGAGTCATGTTTTAAGTGCAATAAAGTCTATTATTTGGCTAAAATGTTACATGTGGCAAATGTCACATACTTGATTCTGGAGATATCGGAGTGTCCGGCTGTTCTGGTCACGATGCTGATGTCAGTCAAAGGCTTCGGTTCTGAACAAAAAGATCAAATAAAAAAGCACATATATCATATTTATTCATATCAAATGTATTATTTTATTATGAATACACAGTTTTGTGTAACAGCAGAGGCATTAGCACAGACCTGCCTCCATGACGATGGACTTGGGCAGTTTGACGGGGTAGAACACATAAGGGAAGATGGCTCCTGGCAGCTGGTTCTGGATCTGAAACAAAACACAGAATGACTATCTGAGTAAAAGTATAGAGGAGGAGACACTGCTCTTGTAGAGGAAAGTTCTGCTCCTGTTATAATCTGCTCTTATTCAGAGACATTTGTAGATAGAAATTATTAATACCATTAGCCTGGCCTCACCTGTATGCGGTGGATCTGGATGCGGTAAGACTTCTGTCGCGGTGACACGCTGTACTCGACCTTCACTCCAGGGAGGAAGTGCCTCCTCAAGGGGGCGTCCGTGGGCTGCAGCATCCTCATGTCTGTGCCGTTAGGAGTGAAGCAGACCTGAGAGAGACATCAGACATGGACAGGGTCAAAAATATGGAAGCAATGAAGTCATCATTCTAAAATGAGCCAGGAGCTTCAGTGCTTTCAACACGGCCCTGTGGTGGTCATCCAGGATTCATAGAACCATAGTTACATTTGTAACTCTCAATTGTTCAAATTTAATTGCTAAACAAAATCCATGACTCGAGTTCTTTTAACATAAACAGAAAACCATTAAAGTTTGAATATGAACTTTCTCAGACCTGGAAGTTGTTCTCCAGGTCGACGATGCCGTTGTCCACCGGCTCTGTGGAGAGGTAAGTCTGATAACTGCTCTCCAGGATGTCTGCTTCTTTGATGCTCAGAGTTTTCCAACGATCCTTCTTCTTTTTGGGCTTGTGCTCCCAGACCACGTCAGAGCTGCACCAGGGGACACAGTGGTGAGTTAATGAAGATGTGTTATGTTTTTATTCAGCCCATGAGACGGGTGTGAGCATTTGCACCTTGTGATTCCGATGAAGGAAACCTCTTGTCCTGTGGAGTTGTTGACGAGGGACATGCCCACACTCTGTAGAGACAGAATTATCTCCTGTTCGGCCAGCTGGGCCTTCTCACTCTCCGACAGCAGCTGGAAGATGGACTTCTCCTCTGTGAACAGCACCACCCTCTGCAGGCCTGGGGAGGAACAGTACGAGCTCAGACATGTGGGTCAAACAAAAAGAGGTCAAATGTTAAAATGTATGAGACAGAGGAGAGCGAACCTTCATAAAACGAGACCACATAGAGCTTCCCGTCTTTGTTCATGTCCTCGTTATGGTCCTGAAAAGACAGAAAAAATACAACACAGATGGTATTTACTTATGTGGAATTTAACTCTAAAATGTTTTAAGCATTTTAATTTTAGAATCTGTATTATAACAGGAACATAACATGCATCTTGCACTTCTGTATTAGAATCTTTGAGGTGAGGGACAAGAGCTGAAAATGTCAGAGAATCCATCAGTTCGTCGTCTGGTTCGTCCAGATCTAATTCAGCCTGGAGAGATCGACCTTCACTCCTGTTTACCTCACCTACCATCTAGATTTTGGAAAGATGTGTCTAGCTCCAGCTCTTGCATCTGTGGTATAACCAAGTCCCACTCCCTGCTGCAAAAAAATTCCTCCTCTGTCTCCATTTGTGTGCATTTTCCACACTGGCACCACCAATCTCTGGTTCTTCTGTGTCGGCTTTCTGCAGCAGCTTCGGCGGGGGCTGTCTCTACAAAAGCTCTCCCTCGTTCAGCCCTTTCAGTATCCATCTCTCTCAGCTCTTCGTCTGTGTACTCTGACTCATACAGGTATGGTTCGTTGGAAAAAAAAATTGTCATCAAAAGCATCGGGTCCTCCAAACGTGGCCAGGACGTACAACTAGCTGCTGCTCAGACATAAATCCTCCAAATGCAAGGCTGGTTTTACTTCTAAAATTATTCTATCAACACAGACATTCACATGGACAGTCTGGTGGAATAATAGATTTGCTTCATGTGTTTTGTGGAGTGGGTAAGACTGTTTTTAGTGGCAGGATAAACTATGACCATTGACATGCACTAGTCTAGCACCAGCGACCTCTGCAAATACAAGGACTGGATGGAATATTTTTTTTAAAAGTGTCTCCAGATGTGACGTCTCCAACTTTCTCTCTACGTCCAAAATTCCGAACTGTCCCTTTAAAACCTCTGATACATTCTAGGGATGGGCATTTGATGAAATTTTATGAATCGATCGTCGGGAGAATTAACGATCGATTTTCAATTAATCATTAACCTTTTTATATAAGTATCATCATTATTATTACTATGACTAATTTGCATAAATAAATTCAACTTTACAACATATAAACCATCACCACTCTAGAGCGACATCAGCCCGTTTGACATTATAATGTGTTTAATGCAGCTTTGCGCAACTCTCACAGAAACGAAACTTAAAACCGCATCGCTAATTTGCATAAACTAAGCGAGGAAAAAAAAAAAAAAAGCTCCTTGTGTCGCTGATGTGGTTCAACTTTTGTCGGACTAAAGCACACGACTCAGTGGAATATGAGTGTTCTTTCTGTGACAGAGGGATGTTGATGCTGAAGGTGAGTCTGTTCTGTGTGTCGTGATGTTTTCAAAGATCGTACGTGTGCAGGTTTAGCGCAGCTCTTTATGTTGCAGTAACCGGGATACAGCGTCTACATGCACCATGACGAAACCGGGACACTGATGTGCATGTAAACACACTCACTGAGAGGTACAGTGTCTCCAAGGAGGTGCCAGAGCCCAAACGTGGGACTGAGGCCGCAACTCCACTATTTGCGCTGTCAGACGCAGCTTCATATCTACGCCCGGTTTGTTGATTGGAAATAGGGATCGGCATGATTAGTCGATGAATCGATAATTGATCATTAAGAATTTCATCGATTATGTTAATTTTAATCGACAAACCGAATGTAGGTTGTTGTGTGTAGCGTAGTGTGACCAAACAGGTGTGTACATGTGTCTCTGCATCAGAAGGAGCGAAACACAAACAGTGGGTCAGTCTGCAACGTACTGAAGCACAAATGTGTATTTAACGATGATTTGTACAAGAAATTCCACACTTTCTGTTGCGTTCGGGACAAGTGTGAGTCCATGTGCACAGTAGCACATGTTTCGGTGTCCAGTGGGAAAAAGTTTTGCCAGGTGAGAGTCGCGCAATGTGGATGACGAGTCCCCACCTCCCTCCCCCCGTACACTGTCCTGGTTTTGACAAACGCAAATCTGGTCACACTAACCTGTATTCACCTGAGTCATGTCTTTTAATCTGACAGAAATTGACCACATCAGCGACACAAGAGCTGTAGTTTTATCTTCGCTTAGTTTATGCAAATTAACAATGTGGTTTTAAGTTTCGTTTCTGAGAGTTGAACAAAACTGAATTAAACACATTATAATGTCAAACAGATTGATGTGGCTCTAGAGTCGTTAAGACGTAAAGTTGAATTTATTTATGCAGTTAGTAATAATAATAATGATGATAATTTTAATATAAAAACATTAATGATTCATTGATAATCGATCATTAATTCTTCCGACAATCGATTAAGAAAATTTCATCGAATGCCCATCCCTAATTGGAAATGTAATCGACGAAATTCTTAATGATCAATTATCAATTAGTCAACTAATCATGCCCATCCATAATACATTCTCTTTGTGTCTGTCTGAGTCTCTCCAGGTTGAAATGAAAGTTGAACTGCGTCTACAGACTTAGATCTTACCTTGACACACTCCAGTTTGCCGCTGTAGTTGCCACACTTCCAGCACAGTTCCCTGGACCCGGTGGGCTCCGTCCAGGTGTAGTACACGGCTTTCCCTGGCTCCAGCTCCTCCTGCTCCGCCTCCCCCTGAGAACTACACCCACAACAAACACAAAGTGAGAACAGAACAGAGACCAGACGAGAGCGGAGGAGAGAGGAGCAATTTAAGAGTCCAACACCACCAGAGGCACTGCATCTGATCCAGAAACACAGGGCATTCCACAGAAAATACTGCCAGGAACAACCGGGAACAACCCATGCAGACACCAGGAAGCAGAGAAACCTTTAACTGGGGCTGCACAATAAATTACAATGTTTCTATATCACAATAAACCAAAATATGTTGGAGAATAATGAATAATGTACTTAATTTGACAGAGATTTTCCATAATTATCATAATAAAACGTATTTCTTAACATTGTTCTTAGTTTAAAAGGTACAATATTGTGCATTAGTAAAGCTTTTTGAACCTTAAACTGTATTAATGTGAATATTTTTAAAGATTATTTATTGGCATTTATTGTGTAGCCTAATGTTTAAGACTCACATCAGAAAAAAAACATTATAAAGAACAAAAACAAGCCCAACGAGCACAACTACTGAAGAAGAGTTTAACGGCAGAGTCACAGCAGGTTCAGAGACAGAAGGCGGCACGCTGGGAACAAGAGACAGTTTTAAAAAGACACAAAAACAACCAACCTGCCTCTAGTCTCAACCAATGAAGATTTTTATAATAACTTATCTCATTACAGGTGGAATTTTTGCTATTATTAATTGATTTAAGTTGCACTAAAGCACATAGCTAGTTTATACATTTTTGTTTTTAGCTTTTATTCTGGTTTAGATTCTAATATGGGAAGAATGGGGAGAAAACAGAGGGTCCTTTGGTTATGTGTGTTCTTCACTGGTTGGTTCAGAAGCAGCTTGTAGTTCACAAACCTGTTCCCTATAAGACCTGGACACACTCTGCACTCATCTCAGTCATAATAATTCACTGCCAGTCGATTATAAAAAGGGCCTGTACCTGATTCTTATTTGTTCTTGTCAAGATAAATGTTCTTTTTGTCATGCAGTGTTTGGTAAAAGCTGTTAAATAATAAAAAATGAAAATAAAAATATGTAAAATATAATCTATTCATTCACATAGGATTTTCTCACTCAATAGTTAAGCCACAAGGTACCGTTTTTCATCAAATCAGGAACACTGTTGCTAAGAATCATGGGAAGCCAACACTATCCCAGACACAACCTCTGTTGTAGTTCATTTTCAAAAGTGATAAAAAGCAAATATTCGGCACAACTGCTTGACTCTATCTCAGACAGTAGCGCGCTGAGGGGTTATTTAAACTATGTTTGTGTTAAGATCTTCACTAAAGGTTTTGAGTTCAAGCTTTGGCTTTCTAGCCTAATTCATCAGCCGGTTTCATTTCCTGGAAACCGTCTGACCTTGCAGCATTAGAATTCGTTCGTTGGTCGTGACATATGTGATGCGCCGCTTAACGGGACTAACTGGTATATTAAGCTTTTCCCAAATCCCGTAGGAAGAAGGACAATAACGTCTTTCCCCTTGATGAAATTCACCAAAAATTCTTTGTTCCAGCTTTAAATCCTCGATGTCGGAAATCATTGCCAACACAAAATATATGGCTCGTCGCTGATTGGCTGGTGCCCGGACTCGCACCACCAGGGTTTTTGCAAACCGTCGAGTGTATTCCGATTCCTGACCTAGTTGCTGGAAAGAAATTAAATTGAGCGGAGGCACCAGCCTGGCTATCGGCTTTCAGTAAACAAAAAAAAAAAAACATAAAAAGAATAAAAAATATATATAAGAAATTGATTAGTGTTGGCCAATATCTTTATAATTTTTAAATCAACATCACTACATATAATTTAAAACATTAACAACACTATCAAAATCTATGTGAAATACTTTTGCATTTTTAAATACTTTTACTTAAGTAGATTTTTTATGTGTAACTTTTACTTTTACATGAGTCTGTCTCTCCATCTGTACTTTTAGTAAAATAAACAAATTGAGTGCTTCATCCAGAACTGCACTAAAGGGCTAAAAGCTCAAACTGAAACATGTTTCTGTTCATGGTTCAAAATCAGGTACAGGCCCTTGGATTAAAATTCAAATGGATTTCCTCATAAACTTTTGGTTGAATCATGTATTTCCACTCATTATTCTGATTGTATCTTATGAAGAATCATGTTTTTCACTACAGTCTGGGTGCAGGGCGGTTCCCGGTTCCTTGAGCCTGGTCTGTCTTGTACCTGTCCCTGTCAGAGAAGGGCAGGTCAGGCAGGTCGAGCAGCTCATCGGGGACCCACAGTGGCTCACGTGTAACACTACACCAGCGCCACAGACAGACACAAACTGTTAGTCCACTCACTGGAAACTCAAAATCAAACTGCATGCGGTCACAGGACAACAGATAAAAAAGTTTATATTAATGATTTGAAATGATATAAAACCTAAACATCACCTGATAAACAAAGGCTCATTTCATTTGCTCTAAAGCTGAGGATGAATTCAATGTTTTAGTGTAGTTTCAATTTATTTATCAGGGACAATGCAAATTCAAACATTGACTTACAAAAGAGAAGCCATGTTTGTGACAGGTTAAAGCAGAACTGGTCATTTCGTCCTTTAGTCCTCGAAAAGGTTGATGTCAAAATTGGCGTTAAAAAATGTTCACATTAATTTTTATCAAACCATGAAATTGGTTTAAAGTCAAGTTAGATATTGTGATATTTGTCTTGGGCATCCGGTGCATAGATGACAACAAAAATGTTAAATATACAAATATATGCACAAATAAACAATATACAAACACAAAAAAGGGTTAGTGAAGACAGTTGTACAGTTAAACTATACAATTGTACAAACACTAAAGTGACGTGCTCCATTAGTGTTGTGTACCAATGGTCAATAGTCTGTTGAGTACAACTTTTGTTTAGAGACAAATCTATAAAAAAAGTCTTTTGTTTTCTGAGTTTTATAAAGAACTGTCTCATATAGTTTAGCCTCATTTTGTAGATCTGGTTTAACCCTAATGTTGACCTGTTAGTCCAGGGTTAAAACAGGTGGTACTCACAAAGACAAATCATCTGGGAAAAGTTTGAGAACCACTGTACATTGTTTCTTATTCTTGCCCCTAAATCTATACCAGGATATCACCAGGTTTGACTTTTAAGACCTTTTTAAGACCACTTAAATGAAAATTAAGACCAACACCAGATCCAACTCTAATAATGACCAATCAACTACAATATCTAGATTCTAAGAGCCACTGGGGATTAAACCTGCACTTCCCCATGATCCATCCAACGACTTCGCCGGCGCCAGAAACCAAAGTACTGTTCATTCACATTACGTGATTTCAAGGTGTTTTTTCCCTCTCTCCATTTAACATCGCACTGCAGCTCGGGTGAGTAAACAAAAAAAATAGGCTAATGAAATTTAAGACCTTTTTGAAAAAAATAAGAATTGGACAACATAATTTAAGACTTTTTAAGGCCTTGATTTAAGAACATAAAATTGAAGACCTTTTTAAGACTTTTAAAACTTTTAAGATCCCGCCGCTACCCTGTATAACCCTCCCTTTTTCTGTATCTCCAGGCTGAATTGCTCATTTCTATCTACTGTTTTGGTGGCAGAAAGTACAAGTTCCACACTTGGTCCAGGAGAACTGAACCTGTGATTTTCCTCTGTATGGACATTGCAAACCCACTAACTGCAGTGTTCCAAATAGGAAGTGAGCACGGGCGCACTTCCGGCTGCAGTTCACTTTCTATTGAAAAAAACGTCGCCCCTCTCTCTGTAACTGCTGCTGTATACCCTGTAATACCTAAATGACATTTTCAATTTCCATGACTTTTCCAGGATTTCCATGACCGTGGGAACCCTGTCTCGTCATGAGTGCCTCTCACCTCTGATGGAAAAGCAGAGTCTGATTCTTGGTGTGGTTAATGATGAGGAACGGCGCGGCCCCGTCGTGGTAGTCGGAGAAGCGGATAGTGGCCGAGTGTTCTGACAGGTTCACGTCCACGATGATCCCGCCCACCTGCAAAAAAAACCAAAATCTTAAAATGCTCTGTTCCGCCTTGTGATGTCATGAAGTGGTAGTTTTCAAGTTAACAGCAACACTTTACATTTAGTTTAATAGAGATTGGCAATTCCAGATCCGAAATTAACCAAACGATTCTAGTGAAAGTGTATGAAGTGGTGGTGGAATAGACGGTTTTCCAGCCTAAATCTGCAGCGTTTGTGAGTTAAATAAATGTGTGAATGAAACAAAAACACAGCTCCGGGTCTGTTTGTGATGAGGAAACAACATTATAAAAGATCAGAAAATAGTGAGTCCTAAAATCAGAGTTCTTACGGAGTTGTCGAGGTGCAGCAGGAGGCAGTTCTCTGGTCGTGTGAAGTCGATGATCTGAGGAGGAGACAGACCCTCCACTTTGATCTTCAGCTTCTTTGTGTCGTTTTCGGGCCAGAAAGGAACTGCAGACTGAAGTCACATCAACACATACATAATACATAAATAAACAGATCAAATGATGGTTTTAACTGTTGCTTTTCTAGGCCTGTCACGATAACATATTATGAAGCACGATATAAATACCAATATAAAATATAAATAAATACCATGACAAAGGATAAAACGGAAAGTACTTTAGGCCAGGGGTCCACAAACACCCGGCCGCTGGATCGTTTGGTACCGGAATGCAAAAGAGTGAACCCCCCCTCCGTAAACAGTGTGGACCATGCCTCTAAACCAGAACTAAAACCAGGACTGAAACAGAACTAAAACCAGAACAAAAACCAGGACTAAACCAAAACTAAAACCAGGACTGAAACAGGACTCAGCCACAACTAAATCCAGGACTAAACCAGGACTAAAACAGGTCTAAACCAGGTCTAAAACCCAGACTAAAACCAGGACTAAAACCAGGACTAAACCAAAACTAAAACCAGGACTGAAACAGGACTCAGCCACAACTAAATCCAGGACTAAACCAGGACTAAAACAGGTAAAACCAGGTCTAAACCAGGTCTAAACCAGGTCTAAACCAGGTCTAAACCAGGTCTAAACCAGGTCTAAAAACTAAAACCAGACTAAAACCAGGACTAAAACCAGGACTAAAACCAGGACTAAAACCAGAACTAAAACCAGGACTAAAACCAGAACTAAAACCAGAACTAAATCAGGTCTAAAACCCAGACTAAAACCAGGACAAAACCAGGACTAAACCAGGTCTAAACCATGCCTCCTACCATACACCATGCCTCAAAACCAGAACTAAAACCAGGACTAAACCAGAACTAAATCAGAACTAAACAGAACTAAAACCAGAACTAAAACCAGAATTAAAACCAGAACTAAAACAGAACTAAAACCAGAACTAAAACCAGGACTAAAACCAGGACTAAAACCAGGACTAAATCAGGTCTAAACCAGGTCTAAAACCCAGACTAAAACCAGGACTAAACCAGGTCTAAACCATGCCTCCTACCGTACACCATGCCTCAAAACCAGAACTAAACAGAACTAAAATCAGGACTAAACCCAGGACTAAAACCAGTTATAAAACCAGGACTAAAACCAGGACTAACCAGGTCGAAAACCAGATCTAAAACCAGGTCACTACAACAAATAAATGCAGAATGAACAAATAATTAGTCCTGGAAGTGAATTTTTCATCCCTCTACAGCTCAAATTTGACCATATTACATAAAAGAGAGCAGAAATCACTACTATTCCAACAAAAATATGCACACAATAAATATTCAGCCCCAAAATAGAAATATATAAATGTAGAACAGCGTCAGTATTGAACAATAATTCACTCTTGTAATTATCATGACAGGCCTATCTGTTTGATTAGACCACCTGAGTAGAATCTATGCATATTATTGTGGGCTCCTCTTGGTGCTGTGAGCTGTGTGCCTCACCGGGGCCGCAGGACGACGAACGCTTTAGGCACACGCAACCCTGAACCTAATGAAGAAACAGCAATAGAACAGCTTTAATGACCTTCACGAAGCCCAGAGCCCAGAGGAGGGCGAGAGCAGGGCCATGCAGCAGGGGGCAGACTAGAGTCACACTACTGAGCTCAAGACAGAACAGGAAGTCACACTAGAGTCGTCACAATACTCACACTTCAAATGTGATTGTGATCATAAAGAATACACTCGATTAGAGCAGGGTATCATTAAGAAGCTGCAGATACGACACGATACAGTGAGCTTTTCGATTCAAAACAATGATACGGTTCAGTGAAAAACAAAGGCTAACTCATGGGTGCGATACTAAAAGTCCACCAAGTTTGTGCAAAGTTAATATGAAAAACTAGCCCGATTCATCAGCCGGTTTCACTTTGTGGAAACTGTCTGACCTCGCAGCATTAGGATTCGTTCGCTCAACAGTAGGCAGGTACTTTTTTTATTTAACCAATCACTGCTGTTTGTTCGTGACGTATGTAATGTGCCGCTAACACAGCAAACTGTAGGGTGACCAAATGTCTGTTTTTCCACAGACATGTCCGTTTTTTGCGTCCTGTCCTGGGCGTGTTTTTGTTTTTTTTAAAGTGATGTAAATGTCTGGGTTTTCATGATCTTTCAATGGGGCCATTAAATTGAGCGGCTCTTTTAGCTCTCTGTCACTCAGAAGGAGCGAGCAGACACAAACAGTCGGTCAGTCTGCAGCATGTCAAAGCACAAATGTGCATTTAACAATGACTTGTACAGGAAATTCTCCATTTTCTGTCCCAGTCGGGACAAGTGGGAGGCCGTGTGCACAGGTGAGGGTAGCTCAATGTTGAGGCCTCACCCCCCCACCCCTGGTAAGGTGTCCGGGTTTTCACAAATGGAAATATGGTCACCCTAGTTAAATGGAATATTAAGCTTTTCCCAAATCCCATAGGAAGAAGGGCAATAACGTCTTTCCCCTTGATAAAATTCATCAAACATTCTCTTTGTTACAGCTTTAAATTCTCGATCTCGGGAATCGTTGCCAACACAAAATGTCTGTCTTTGTCTACATCCATCTCGATGCTTTGTTTACTGTTGTGCTGTTTAACACAGCTCTTCACTGATTGGCCAGTACATGGTCTACAACTTCCTGGGTTCTTGCAAACCGTCTAGTGTATTCTGATTCCTGATCTAGTCGCTGAAGAGAAATTTAATTGAGGGAGGCACTAGGTGGCACCAGCCTGACTAAAAACAGTGACAATGCCAACACAACTGTAGTTCTTACGCAAATTAATTTAGTAAAATATACCTAAAAATACTCTTGACGATATAGTGATACAGCAGTCCATGATTTCAATACTGTATCAGCAGATTAAACAACACAATATATTGATATTTTGATATTTTTGCACACCTGTAGACTCGATACTAAATACAGATACAGAGAAAACAGGAATTTTAAGAGTACGGTAATGGCATAAAGACTACTCACTCAATCATGCATGAATCACTCTAAACACAACTTTGAGACGGCAAATGAGAAGAGGAAACAATCAGAACAGCTCAAAGTTGATTCTGCAAAAGATTTCAAGCTCAGAATCCCAGTGGAAGCGTTGGCACTACACACTCTAATGCACAGATCTGTCGGACCTGTCCAAGCTGTAGCATTTGCCTTCACTCTACAGTCTCGTATTCATGGGTTTCAGGCATAAAGATTTGTTTCTTATTTGAAGGATTTGGGATGGCAATGGTCCTCTGTAAATGATTTATCTTTTTAATTAGAAATTATCCGCACACAATCAAATAATTTTCCTGAAGCCCATGAATAGTCTTGTATTAGTTCTACAGTTTTCAGTGTAGTTCTGGTTCGGACCTGTCCGGGCTGAGCTTCGGTCCAGTTGTCCAGTCCCTCCTCACAGATAAACACACTGTGCTTGGTTCTGTTCACCAGAGTGTAAAAGGGCACAAAGGTCACGATCCGGGTCAGGCTGAAACTGGTGGCATCGATCTTCACTCCCACCTGCGAGAAAATACACGTCTGTCAGTGTAACTGTATTTTACGCACATGATTACAAATGTCTGTCAGAATGAGACGGCACAGAATCAAATTTTAGTGTGTAAATAAACGCCACAATTATTGACACTACCACTAAACAACAGAAAAAATTAACTAATCGATTCATTAAACACACTAGGTTTACTTCAGTATTGAAATGAAATGATTGTCAGGATGCTTTTTTTTACTTCTACAGTTACATTGTGGCTATAGAAACATTTACCTTTTCATCAAGATCAAGAGTCATTTCTAATCTACTGGGTCTTTTTAATGGATCTGATCTACAGCCAATAATATTTTTTGTAAAAAAGGCATATTCTGAGATTTGCTTCTAAAAAGAAAAAGAATACAAAGACGTGACCAATAAATACGATAAAAAATATTTTTTGTCAAATCGCCCAGACTTTACCCATTAAAGATAATGTACTATCGAAAAATGACTCTTTAAGCCAATGTTTCCCAAACTTTTTTTCTGGAGACCTATATTTTAAAAGTCACAAACTTTGCGACCCAAGTCAATAGACATTACTGAATGATCATGTCTCTCTGAACAATCAGTATTACTTAAGTTTTAAACAATGAAAAACAGTAACTGAAACAGCAATAAAATAATTACAAAAATATCAGAAATTACACAAAACATGTCTTACAATTTCAACATTTCTAATGAGATAGGTGGGCCTGTCTGCGTTTTTGCAGTGCGTTCCAGTCCGGGTTGCAGGAGGAGAGCGCAGCAGCAAATCAGGCGACCCCAAAAAAATTTCTTGCCACCCAGTCTTTGGGAAATGATGCTTTAAGCCATGTCCAATGTTACCTCATCAGAAACATGCCTGTAGTTGTGTTTTGATTCATTCTTAGATCTTTGAGTAATCCTTTATCTGTTTACATCTCTAAAGCTCCAAATGCTCCGTTCCACCTTATGATGTCAGGGTCGTTTTCACATTAACAGATATCTTTTACCTTCAGTTTAGTGCAGATTGGTCATTTCAGGTCTGAAATAATCCAGATGATTCTACTGAAGGTGCATGACTTTAAACAACACCGTGGAGCACTTCCTGTATTACCACATGACATCACACGGTGGGACAAGTTTTCCATTTGAGAAAACAGTACAGTCTAAATATGCAGGATTTGAGAGTTAAACATGTGTGAATGAAACAAAACAAAACTCCGGGTCTGTTTTTGAGGAGATTAGAACATTGATGAGAAAATATCGTAATATGGGCCCTTTAACAGACTTCTCTTGACATCTCTTCTCAGTGCAGACCGCTTCTATTTTATAAAATTAAGTGAAAATAAAGGAGCCGTACCAGATAGTCTTTGTAGCGTCCTTTACACTTGACTTCTCCGTGGCTACCGACTGTGTCCAGGGAAAAATCATCAGAGAGTTCACTGTCCGAGATCATCAGACGAACCTGGAAATGTCCATAAAAAGTGAAAATGTGTAAAACTAAAAATTACTGCAATAATTTTCCATGCTCAAAAAGCATTTTGTATTGTGATATTGTGATTTTCAAATGTAATATCACTCTATCAAAATCCATTTATTGGTATGGTACCTTGTTGTTCCTGAAGAAGTATCTGGGTTTGAAGGAGAAGAGGAGGGGCATGTCGTAGTCCATGGGGTGTTTGCGGTGGATGTCATCGGCCTTGTACTGCAGCAGACGTCCTGTTTTGTTGATCATCCAGTAGGGGGAGTGAATAGCCACCACGGTCTGGCCCTGGTCGCAACTCACGTGCACCGCGATGTCGAGCTCCGCCCTCTTCATCTCTGTTCCGTCACTCACGTCCTCCTCCTCACGCAGAGACTTAAACACCACAAATGTGATTTCCTCCTGGTCACTGCAGAGGCTGCAACAGGATAAAATAAAAACAACATTAGGGAATATTAGAATGGAATTATTTTTGCCTGTCCTGTCTATCTGCAGTCCCTGAGTTATAGGAATAGGAAATAGGAAAATTGTTCCTATCCTCTTGTCTTTAAAAACACAGTGGTCCCACCTGTACTCCGAGGCCCAGTCCTGGGCCAGGTAGTCGATGAGGCACAGGTCCAGACTGGACTGGTCGATGACGGCCGTGTGGAGCTGAGCAGAGTGTCCTGGCTCCAGGGTGGCAGCAGGGGACGCCTCTCCACTGTCCTGTTCAAACATAGAAGGTATAAATAAATCCTATTAAACCATTATATTATAAACATCAGTGTTAAATGCTCCAGGGCCCACCTTGAGTCTGTATGTGATGGGGTAGGGCAGCAGGTTCCTCAGGAGGATGGAGGGCCACAGGTGGAGCACAAAGGGCACGTCGAAGTTCTCCCCAGCTCCTCCAGTGTGAGTAAAGGAGACCGTGTCCTTCTGAGGGACCATGTTGACCGTCAGCACCTGGCTCTGGGTGAAGCGGTGTTTACACGTCTGCTGGATCCTCTGCTCTGGAGCCTGGTTACTCAGGTCCTCATAACTGAAGCCCTCTGAGCAGCAGAACTCTGCCTCCTCCTCCTCCTCTTCCCCTGTCACCGGCTGCAGACACAACTCTGACCTGAGGGGGGCAGCGCAGGAGGGATGAAGGCTGTTTTTTTTAATAATATCTTTTCAAATCTGCCCCAACATTAGTTCCTAAAGCTTAAATGGCCAATATTTTACGTAGAATTATCCTATTTCAACCCACTTCTTTTGCTTGAGAGCAAAAATAACTGGCATTTACGAGCTTAAAATGATCTGAACTATGTGAATTAGACACTTTTGTAAAGGGCTGGGAATACTTAATATAAGTTCAGAAAATGTGATTTTAAAGTCTTGAGTAAATTGTGTCATTACCGATATGAGTCCAGGGGCACACAGAACTCCTCTGTGGGGAGCGCTGTCCCGAGAAACGTTGTTCCTTCAAAAACTTTAAACGGGATTGAGAAGTGATTTATGATCTGCAAAAGACAGAAGAGAAGGTGGTGAAGAATTAAACAGAAATAAAACAACTGTTTAGACTGAATTGCTTTTAAACTTGGTACTTCTTTTAGTGCATTAGAACAGTGTATATTCTAAAAGGAGATGTATAGTACCTGGAAAGGGGAGCGGATCTTGACGTACTTGCTTCCTTCCACAGAGTAGATCTGACAGACGAGGAAGCGCGTGACTCCTGAGTCTCTGTGGACCACACTGTACATGCCCCGGCCCACTTTAATCAGAGGGATCACACTGGTGGGGGTGTGGCCCACGGGAGCTGCACACAGGGAGGGACAGTAAAGAAGACTTCAAATAATAAACACGAGGTCCAAACAGTGGCAGAATCAAAGAATTCTGAGGTCAAATCTGCTACTAAAGATTCAAAATGTAAATGTTATAGATCCTTGTAAATACTAGGACTGTCCAAGCGAGGCAACGTCTGGCACTGGCAGCTTCACTCCCTATTCTGACAGGACAGAAGTGCATTTTTAATCATACATCATTTTACCATAAAAGCCTCACACAGCAGCTGAATTCACAGGCCACTGAGTGCAGTTTATGCAGTTTGTGGAGCAAAATTGCTACTCTGTTCTGTTTAGGGAGTAATAGAAATAAAGTAGTATTAGCGACCTCCATCTCACAGTATCTTATTTTAAACTACAGTCTCTGGACCACAAAAAAAAACATGTTTCACATTTGAAACTTTTATAGGGAGCACTCCTTGGGATTCAATTATTATCATTAAATGGTAGAACAGAACTGAACACATCAATTAGTTCAATTTGCAGTTTGAATGGGAATAATCTTTGAAAGTCCATTTATAAGTATCCAGAGATACTCACTGGGTTGTGTGTAGTATCATAGTACTCACTGGGCTGTGTGTAGTATCATAGTACTCACTGAGCTGTGTGTAGTATCATAGTACTCACTGAGCTGTGTGTAGTATCATAGTACTCACTGGGCTGTGTGTAGTATCATAGTACTCACTGGGCTGTATGTAGTATCATAGTACTCACTGGGCTGTGTGTAGTATCATAGTACTCACTGGGCTGTGTGTAGTATCATAGTACTCACTGGGCTGTGTGTAGTATCATAGTACTCACTGGGCTGTGTGTAGTATCATAGTACTCACTGGGTTTTGTGTAGTATCATAGTACTCACTGGGCTGTGTGTAGTATCATAGTACTCACTGGGCTGTGTGTAGTATCATAGTACTCACTGGGCTGTGTGTAGTATCATAGTACTCACTGGGCTGTGTGTAGTATCATAGTACTCACTGGGCTGTATGTAGTATCATAGTACTCACTGGGCTGTATGTAGTATAGTACTCACTGGGCTGTATGTAGTATCACAGTACTCACTGGGCTGTATGTATAGTATTGTGTAGTATCATAGTACTCACTGGGCTGTGTGTAGTATCATAGTACTCACTGGGCTGTGTGTAGTATCATAGTACTCACTGGGCTGTGTGTAGTATCATAGTACTCACTGGGCTGTATGTAGTATCATAGTACTCACTGGTCTGTATGTAGTATTATAGTACTCACTGGGCTGTGTGTAGTATCACGGTACTCACTAGGCTGTATGTAGTATCATAGTACTCACTGGGCTGTGTGTAGTATCATAGTACTCACTGGGCTGTGTGTATAGTATCACATAGTACTCACTGGGCTGTATGTAGTATCACAGTACTCACTGGCTGTGTAGTATCATAGTACTCACTGGGCTGTGTGTAGTATCATAGTACTCACTGGGCTGTGTGTAGTATCATAGTACTCACTGGGCTGTGTGTAGTATCATAGTACTCACTGAGCTGTGTGTAGTATCATAGTACTCACTGGGCTGTATGTAGTATCATAGTACTCACTGGGTTTTGTGTAGTATCATAGTACTCACTGGGCTGTGTGTAGTATCACAGTACTCACTGGGCTGTATGTAGTATCACAGTACTCACTGGGCTGTATGTAGTATCACAGTACTCACTGGGCTGTGTGTAGTATCATAGTACTCACTGGGCTGTGTAGTATCATAGTACTCACTGGCTGTGTGTAGTATCATAGTACTCACTGGGCTGTGTGTAGTATCATAGTACTCACTGGGCTGTGTAGTATCATAGTACTCACTGTGTGTAGTATCATAGTACTCACTGGGCTGTGTGTAGTATCATAGTACTCACTGGCTGTGTGTAGTATCATAGTACTCACTGGGCTGTGTGTAGTATCATAGTACTCACTGGGCTGTGTAGTATCATAGTACTCACTGGGCTGTGTGTAGTATCATAGTACTCACTGGGCTGTGTGTAGTATCATAGTACTCACTGGGGCTGTGTAGTATCATAGTACTCACTGGGCTGTGTGTAGTATCACAGTACTCACTGGGCTGTATGTAGTATCACAGTACTCACTGGGCTGTATGTAGTATCATAGTACTCACTGGGCTGTGTGTAGTATCATAGTACTCACTGGGCTGTGGTAGTACTCACTGTATGTAGTATCATAGTACTCACTGGGCTGTGTGTAGTATCATAGTACTCACTGGGCTGTGTGTAGTATCATAGTACTCACTGGGTGTGTAGTATCATAGTACTCACTGGGCTGTGTGTAGTATCATAGTACTCACTGGGCTGTGTGTAGTATCATAGTACTCACTGGGCTGTGTGTAGTATCATAGTACTCACTGGGCTGTGTGTAGTATCATAGTACTCACTGGGCTGTGTGTAGTATCATAGTACTCACTGGGCTGTATGTAGTATCATAGTACTCACTGGGCTGTATGTAGTATCATAGTACTGTCTGTGTATCATAGTACTCACTGGCTGTGTGTAGTATCACAGTACTCACTGGCTGTATGTAGTATCACAGTACTCACTGGGCTGTATGTAGTATCATAGTACTCACTGGCTGTGTGTAGTATTATAGTACTCACTGGGCTGTATGTAGTATCATAGTACTCACCGGGCTGTGTAGTATCATAGTACTCACTGGGCTGTGTGTAGTATCATAGTACTCACTGGGCTGTGTGTAGTATCACAGTACTCACTAGGCTGTATGTAGTATCATAGTACTCACTGGGCTGTGTGTAGTATCATAGTACTCACTGGGCTGTGTGTAGTATCATAGTACTCACTGGGCTGTGTGTAGTATCATAGTACTCACTGGGCTGTGTGTAGTATCATAGTACTCACTGGGCTGTATGTAGTAGTCCTTGCCGCTCAGAGAGATCATAGCAGAGAACTGGTCTGAGTCGGTGGTCACAAAGTAGTCCATGCCCAGAGTTCCTCCGTCCTGCAGCTCCACAGTGCGGGTGGGGGCCTCCAGGCCGATGGGGTTGAACATCTCGCTGTAGCGCACAGACACAGGGAGCCCCAGACGATTCTTTACCACAAACGGAGCCTCATCCTTCTGAAAGCACTCGGCCGTCTGCTTAGCTGCCTCTGCAAACGCCTTCAATACACAACAACACAAATGTTTACAGTGAAGAAGACAGATTCTGCTTTTGTCTGCTGTATGTTTTGTTATAATATATGACACATGTGCATCATTAATAAAACTTAAGGAGTCTATAAACCTGGATCAGCCTGGCTTGGACAGATACTGTGGATGAAAAAGGCCAAAAATGCCGTGGTATAACAGGAAACCACAGAGAAACAAGTTTTAGAGAGTTTTCCTTTGCTGTACATAGAGTTGGGGTAACACAGCCTACGGGGAATGAGTCTAAATAGAGCAGACATACATTAAAAATAATTAGGAACTACATTAAATGAACTGTGACAAAACCAATGTGGCTTTTTATGACTGAGTTACACTTTAATGCTTTAATAGTGAGCTGGATATCTGACAGTTAGGTTGTTTTTTTCTAAGGAACTAATAAAAAAACATCTCCCTGGTTTAAATGAGAAAAAACAAAGCAGAACTTGACTTGTTTTGAAAGAAGAAACAGGTTTAACCACACGGGCTAAGCGAAGCAGGGCTGGGTCTGGTTAGTGCTTGGATGAAGAACAATGAGATTACCAGGTGTCACTGTGGGGCGCCAGTGGTAAAAACTGTTGTTGTGTCCTTAGGCAAAACATTTCAGGCACATTTTCCTAGTATGAAAGTGGTGTGTGAGTGGTGGTCAGAGGGGCCAGGACAACTGTGGTAGTATCTTCGTTGCCAGGTTGGTGCCACCTAGTGCCTCTGCTCAGTTTCATTTCTCTCCAGTGACTAGGTCAGGAAACGGAATACACTAGACGGTTTACAAGAACACCGGAAGTTGCAGACTGCGCACCGACCAATCAGTGAAGAGCTGTGAAGCCATGACGTCAAACTCAAGCACCTGTCTGGGTCCTTTTGTGGTACAACACAACACTAAATAAACAAAGCGGTCGAGATGGATGTAGATGAAGACATACATTCTGTCCTGGCAACGATTCCAGAGAGTGAGAATTTAAAGCCGGCACAAAGAGAATGTTTGGCGAATTTTATCAAGGGGAAAGACGTTATTGCCCTTCTTCCTACGGGATTTGGTGCATTAAATACGTCACGACCAAATAGCAGCTTGACCAGTTAAATTTAAAAAGTTCATGCCTACCGTCGAGCGAACAAATCCTAATGCTGTGAGGTCACACGGTTTCCACAAAGTGAAACCGGCTGATGAATCTAGTATCTTACCCCACTGAGTGTAGAATGAATGAATAATGATCTGTAAAGCGTTTTCGAAAGCGTCTTGAAAAGTGCTATACATCTAAAGTATTATTAATGATAAAAGTAAGTCTACACCAGGACGGGACTAGTTCTCAGCCCAGGGGCAGTGTGACCCTTGCAGAAACCCCTCGTGTACAATATCTGCCCCCGTACAGTACGAGACTCACCGTGCCCAGGTTGCTCAGCATGGCGAGCCCACACTTGGACACTGTGATGTTGAGCTGGTCTTTGCTGCTGACCACGATGACGGTTTTATAATCAGGGACGATGTAATCCACCTCATCAGACATCCCCGAGTACTTCACCGGCTTCTTCTTCATCTGTGAACAAAGAATAAAATTACAGTTTCAACAAATAGGCCTGTCACGACAAGATAAAAAAATAATAGATGGAACAAAAATGCTTTGAGAGTAGCTGTGATTCCTGATTTTTAAAACGTCAAAAGAGGAAGAAGGTATTTAAATGGATTTAACTTGTTCCAGAACAGAATTTACTCATATATGACAAAAGAAGTTGGGTACTTCTGCTTAAACTTTTATAGAGTTTGTGTTTGTCATTTAAACAAACCCTGAGCTCCAGTGTCCAGGGCTTAAACCCTTCTTTCTTCTCATCTTCCAAAGGCTCCACCAGAGGCTCCCACACGCCCAACATCTCATTATAATAGTGAACCTGCAGCAGAAACCACACATTTAACAATCAGGCATTTGTGTTTTTTAAAACTTCATAATGACAAATGCAGTTCACAGACCTCCAGACTGAGGGCGCTGTGCAGGTTGATGAGGGTGGACCAGTTGGTGACGTCTCCGTGGAAAGAGGACTTGGCGAGGAGCATGGGCACCGTCCTGTGTCCCACACCGGCCTCCAGGGTCAGACAGATCGACTTAATGCTCATCTAAAAGAAAGATAATGAACAATACAGTGTTTCAGTGTGAGGGTCAGAAATGATTAGTAGATCCATGAATGGAACCACTGCATTAACAGTAACTACTGTATTTTTTTCCGGACTATAAGTCACACCGGCCAAAAAATGCATAATGAAGAAGAAACAAACATAAGTCGCACTGGACTGTAAGTAGCATTTTTTGGGGGGAATGTATTTTATAAAATCAGCAAGCAAGAACCGAAATTTCATCTTGAAAGGCAAGTTACAGTAATAACAATAGAACAGAGAATAAGAGGCTGAACAGGCGTCTAGTATGTTAACGTCACATATGAACAGTTCTTCAGATAACTATAACATAAACAACATAAAATAACAAGTTTACCAATCTCTCCATCTCACTCCAAATCACTAAATCCACTGAATTCTTCATCCTCGGTGTCACTTCTGAGCTACTCTGCCAACTCTAGCTACATCTAGCTTTTTGCCTGCGATTAACTTTCTCTGCTTTTCACTAGTCTCATATTTCACTGCTTGCAGCTACTAACCTGGCAAATATGATTACCTTTATCACTGTGTGATAAAATAAGTCATGATGCAAAATGAACATTAGTGAATGGGATACATCTTAATGACCCGTATGCGTTAAATGTAGGTGAGTGTGTGAATGAAAAGATGTAATGTCTCAAACTTCAGTAGCCGGACACTCATATCTATTCGATACAACTAGCTCCGCCCTCTGAGAGAGCCTGAAATCTACTGAAATCCTACAGGACACTGACATGATACAGACAGGACAGTGGTTCTTTCTGCAGGAGACATGTGCAGTACAGCCAAGTGACAGTGGTAAACGCACACAAGCCTAGACCGCCCTCTCATGGCTGTCAGTGTGAAAATAACGAACATGTGAAATTATATATTTTAATATACAAGTTGCACCTGAGTGTAAGTCGCAGGAAAACACCCAAGCGATGAAAAAAGTGCCAATTATAGTCCGAAAAATACAGTAGTTGAAAGTGTAGAGACTCCTCCTATGAGTAGTGAGTGGTATTACCTGTACACACTCCCTCTGTAGGTCGTGTGGTGTATTACCTGTAGAGACTCTCCAGACGGGATGAGTGGAGCCTGCTGTTGTTGGTCCTCGTCGCTTTCTTCTTCCAGGAACCAGAGTTTGAGGTCCCTCCAGCTGCGGCGCTCCCACAGGTCGACGGGCACGGGGCTGTCCTGCTCCTCGGGGGTCTCTGGGGTCGGGCTCAGGGCAGACTGGATGGTGATTACTGTGTTTATGATGATGGGAGAGACCTGAGGGAGGCACAATGTTTCTGTAATCTTTTATTTGTGTTTTTCATGAATAAATCACTAGAACAAAGAGGGTACGGAAGATTACCTAAATCAGCTTTAAGTAACTTTTTACCTTGTTATAAACTGTTTTCTCAGCTTTACCCACAGACTGAAATATAAATGGACATACCTAACCTAGTAGGCGCTGCATTCAAAATACGAAGTGAGCAGTAAGCATAAAATTAAATAATTTAACCCGCTCTACGTGATTTTTATTTGGCTATTAAATTTCATGCACGTTTGAGTAATCCTATGTCCGTGATTAGAGGCTTGAGAGCTCAGAAAATTCCTGTTTTCACGTACCCCCTATCCCCGCCCACAGTCCTGTACATATAGGAGTGTGCAAAAATATCAAAATATTGATATATCGTATCGTTTAATGTGATGATACAGTACTGATATGGGCTGCTGTATCGATATATCGCTAAAAGTATTTTTTGGTATATTTTACAAAATTATTTTGTTACAGCTACAGTTTTGTTGCTTGTTTAGAGGAAGGAAACTTGTTTATGCGACACATTTGACATTTTCACAGTTTTAATGATTAAAATGGGTGTGTTTCATATTAATCTTGCACAAGAAGTGGTTAAACAAAGCCATGATTTACCCGTTATTTTTTATTTAACTGCATCAAATTGATTTGAAATATATGGTATCAAATCAAAAGTGCACTCTATCAAGATATGTATCGTATCGTGGCCTATGTATCGAGGTATGAATCGTATCAGCAACTTCTTAACGACACCAGCCCTATGTACATAGTTGCCATTATCTGAGTAAAGTAAGGCTCTGACTGATACACAGTATGTTAGTCTTGTAAAATGTAAATTTGACAAATGAAAATCTGAACAATGCATAATGTGTGTTCTGAAAAATGCTCTTGTCCAAACCTTGAGCGTGAGGGAGTTGATGGTGATCTCATTGACCTGAGGCGTGTGAGGCGTCTCGGAGGACAGGAGGAACACCTTACAGGGCTGCAGGACCGTAGTCACATTGTTTTTCCTCTTTTCTCTGAGGAACGGGCACGCCACCACCTGAAACACAGACACACCCCAACATCAGACACTATCAGTGTGTTTACATTCACATCAGTGTTCCGGTTATGATCGGATTTTTTGAGTATCCCAGTTTCGTCATGGTGGATGTATAAGCAGTATCCCAGTTTCAGTATTCGGAATAAGGCAGTATCCCAGTTATGAGAAACCGGGATACTGTAGCTGGTATATTCAGGTAGTAACCGGGATACTGCTTCATGTATACCCAGTATCCTGTAAGATTATGTCAAGAAACCGGCATACTACATTTGATCCTGTACAGGGATATGAGTATCCCGGTTTCTCAGCGTGCATGTATACGCAGTAACCCGAATCTGACATAACAGGGATATGGCTAATAACCGGCATACTGATGTGCATGTACACACACTCAATGAGATTTACATGTTCCATCTCAAATATCTATGCATAAATCAGATCAGAGTTTATTCACCCCTGATAAATAATTTCTTCCACAGGATGTGTTAAAACTTATGTATCACACAAACACTGATCTCACCTTGAGGTCGTTGATCCCGGCGGTTGTCTGTGACCCGTTGGCACCGCTCTTCATCATGAGCTCGCACTGCGTCGTCATGACGAGGGCGGGGGCATCGCCGCGGCTCAGGTCGGCCACGAACACGATCTCAGGATTTCTCACCACAACGTGAATCTCCTTAGACGCAGGGGGAGGAGTCGAGGCTGATGGAGCAGAGGCACCAGATTAAATACAACAACAATCATAAACGAACACTTAAATTATGTACATGTCTATTGCACGACACAAATCTGAAATCCAAAGCAAAGATCCCATTCAGTTTTTTTAACTCTAAAATGTATATCTGTTGTGCATATAGATGTGGGCTGTACATACTTCTATGTTTAATATATTGTACAAACTCATTTGAAACTTTAAATGTGGATTTCTCTGGAATTCTTGGTCCTATCAACATGAAACAAAAACTGCAGTGATCTTGACACCGTGTCATTTATGCCTGAAGTCCACCTGTGTATGTCGAATCGAAAATCAAGATCCGTCAATATGGGGGAAAAAAAATCCTGATTCTTTTTTTTCCATATCGCCGAGCCCTACAGCAAACTATCAATCGGATGTACCACTAATAAACACTCACTGGACTCTCTGGACGCCACAGAGGAGGGGTTCTTCTTCTCTGCTCCGGCGTTGCTCTTGTTCTGAGGAGCCTGACCGAAGCCCTGCTGTGAGGCCGTCAGGAAGATGTTGGCCACCGTCAGCAGGAACTCCATGCTGGCGCAGAGGTAAATGTCCTGCACCAACGTGTCCAGGACTGTGCCCTCTCTGCCCTGACGATACTTCACCTCCACCATCATGTTCTGCTCTGCTCCCGGACGCAGCGCCATCATTCTGTGAGAGCGGAAATTACAGTCAGGGAAATTATAGAGCATTTTCTGTAGGCTTTTAGGTTGTCCTACACAAACATTTAACACCCTGTGCTTCATTCCACTTATTTAGAAAAAGTCCCATAAATGTGTCAGTAGAAAAGAGAAGTAAGTGAGGATGGTATTTTCTGGTATTTATATGTAAAAGGGCAAATTAAACTCATGAAAACTCAGGAGTCAAGTTTATTCTGTCCTATACTTCGTACCGTATTTTCTGCACTATTAGACGCTCTGGATTATAAGACGCACTGTCACTGAATGGTCTATTTTCAAACTTTTTTCACAAATAAACCATACTGGACTTTAAACAAAACACAAAAGTGTGATGGGTCAGTGGTTTTGTTTGTTTGTTCGTTCACGGTGACTCTGGGCTTTGTTCACTTGTGGCGTGTAGGGAGGGTGCTGTCTGGGACCAACGGATTGTCGGCGTGTTCGCAGTGACTCAGTTGTTCAGTTGTGTCTAGAAGCGGCACATTGCACTCACTTTTACGGTTCGTTCCTCCGTTCCATTCCTCGTCGGCGTGGAGTAATGAGTGTGTCTGTGGGTGTTTTTCGCCGCACAGTCGCTGTCTGCTCCGTGTGTGTTTGCGTGCGCTGCGGGTGGTGCGGCTTTATAGTTTACTGAAGTCGTGCTGGGACACCCGAGTGGATTCATGTATAGGGCGCTCTGGATTGTGGGGCGCGCAATATTTTTTTGATGGGGTTGGAGGCTTATGAGCCTCTTCTCTCCAATTTATGTCTCTCTTTTTTTAATTTTAATCTTCATGATTATTTATTTTTTGATTTGTTTTTATTATGATTTTAATGTATTTCTTATTCTGTAAAGCACTTTGAATTACTTTGTGTACGAACTGTGCTATACAAATAAACTTGCCTTGCCTTGAGCTTTGCCCTATGGTGTGGAAAATATGGTACTTTTTTCTGTATAAATAGTTGTTTTTGCATGAGCTCCCCCTGCAGGTGTAGTCTTGTGAGTGCAGTTTGGGTCAGATACACAAAGATATGAAATAGTTTTGAGAGCTTTTGCCACACCCCCTGACTAATCTATCAGCAGGACATGTCTTTAGTTAACCAAGAATTTCTTTAGTCGACTACAGCCCTGGTGTATAGTAGTTTAAACCTCTACAGACATGTGAAATGCACAGGATTCTTGTAGTAGTTTATCAGTTCTTTCAGTCTTCTCTCAGATGTTACTGCTCCAGCCTGTGCCTTCAGTACCTGGACGTGACCATCTTGATTTTGGGTCTCTTGTCGTCGAGGAAACAGGCCGCCAGCTGCACCAGGGCCCTCATGGAGCTGTCTGAGAACATGTGGAACGAGGTGGAGATGGTGCCCAGAGTGAACTCAGCCAGTTTGAGCTGCTCATCGTGAGAGTCCAACAACTGCGCCTTGAAGAGAGCAGCAGGAGGAATGTTAGTTTTGATTGATAGAGATAGATATTTTTATATTTTCGAGAGTGAAGACTGCATTGGTCAGGCCAGCTGTAGTGTAAAACAGGGACAGAGAGGTGAGATACATTTGGGAAACAGTCATTGCCGGGAGATAAACCCACAACACTGAGGTGATAAAACCACAAATGTGCAAACTTAAATCACTACACCGCTTGTTTGTGAAATATCTAAAAAGGTTCGTGGGAAGTAGTCACAACCAGGCAATCACTATTTCACATCAATCAATGCCAGCACACAATGAAGCTAGAGTAAACGTGTCTGTCTATTCCCCACTTAACATTGTTACAACAAGCTAGAATAACTGTGCCCGTTTATTCCCCGCTCAATAATTGTTACAATGAAGCTAGAACAAATGTGTCCGGTTACTCCCCGCTTAACATTGCTACACACACAATGAGGCTAGAATAAATGTGTCTGTTTACTCCCCGCTCAACATTGCAATCATCACACAATGAGGCTAGAATGAATATGTCAGTTTATTTCCCGCTCAACATTGTTACAATCATATCAATCAATCAATGGGTTTAAGCATCAACCATCACACAAACTGGCACATAAGAAAATCAAACTCACCGTTGACACTGGGCTGGAGAGCCAACAACCCACGGCAGAGTGGCTTAAACCCGGCTGGGCGTTCGTACGTAACCCGCAGCAGACTCTAAAGTGGGTGCTTTCCCTCCGCCTCTATATATTCTCTTCATGCACCTGTGCGTGCAGAGAGGGCCAGTCTCCACCGCGCACACATACATGGAGGCGCATTCCTGTCCCATGTCCAGTCTTCTGAGACTGGCAATGGGGCAGGATGCCCTGTTTTTCGTAAACACAGTGTCCTTGGCACAATCCCCTACTAAAAGATAGCGAGTTGTATAAGCATAATATTGACTCCGTGCAGGCATGCAGGTCTTTATGAATTGGTCTCAGGACCATCTTATATGTTCCCACTACACCGCTGTTGAGCACTAGCCAGGCTGATGCCACCTAGTGCCTGCACTCAATTTCATTTCTCTCCAGTAACTATGTCAGGAATCAAAATACAATAGTGTGAGTTCAGGCACCAGCCAATCAGCGAAGAGTGATATATTCAGTGTTGTCAACGATTCCCGAGATCGAGGATTTAAAGCTGGAATAAAGAGAATGCTTGGTGAAATTTATCAAGGGGAAAGAGGTTATTGTCCTTCTTCCTAAGGGATTTGGGGAAAGCTTAATATACCGTTTATCCCCATTAGCGGTGCATTACATACGTCACAACCAAATAGCAGCGATTGGTTAAATGATAAAAAGTACTCGCCTACCGTCGAGCGAACGAAATCTAAGGCTGCGAGGTCACACGGTTTGTACAAAGTGAAACAAAGTAAAACCGGCTGATCAACCAGGCTAGTTGAGCACTACATCCCTCTCACTCCGCAGTTGGTGATGGTAAGCAGCTATTGTAGCCACAGTTGCCCTGGGGCAGAAGTGACAAAGAGGTGAGGCCACTAGTCTGCACTATCACCTCCTCAGACCCTCGCCAACACTCACAGGCACACTCACTCACTCACACTCACACCACATTCATGATGAGCAAGAGCCTAAGGATTTAAAGTCAGTATGCACTGGTACAGGAGCAGAAAACTGAAGCACTACTTTTTTAAAACACCATTATGTCACAATATTCCAGATTTCGTAACATCTCTCCAATAGGTAGAGAAGAATTCAGGCTTTTGTCATAATTCACATACAACCGAGATGTGGAAAATTACCTCATTTCCATTTGGAGTGAACAGGACCAGGGTCATGGAGTCAAACTTAAAGTCTAACTTCAGAGACGTCTTGGGTTTGGTGTTTTTCTGAGACTCGACCACAGCAGAAGTCACCACTGTGTTATCTGCAAACACAAGACAGAAACCACTTTCAGTCTTGTTTTCATTCACATTCAATTACTGAAGTTGGCTCAAATATTACAAAACTAAACTAAGAATATTATTCACATTTTTAGCTCATTTTTAACTTGACAAATCAAAACTACTCAAATCAAGATGACATATTCTTCATTTAAGCAACATGAAAAACAAATATGACATGCATTGCTCTCTCCTGATATGTGGTGAAAAATGTGCACCTCAGCAATAAAAAAAATAAAAAAAATTATAGTTCATTGAATGATGCCAGAGCTGAAAAGGGGGATAGGATTTACATAAGTTTCATATTTAACTTCTCCTTTTCTTATTTTAAGTTATATATTTGTTTAAAACCATTCATATTTTTGGTGTTTGTGGTCAGGGTATCCCCAGGTTTGACTACCCCAAATTTAAGACTTTTTAAAGACCTTTTTAAGACCACTTAAAAGAAAATTAAGACCAACATCGCACCAATTATGCAGGCGAAAACCACCAGATCCAATTCTAATAATGACCATTACTCACTGCTTTAAACAACAAAAAATACTTTAAATATAAAATCTCATTCAGAACTCATTTATAGAAGTATGCATTGCTGGTAAAATGGCCAAAAAAAAATCATTTATAGTGTTAAAATATATTTACAAAAGTTTACAAAAAAATAGGCTAACGAAAGTTAAGACCTTTGTGAAAAAAATAAAACTTGGACAACATCATTTAAGACTTTTTAAGACCTTAATTTAGGAACATGAAATTTAAGACCTTTTTTTAAGACTTTTAAGACCTTGCGGCGATCCTGGTTATTATATTTATTGTGATGTGTGAGCTACTGTGTCCAAACAATTTCCCTCAGAGAGACTTGGACTGTTCCTAAGTCTAAATGTATAAATGTATTCGAAATAAAAACAACAATTAATCAAAATCAATCACTCATGCTCACTTCGGCTGGGTGGAGAGGTGCCTGAGCCGCGGGTGGAGGCGTCAGAGGAGGGGTCGGAAGAGTCACCGGGGTCACCGGGGTCAGAGGAGGGTGGAGGCTCCGAGGGGCCACCGAGCTCGGAATTCTCAGACAGGTTTTCACTCAAAGTCCTGAGCACCACAGTGAGGTCGTCCTGGCTCAAGATCAGCTGCCAGACACAGAGAAATACAGAGATGTAAATGTGGAAGCAGTGGAAGTCTCAATGTCAAGAGTTCTTATGAAAAACACAGATTTACATAAACTGTTTCCAAGTAATTTCCCTTAATGATCTATAAAGTTTGTCTGAGTCTAAACATATTTGTATTTTCTTCTAATTATTCAAACTTAAAGCTGCCATCTGTAAGTTCATCTGTCCCCTCCTCCCCCTCACCTGGCCTCTGTTCTGGCTCACGTGTGCTCTCTGGTCTTCTTCTGTCAGACCAAAGCGGACTGCAGTAATTTGGACAGTCTCTAGTGTTGATATTTGAGAATACGACAGGGGCGGAGCTGTCAGTCTGATTACAGATGGCAGCTTTAATGGATACGTACGTTCATGGGTTTGAGGTGTGCGATGATCTCGATGTCGGGGATGTTGTGGTACCAGTTTGACGACAGGTTTCTCAGAACCTCCAGGTCCAGACTCACGGGCATCAAGAGCTGAGTCTCCCCCTGGAACTTATCGTTTTTGTACGTGGTTCTGAAATACAAACCACAGCACAGTTTTATTGCTGTATTATTATTATTTATCAACCTCACAGTGCAAAAAGAAAAGAGTTTGTTACCACCACAAAAATGTATTTTCTGAAATAAAATAATTAGGCCTACATTATATTAAGTAGAACCAATAGTTTACTGAAACTCCAGAATTGCATAAATTGCATTTCATGTCATGTGTTGTGACACCAGCACGAGCCTCTGGGGTAAGAGGAAACACTCCACAGTCGACTAAATTAGCATGACATTTACATTAAAACTAGATTAAAACTAAAAAGGAATTATTTGACTAAATCTACTATCAAATTAAAGTGATTTTCATCAAAACTATTTTTTATTTCTTGTCAAAATGAACACCTCCTCACTCACCTGTACATCCTGAGGTCGGTCAGTTTGACTTTTATGATATCGACCACCGGGGGGATCTTGGCGTCGGACTTGAATGGCTTTGTGACGAAGCGGTTCTTGACGGAGAGTCGGCCCAGATCTGCTACGATGACGTTTGAGGAAGAGGAGGACTGAGGGAGGAAGATGACGGGAGCGTTAAAGTGCACACTTAGAGAGATCCGGGAGCTCCTCTCGGCCAGCTCCTTCACCCCAGACGCTGCCTTTTCTGCAGCCTGAACCGTCACCTCTGCCAGGGCCGCCTTCGCCTCCTGGAAGTTATTAATGAACGCCTGGAACAACAGAGCACAACAGGTGTTCGTCACCAATAAAATTTAATTTCCATTTAATATTTAACCTAATTTAAAGCTAGGCTAGCTGCTTTTCAAACTGTGAAAGGGGAGGTAGGTATTTAAATAACTAACTTGCTCTCACAAACCCCTTTACACGTAGTTAGTATTCACATACATTCAACAACACAGTCAAAAATACAAAAAAGTATTTAAAAAATGATTTGGTGGCATTCACCCTCCTCAATAATAATGCATCAGTCTTATACAACACTTTTCCAGATGCTCAAAGACATGATTTTAGGCATTCATTCCTTTATTCCACACACTTTAGTCACAGCTGCCCTGGGGCAGACTGTGCCCCACTGGCAGCCCTCTGTGGACCTGGTAATCCCAGCAGCCTCCCATCCAAAAACTAACAAAGCTTCAGAGATGTGAAGAATAAGTTTTTCCAAGCAGGCTTGGCCTAATTAAATGATTAAAAACACCCAGAATGAATCAGACATTGGTTTGTGGACATAAATAAAGACTTGTAGACACTGATCTCTTATGGATCAGTCTGCTGCTTAGAAAGGGACAAGGCTCAGAAAAGACTGTGATTCAAACCTGTGTGAATTGTATCTGAGTGTGTTTTTGATCAAACTTTGCATAATACACTGCTTTAAAAACTTTCTTATGCATATTTTATTATAAGGAAAGGTAAGGTTTTACTCACCAGTATGGAGGAGAGGAACTTGTTGAGGAAGACAACCTGGATGCAGCCCACATTCAGAGTGACAGATGTGTCCACTTTAGACATGTCCAGGTACGCGTCTCCTTGAGTGGCACAGGTGTAGTTCACCATGCGGAAGTCAAACACCTCCTTATCAGCAATGGACACAGCCTACAAGCACAAGAATCAACCACTTATGTAAATTATTTAGACTATTTTAATAATTTGTACATTTTAATCAAATTTATTTTTCATTTGAACCATTCTTCAATCAGCATAAACTCCAGCTCCAGATAAAGTCAGATGTGTTTCTGAAGGACTGGGCTTCATGTTTTCGGTAGTTGGGGAAAACCGTAGTACCGTATTTTTCAGACTACAAGTCGTACTTTTTTTCATGGTTTGGGTGTTTCCTACGACTTATATATTAAAATTTCAGTATCTGCTGCTCCTGTTCCTCCTGTACCACTGTCACTTCACTCTACTGAGCATGTCTCCTGCAGAAAGAGTCTCTGTCCTGCTGCAAGTCGTGAAATATTCAGCCGAAAACGGAAATCGAGCAGCAGAAAGAAAGTTTGGAGTGAGCGAGAAACTTCTGACACCGGGAGGATGCACCATGAAACTTTCCTGAAGTCACTGGATGGATGGACAAAGCCTGGACTTCAGTGACACCGAAACCATCCTGTCAGGATTCAGAAAGACCGGAATAATTCTAACTGGAACTGATGCTGAGTCTGACGACAGCGACACTGAAGAGGAAGCGACGCTCTGTTTACCTCCGGAGGTCGTGGAGTTGTTCAGAAGTGACACCGAGGACGAAGAATTGAATGGATTTAGTGCTTTGGAGCGAGATGGAGAGTTTGTTAAACTTGTTCTGTTCTGTTGTTTATGTTATAGTTTATCTGAAGAACTGTTCATATGTGACATTGACAGTCTGTTGTTCTCTCTTCTATTGTTTTTATTAGAACTTTCCTTTCGAGATGAAATGTCTGTTCCTGGTCTCAGATTTTATAAAATAAATTTCCCCCAAAAAGTGCGACTTATCTATGTTTTTTTCTTCTTCATTACACATTTTTTGGCTGGTGCGACTTAAAGCCCGAAAAATGCAGTACTCAAATGAAACCCACCCAGACACAGGAAGAACATGCCAACTCTAAAGTGGGGCCTTCTTGTTGGGAGAAGAGAGTGCTAACCACCCCACTGTTTTTATAATAGTTACATGTACCTTTTTGTACAGGGCGTCTTTGTCACAGTCAAGAATGATGATGTTCTTCAAATGAGCCAGAATCTCCATCTCTTTTTTCCTCATGAGAACCTCAGAGACCAGACCTGCACAGGAGGAACAAACATGAAAACAATGGCAGCAAACTTCACCATCCACCATTCATTGGGCGGTGGTTTTGGAACACGTTCTGAAGGACAATGTTTTAAAAAGTAAAATAAAAAATGACCTTCGATGCTGATTTCTGAGATTCTGGCTTTCTGTCCTCGGATGAAGATTTTGAGGCAGCGGAGATCAGCTCTGATGTGCATGTTCACTATGTCTGCAAACTTTGAGCTTTTAACACCTAAAGAAACAAAAAAAAGAAGAGTGTTACTCAAAAACATTGCATTATTTATTTACTTTCTGGCAAGCTCCTGTACTGACAACCGCCTTTTCAAGATCATATTTGTCATTTTTGTTTCCGTACTTGGTCTCCTGACGAGCGCGGTCTCCTCCTTCTTCTCTTCCTCCTTCTCGCCGTCGCCTTCATCTTCCTCTGGGATGGTGGGCAGCTCCTCTGGGCCCACCTCCTTCGGGCTGGACGTCTTTTTTGGCAGAAGATTGTCCAGGAAGTTCATGGTGTTCAGAAGAGCCTCTGTGTGGAGGTGGACGTCCAGAGAGGAGAAGGTCACCTGATCAACACGACAACAGAATCATTTGTTTGAGTTTTTTTACATTTAAAGAAGACCTATCATGCTTTTTCTGCTATATAGTTATAATCTATGTCAGATGTAGATTTTTATTTATTTTTGATCATTTTAAACCACAATGTAGATCTAAAATGATTAGATAAATATAGAATATCTGAATAGATAAAAGTCCATTGCTATGGACAGGTACAGTTCATGGGAGCAAAAAGTGATTTTTTTTCATTTTCAAATTGTGCCAAAACGGCTATGAAGCGCCGCTGAATCCTACATGTGGGTTCGGTCAAGTGGTAACGGAGGGAAACAGGGGCAGATTTTTTACATTCAAATGTCTCTTATTCAGAAACTAGAGGGACTATTGAAATAAGTAAAGTATCAGAATGTAGGAAAGAGTTACACTCCAACAGGGTCAAGTTAAACCTGTGATATTCTTTCAAGTTGTTGACAAAAAATTTTAAAACTCATGTTGGTAACGGAGGGAATGAAATATGCAGCACTTTTTGGTCAATAAATACAAACAGTGATAACTCGTGGTTCTCACTTACATATCCTTAACAAACTGGTTTAGAATATTTGCTTCATATAGTTTTCTACCATATGGTACAAGATTAGGTTGAAAAACCTCTTACTTTTTGAGTAATGAGATTTTTTATTAAGAAAGGTCATGGTAACGGAGGGAAAAGTAACAGAGGGAAAATTGTGCAAACAAGTAGAAGGTGCAGGATTTTGTATAATTTGTCAACTTTTTTCTTCTGAAAACTTTAATATTACTTCAAAATGAAAGGAAACTTTCTATAAAATATGTCAGTCCTTCCAAGCAAATTTTTATAATTTTAAATACTTTTTTTGTTTTAAATCATGTACCTTCATCAACAGTTCAAAGATGGAATAACACAAGATATGATGAAATACATCCATTTATTGACATGATTTGCAGGTCTTTGAAATTTGGGAAATAATTTTTGTTCCATGTTTCATACATGGTCTGTTTAAAACATATGTAACTTTAGAACCAAAAATGGTACAGAAAAAAGGTCAACAGTTTCATAAACTAGAGTACATATGTATCTGTTCAATACATTTTTATATCAGATGCATTAACTTGAATTTTTGGCCTTGTTGTTTACTTCTGCTTGACTGGGCCCATGTATCGTGTATTTTGAAAATAAAATAAAGATGAGTTATTGATTTGGTGATATGATGTGGTTTCAACATTTGGGCATAGACTGAAATGCAACAATAGAGGAACCACATGCATTTTAGAAGAACGTTGACATTTCAGCCCTCATGGTTTGCCATTTGTGACCTTTCAAATTCCAGTATCTCATTAATAGCTGTCACTGATGCTCACCTTGGTCAGCTGCTCCGTGTTGCTGTGCAGAGACTTGAACTCAGGGCCGTTTTTATCTGCCTAAAAACACACACACAAAAAACAAACAATTAAACAAGTCTAACATTCTGTATACTGTATGAAACTCAATCTCTTGGTTCTTGTGGCTCAGACCTTGATGTACTCCAGCGTGAGCAGGTCCTCTTCACAGTTGTCTCGTGTGGTGATGAGCTGAACCTCTTTGGCCTCAGAATCTACATGAAAACATTTTTAAACACAATACTTTAAACACAACTTACATATAGAGCTAAACAATCCGTGTATCATTCGTTTTTCAAAATAGAATCAAAAATAAGAAAACAAAAAAACAACTATTTTCTTCATTATTTGTCTCCAAAACCAAAATGAAAAAATTGATAACCATTTGTTTTTTTTTCATTTTTTGATTTTGTGTTTAAATAAATAATGGAAAAAATGGATAATGTCTGTTTCCCGTTTCCGTGACTTGATCTGCGATGCCGGACTGAACCAGGACTAAAACAGGACTAAACCGTTCTCAGTCCTAGTCTCAGTCCCGGTCTCAGTCCTAAACTAGGACTAAACCAGGACTAAACCAGAACTGAACCAGGACTAAACCAGGACTAAACCAGAACTGAACCAGGACTAAACCAGAACTGTCAGGTGATCAGGAAACCAGGACCAGACTAGGACTGACATCGGGACCCGGTTAAGTCAATTCTGGTTCAATTCTGGTTTAAAGCTGGTTTAGACCTGTTCAGTCCTGTTTTAGTCCTGGTTCAGTCCGGCATTGCAGTGTAAGTCACGAAAACGGGAAACGGCCGTTATCTGTTTTTTCCATTATTCATTTAAACACAAAATCGAAAAATGAAAAAAACTAAATTAGCTTTCTCATTTTGGTTTTGGAGACAAATAATGAAGAAAATTGTTGTTTTTTTCCATTCTTATTTTTGGTTTTATATTGAAAAACAAATGAACGAATGATACACGGATTCTAGACTGGCCCCTGCGGCTCGTCCTTTTTATAAGATACAGGTTCACTTTTTCTAAACCAGTGTGTAATCATATTTTTTTTTTTTACGTTCTAATTTTTACAGTCCATTCTTTATTGATTTAATTACATCAACAAACATATTTTCAGCCGTTACAAGAAAAAACAGCTCTGAAAAAGAATTGGCTCTGATTGCCTTTTGAAAAGCCGTGCCAAGTGCAGAGAGTGAGTCAGCCTGTGATTTACACTGTGGCATTCAGACCTGCTTCTTGATACAAATCTGGAGAGCCAGTTTAAAATATAACACTACAACGGACAAAAATGTCACAGATCTTGCATTCAGAACCCTATAGAACACAGGAGCCAACTTCTGTCGATGTGCACCTTGTTATTTGGTGAAAAATATGATCTTTTGTCCACAGATAATATTTAGTAAAAGCAAAAAATTTACTGCAAATGTTAAAGTTCCGTTGATTCATGGGGCTTATAAACCGATGGCAGTGAATAATCCAGGTTTTAGAAATATGGGAGGAATATGAGGAACGAGAATTTGTTAATGTTGTGCCTCTCTGTTCTGTTTTTTGTTCTGTTTATGTTTATGTTTAATATATTCAAAAATGTAATTCATATTTCAATTATTAAAACAGAAAAGAGACTGTGACCTCCTTCCTGACACTGACCCATGTACTCGGGGCACTTGAGGCAGATCTCCTTCAGGTAGGTGTTGGACGTCATGTCAAAGGTTCTGAGCTTCAGTTCTGTGCCCAGACCCTCGATCTCCAGCAGCAGAACAGTGATCTCCACGGCCTCCGAGAGGCGACACAGCTCCACCGAGAACTGGACAAAAACACACACAAACATGACTCAGACTGGGGGCGCTAATACTGGCTCTGGTGCTCGCAGAAGATCAGAATAAAACTAATATAGTTTTACAAATAAAAGATTTTACACTGGAATCTAAGGTGTCACTTGATAAATTCAAGATTTTTCTCAAAATTGTGGTGACCAAGAGGTGTGTATGTTTTTCTTGAGAGACGCAAATGGTTTTATCAGAGTTCCCACTCTTTTTCATTGACAAAATTTCAAAACTTTTCCATGACTTTTTCATGACCTAAAGTGAATTTTCCATGATTTTACGGCACTTTACGGCACCTACATGTGAACTGATCAGACTTTTAGGGTTAAATATTAAATGTTAACCCTTTCCACTCACTTTATGGTTTGGTATTACATTTTTTTAACATTCAAAATACTGTCAGTGTATTTATTGTCGTCTCTTTTAAACAAAAGGTGCAGATGTTCAGAAATAATCAGAATAGCCTCATGAGAACTTAACAGAACACTGTAGTTGTGTGAAAGAGATACTGAAATTCCATGACTTTTCCAGGATTTCCATGACCATGAGAACCCTGTTTTATAATGTGGTTGGTACTTTATGATTTTATTGTTTTTATTGATTGTGTTGGCTGCTACCTAGGCCAGGTCTCTCACTGATCACTAATATTTAGCTCCAGTATTTTGCTCTGTGTGTCCATGTGACATTCTCAGTTTATCCTCAGTTCATCTGATGAGACGTTTTAAAAAGTCTCGGGAGTTACAAAACTGGGGCTGATTTGGTCACATATTCACATAAAATATGAAACAGTTATATTGGCCAGAATGAAACAAAACAAAAACAAGAATATAAAGGTATGCTTTTAGCCTTTGTTGTTGTTAAATTTAAATTCTATTCATAGTTTATGCGTTAACCTCACATTTGGTCATAGAGAGATCTGAGCAGAGTTCTAATGGATTTTCATACCTTCTTGAGCAGTAGTTTCACAGTCATTTACTTGAAGCACTCATGTCTGTTTATACTAGATTACACTGTCAAACTTTGTGCCACGTCTGATATAAATCGTTTGGCATCAGTGTAAGTACCTTGTCTATTTCGAAGTTGAGTACGAGGTCGGTCATGTTCTTCTTGGCGTCGTCCTGCAGGCTTGTTCTCTTGCTGATGGTGCGCAGAGGTCTGGGATCATCAGGGAAAAAGGGTTTATCGTCCAGAGGAGAAGTGGGAGCGTCGTAGAACAGTTCCTCCTCTGAGCCTGTCACACACACGCACAAATGGGACTTTACACTTAGGGCTTTGGAGAAACATGGAATTAAAATTGTAATGAGATTGTGGCAGTAAAACGTCTCTTTACCCATTGAGGTGAGGCTGGTGATGGTTTCGCAGGACTCGAAGATGAAAGAGGAGCGCTGGTCTCCCAGGCTCAGGGGGCGTCTGTGTGTGAGCTGAGGAGTGAAGCTCCTGGGCTAAAGACAGAGGAGAAACAGGCATCTATAATATAATGACTTTATGAAGAGAAGAATCTTTGGCATTCACAAAAATCTTATGCTGCATTCTATTGTGCTCAGGACTCGGGAAAAAACGATCTTCACCTCGAGAAAGTGCAATGGAACGGCCAATCCAAAACACAAACTAGGGATAGAACTTTCTCTGATCTGGCCAAGATTTTAAAACTTACATCGGGTTATTCATCTTGTTTTCAGTTTTATTATCTACTTAATAGTTCTGAGATGCTTAATTCTAGTCTAGAGATTTGACTTGTCAAGCACGGATAGATAATTTCACTACTTTTAAGTCATTTTCTGATAGATTTAAGTGTTTTATAAATTTTGGGCACGCTTTTTTGAAGTGTACCTTGATAAAGCCCTGGTCTGTTTGTGTCTGTAACTTGACTGTTCTGGTCTGTTTGTGTCTGTCTTGAGTCTGTTTGTCTGTCTTGACGTTCCTGGTCTGTTTGTGTCTGTGATCCTTGGTCTGTGTCTGTTGATCTTGATCTGTTCTGGTCTGTTTGTCTGTCTGTCTGTTTGTGTCTGTATCTTGACTGTTCCTGGTCTGTTTGTGTCTGTATCTTGATGTTCCTGGTCTGTTTGTGTCTGTATCTTGACTGTTCCTGGTCTGTTTGTGTCTGTACTTTGATGTTCCTGGTCTGTTTGTGTCTGTATCTTGATGTTTCTGGTCTGTTTGTGTCTGTATCTTGATGTTTCTGGTCTGTTCGTGTCTGTACCTTGATGGAGCCCTGGTGAGGGTTGGAGCGAGCGGGGGGCCGGCTCTCAGGCAGAGGAATACTGTCCACCAGCTCCAGGACACTGCGCAGTTTGTTATCAGAAATACGCAGAGACAGACGCGGGAGCTCTCCAGACAGCTTATACCTGCAGAAAGGAAAGGGTTACAGCAGGAGCAACTTCTGAAAGCATATAAATTTTGTAAAAGTTTAGCAGTTTTAATTGTGCACTTTTGAACTGAACCTTTTTACTGTAATGTATAACTCAAATAGCTCAAATACCGTATTTTTCAGACTATAAAGCGCACCGGAATATAAGGCGCAATATCAATAATGTTGAATTCTCTCATCCATTTTCATACATAAGGCGCACCAGATTATAAGACGCATTAAGCGAAACAAACGGACGAAACTTGAGACTGATACTTTAGCCCAGGCGTCCACGATCCATTAGCAGATTGCGGCATAATTTCGCCCGCCGTTGCCTCCCTATCTTGGTGAATGTGTATTATGAACGTAAATGTGGGTGGATAATTTAAGTTTGTTTTTTATTTCCTACAAGGAGATCTCAAATATATGTCGAGTAATAAGGTGTTTAATGCAACTTTGCACACATTTGTTTACATTTTAGAGAAATAAGACTTAAAACCACATGACTCATTTGCATAAACTATAAGCGCTGAAAAAACAGCTCGCTCCTTGTGCGCTGATGCTGTTCAGCTTCTGTCGGGCTAAACACGACTCACTTACTCTGCGAGGCTCCTGACTGCAGTAGCCATAATGCTCCAACAATCCATCAAGCGGTGCGGCCTTATAGTTTAACAAAGTCGTACTAAAACATTTTGATAGATTTTTGAGCACCGTGTACCACATAAAATCCATTCAAGGTCAATAAGCACAATTAATTAATGAATTAATACATAAGGCGCACTGGATTATAAGGCACACTGTTGATTTTTGAGAAAAATTAAAGGATTTTAAGTGTGCCTTATAGTCCGACAAATACGGTACTTGTAAGAGAAATACATTCAGTCTTAATCTGACGTGTCATGAAACCCCAGAGCTGATGACAGACTCACTTGGCCATGCGGGAGTCTTTGACGACCATGGCACGACTAAACACCACCTTCAGATCCACCGGCTCCAGGATGTGCAGAGGAGACTCTCTCTGTTTACGCGCCATTTTCCAATCTCCATCTGACACAAAACAATATAAAGGAATGAAATTAACTACATCTTTAAATCAGTTATTCAGAATATGTATGCCATGGACTTTTGTATGTAAATCTCAGGAAAAAATTTAAAGTTTGGTTTTAGCTGTAATGTCCAACACTGCAAAAAAAGCTAGGCCAAAATTTAAGATATAAACACTTAAATTAAAAGTAGTGAAATTATCTGTCCATGCAGCAAGATAATTGTACTTGACAAGTCATCTTAAATTGAACTACCTCAAGACAAGAATTAAGCAGTCCCAGAACTAGTAAGTCGATAATAAATCTGAAAACAAGATGAATAACCTGAGATAAGTTTTAAAATCTTGGCCAGATCAGAGAAATATGCAGTGAAGCAAGAGGCCGTAAAAGCTTCTACAGCGTGAAAACCCTAACTGCTTGATGTTTATGATGCAAGATGATGTAAATGGTCTAAATATTAAACTGAAGTCTTGTAGATGGTTTGTGTTGCGCTATTCATGCATATATGAAATTGTGGATCATACAAAAGTCATATTTTTTGTGCAAATGTATGCTCACTGTACATGTTTTTGTTCTATTATTGTGAAAACCTTCAAGAAAAATAAAGTGACAAAAAAAAGAAAACCCTGATTGCTGTCATCTTCTCGTGCTGTGAGGAGTTTGAGTAATGAGCCTGTCCGTTCCAGTGTGTTCTGAGCCGTACCTGGTTTGCTGTAGAGGAACTGCAGGCTGCTGAGCTGGATGTCGAAGCTGTCGTAGGCTCTGGACATGATGTCTTCGATGTTACTGCAGGTGACGGACAGCTGCGGCAGGTGCTTTCTGCTCTGGCTCGACATCTGTGAGAGCAATAAACTTCTGTCAGGGCTCCATCGCTGCGGGCTGGGTTAGGACGCCAAAAGTATAAAAAAATCTGATGCTAATCGACACTAAAACTAGTATCGAAACTAGAGACTCATTTGAGCAAGTATCGATACTAGAGCCCGACCGATATATCGGTTGGCCGATAATATCGGCAGATATGGGCACCTGGAGGCATATCGGCTATAAGTCCCGGTTTAGTCCTTTTTCAGTCCTGGTTTAGACCTGGTTCAGTCCTGATTCAGTCCTGCTTTAGACATGCTTTAGACCTGCTTGCAACAAAACAATCTGAAGAGCCCACTTGGGAGCCAAAAGAGCCGGTTCTCTAAAAAGAACTGGAATACCCATCACTAGTGTCTAGAATGTGATGCAAAAATGCCATTAAGCCAACCTACTGTCTGTAAATATGATGTAAAGAGGCAGAATAACAATAAATGTTGCCTAAATAAACCCAATTTAAAATCCACCAGAGCCAAACCTAAGTTTTTTAAACAATTCAACATTTACAGTGAATTTTTACATCACTAAATATATCGGCGATTATATCGGCTATCGGCAGTGACAAACTCCCATTATATCGGTTTCATATCGGCCACAGCAAAATCCATATCGGTCGGGCTCTAATCGATACTAAAAAATTCATATTCAGAGGACAGAAATGAACCTTCCTTGTATATCTTTAGAATGATCTTAAGCTGTATCAGAATTACATATATAAACACACATGGGAATAGAAAAGAAAGTACTACCATATTTTTTACTCTCATTGTTGGTATAGGAATCTGTATTTAGTATCGAATCTATTCCTTAGTGATGAATTAGAGTTTGAAATTTTAGTATCGTAACAAGATCCATGTACCATATGCTCTTTTTTGTTTTTGCTTTTGTTATTTCTTTATTACTCTTTAGTGTCAAACAAAAAAAAAAACAGATTCTCACCTCTATTTCCAATATTTAATTAAAAGTTTATTTCATGTAAACACCAATCAAAAAGCAGTGATTATGCCTTTTTCAATTTTGATCTTTTATTCTCTCTGGTTTATTTGTCCCTGGGAAATTATGCTGCTTAGTGCTGTGTGTGAATTCAAGAATTCAGTGTCACCTGAACAAAGGAGAGTTTATGGCCTCGCTGCTTCCTCGTCATGGAGTTCAACAATGACTAAGACGCAAAAGTAAACACGTTGCTATAAAAGAAGAGGAGATGTTTGTCCACAAAATTGCAACGATTTTTCAGGTAAGTCCTTTTAGCAGCAGAACTTCCAGGGGAAATAAACCAGAGAGAATAAAATACACCAACACCATCAAATAAAAACCTAATTAAATATTGGAAATAGAGGTTGAAATCTGTTTTGTTTCTTGACACTAAAGTGGAGTAATTAAATATATCAAACTGTTTTCATTCTTAATTGAAATTGAAATTGGTACATGGTACATGGACCGAACAACTCCAGGCTGGGTTCATGTGATACAAAACCTACAATTTACACTGAGCTCCTCACAACTCAAACACTCCGAAGAGTCTTAAAATGACAAATTGTCTCTGTTTCTGTACTTACTGGGTCTTTTTATATGTGTATTTTTAAATCCAAAAGAGGTGGAGTTCATGTAGATAAGGAAGCAGTCAAACCCTGGGACTACACCAGAACTAGACCAAGACTGACCAGTACTAAACCAAGTCACGTTATCTTGGTCTCTGTTTATCGCTCAACTGTCTCCAAACGGTCGAGTCGTACCTTGAAGTGTCCCAGGTCGAGCAGCAGGATGTTCTGGGTGTTGTCATAGTAACCGGTCTGAGGGATGATGACGTAAGAGGCCATGAGGTTCACCTTCAGGTCCAGGGTTTTCTGAGTCTCGATCACGTACATCAGACCTGCAGCACAGATCACAGCGGGGAATGGAAACACAGCGAGCAGATATTGACAAAAATAAACATTGTGTACAGTATAGTATATTTTTAAAAACACACTAACTTTTCTGGTGCAGAGTCTGAAACCTTCTACTCATTAGATGTTACTGTTACGTCTGGAAAGTTCCACAGTAGGTCTACGGTATTAAAAAAAACTATAGCCATAGAGACACCAGCAATGTTTTTAAGCAATAAAAACGGTAGTTGATAAAATGTAGAATAAATAAGTTTAATGCCAAACTGTGAAACATTACAAGCAAAGCAGTAACATCTGCGTGAGCAGGTGGTGGAACTCCACCAGAAAGTCCCTGCTGTTACTTTATATTAAACAGTCATAAGCTAAATTAAACGTTTTGTTAAAAAATCTTTTCAGATCATTGGTTAGTTTCTAGTGTTAAACATCAGAAAAAAACAACAACTTTAAAACAATTATTTCCAGACTCTTGTAGAATATATTGTCACTTGTAAGTGCAAGTGTGTTTGGGGTTAAAACTGTGTGGATGGAATGTCAGATTCTGATCTGATCTGACCAAGAAAATAAACACAAAGCAAATGACCTTCTCAGGATGTTGTGGGGATCCTGTCATTTTCAGTTTAAATACTGGACTGTAAATACTGTAGTTCATGCCACAGAAGAATCGACACTGGGATGAGGAGAATAAGTCTTAATTCTTCCTACTCCATTTCAAACAGCAATCTTTAATTTGTATGAGTCAATCTTGGACTGAAATTGTACAGATTATATTCCTCTTTGTATCACCTGTTCGCTCCACTAAAACACTGCTCAAAATAAGTATTAATAATAAAATACAGTTTTCATACTCATTTCATTTAATACTCTACACTGTCAACCAAAGCAGGGTTTTAGATCACAATATTATACAAAGAGGGTCACATATGTGTATAACAGATGAGTGCACTGACCGGTGGCTGTGCGGTCCCTGAACTGCTCCAGCTTCATCAGAGTGGCGTTGGTGAGTTCGTCCAGCTCCAGGTCGTCTGGAGGTCTGAAGAACGCAGCCATCCCGTTCACTGTGGTCTACAGGAGAGAGACAGTTCAGGTTTATAAAGTCTGAAAATGTTTAGTGCAGCAACCAAATGATATTTTCCGTAAGACATATTATTCAAAATGTACTTTTAGCCAAATTATAACAGTGTTCCCTCATAATTAGCCCGTCCAGAGTTGTATTTTGAGTGATACATGCATGTTTGAATAAAAATAAATAAAACTACAGATCGTTAAGTAGCAACAAAGCCTGAATCATTCTCATTCTCATTCAGTATTCAGTAGTTATTATAAAGATGTTCAAAAACATGTGTCTTGTTTAAACATGTGAGCTCTGCAGTCGCACTCACAGAGTCGTAGATGATCTCGAGAGGCTGTGACGTGACGTGGAGCCTCTGGTTGGCGCTCTCGTCCAGGGGGTTGGTCTCAAACAGGATGCAGAGCAGAGGAGTCCCCGCCCCCGTCGCCGCCTTCCTCGACGACAGCAGCGTGGGAGCCGGGTGCTGATTGGCCAGGCCCGTGACCTCGAACAGAGTCAGCNTTTATTCTCTCTGGTTTATTTGTCCCTGGGAAATTATGCTGCTTAGTGCTGTGTGTGAATTCAAGAATTCAGTGTCACCTGAACAAACAAAGGAGAGTTTATGGCCTCGCTGCTTCCTCGTCATGGAGTTCAACAATGACTAAGACGCAAAAGTAAACACGTTGCTATAAAAGAAGAGGAGATGTTTGTCCACAAAATTGCAACGATTTTTCAGGTAAGTCCTTTTAGCAGCAGAACTTCTGGGGGAAATAAACCAGAGAGAATAAAATACCAACACCATCAAATAAAAACCTAATTAAATATTGGAAATAGAGGTTGAAATCTGTTTTGTTTCTTGACACTAAAGTGGAGTAATTAAATATATCAAACTGTTTTCATTCTTAATTGAAATTGGTACATGGACCGAACAACTCCAGGCTGGGTTCATGTGATACAAAACCTACAATTTACACTGAGCTCCTCACAACTCAAACACTCTGAAGAGTCTTAAAATGACAAATTGTCTCTGTTTCTGTACTTACTGGGTCTTTTTATATGTGTATTTTTAAATCCAAAAGAGGTGGAGTTATTCACTCATGTAGATAAGGAACAGTCAAACCCTGGGACTACACCAGAACTAGACCAGGACTGACCAGTACTAAACCAAGTCACGTTATCTTGGTCTCTGTTTATCGCTCAACTGTCTCCAAACGGTCGAGTCGTACCTTGAAGTGTCCCAGGTCGAGCAGCAGGATGTTCTGGGTGTTGTCATAGTAACCGGTCTGAGGGATGATGACGTAAGAGGCCATGAGGTTCACCTTCAGGTCCAGGGTTTTCTGAGTCTCGATCACGTACATCAGACCTGCAGCACAGATCACAGCGGGGAATGGAAACACAGCGAGCAGATACTGACAAAAATAAACATTGTGTACAGTATAGTATATTTTTAAAGACACAATATGTAACATTTCTGGTGCAGAGTCTGAAACTTTCTATTCATTATGGAGATGTTACTGTTATGTCTGGAAAGTTCCACAGTAGGTCTACGGTATTAAAAAAAACTATAGCCATAGAGACACCAGCAATGTCTTTAAGCAATAAAAACGGTAGTTGATAAAATGCAGAATAAATAAGTTTAATGCCAAACTGTGAAACATTACAAGCAAAGCAGTAACATCTGCGTGAGCAGGTGGTGGAACTCCACCAGAAAGTCCCTGCTGTTACTTTATATTAAACAGTCATAAGCTAAATTAAACGTTTTGTTAAAAAATCTTTTCAGATCATTGGTTAGTTTCTAGTGTTAAACATCAGAAAAAACAACAACTTTAAAACAATTATTTCCAGACTCTTGTAGAATATATTGTCACTTGTAAGTGCAAGTGTGTTTGGGGTTAAAACTGTGTGGATGGAATGTCAGATTCTGATCTGATCTGACCAAGAAAATAAACACAAAGCAAATGACCTTCTCAGGATGTTGTGGGGATCCTGTCATTTTCAGTTTAAATACTGGACTGTAAATACTGTAGCTCATGCCACAGAAGAATCGACACTGGGATGAGGAGAATAAGTCTTAATTCTTCCTACTCCATTTCAAACAGCAATCTTTAATTTGTATGAGTCAATCTTGGACTGAAATTGTACAGATTATATTCCTCTTTGTATCACCTGTTCGCTCCACTAAAACACTGCTCAAAATAAGTATTAATAATAAAATACAGTTTTCATACTCATTTCATTTAATACTCTACACTGTCAACCAAAGCAGGGTTTTAGATCACAATATTATACAAAAGGGTCACATATGTGTATAACAGATGAGTGCACTGACCGGTGGCTGTGCGGTCCCTGAACTGCTCCAGCTTCATCAGAGTGGCGTTGGTGAGTTCGTCCAGCTCCAGGTCGTCTGGAGGTCTGAAGAACGCAGCCATCCCGTTCACTGTGGTCTACAGGAGAGAGACAGTTCAGGTTTATAAAGTCTGAAAATGTTTAGTGCAGCAACCAAATGATATTTTCCGTAAGACATATTATTCAAAATGTACTTTTAGCCAAATTATAACAGTGTTCCCTCATAATTAGCCCGTCCAGAGTTGTATTTTGAGTGATACATGCATGTTTGAATAAAAATAAATAAAACTACAGATCGTTAAGTAGCAACAAAGCCTGAATCATTCTCATTCTCAGTAGTTATTATAAAAATGTTCAAAAATATATGTCTTATTTAAACATGCTCTGCCATCGCACTCACAGAGTCGTAGATGATCTCGAGAGGCTGTGACGTGACGTGGAGCCTCTGGTTGGCGCTCTCGTCCAGGGGGTTGGTCTCAAACAGGATGCAGAGCAGAGGAGTCCCCGCCCCCGTCGCCGCCTTCCTCGACGACAGCAGCGTGGGAGCCGGGTGCTGATTGGCCAGGCCCGTGACCTCGAACAGAGTCAGCTGAGCAGTCACTCTGGAAACAGACGAAACAATACGGAATTTTTCAGTAATCAGTGTTTACCATTAAAGGAGACGATTGGAGTCGCTCATTGACACTTTGCATGGGGGGGCTGCATGTATGTTTATGGAAGAATGTTCAGCTGTTATCATGGCAAAAACACAGCCTGATAAGTTTTTAGATTGTCTGAAAACTCATAGTTTAGGTGTGTGCTTTTCAACAAAAAAGGGGAGAGTGATTATCTGAAAAACAGCTGACTGATGCTGACTACCTTCTGACTAGGGATGGGCATGATTAGTCGATTAATCGATAATTGATCATTAAGAATTTCATCGATTATGTAAATTTTAATCAACAAACCAAATGTAGGTTGCTGTGTGTAGCTTAGTGTGACCAAACAGGGGTCTGTACATGTGTCTCTCTGCACTCAGAAGGAGCGAGACACAAACATTCGGTCAGTCTGCAGCGTACTGAAGTGCATATGCGTATTTAATGATAATTTGTACAAGAAATTCAACGCTTTCCTTTCCGGTCGGGACAAGTGTGAGTCCATGTGCACAGTGTATAAAGCAGCACATATGTTTCTGTGTCCAGTGGGAAAAAGTTTTTCCAGGTGAGAGTCGCTCAATGTGGATGACGAGTCCCCACCTCCCTCCCCCCGTACGGTGTCCTGGTTTTGACAAACACAAATCTGGTCACACTAACCTGTATTCACCTGAGTCATGTCTTTTAATCAGACAGAAATTGAACCACATCAGCGACACAAGAGCTGTAGTTTTATCTTCGCTGAGTTTATGCAAATTAGTGATGCGGTTTTAAGTTTTGTTTCTGTGAGAGTTGAACAAAACTGAATTAAACACATTATAATGTCAAACGGGCTGATGTGGCTCTAGAGTCGTTACGGTTTATATGTCGTGAAGTTGAATTTATTTATGCAGATTAGTAGTGCAGATAGTAATAATAATGATGATCATTTTAATATAAAAACGTTAATGATTAATCGATAATCGATCGTTAATTCTTCCGACGATCGATTAAGAAAATTTCATCGAATGCCCATTCCCACTTCTGACTGTAATGTTATTTGAGAGAGACTTGTGTAAAGGTGCAAATCAGTTCATCTCTTCTAGTTCCAGTCAGTTATTTATGGTCAGATTATGTTCAAATGAAGCTCCAGTTTGAGTCTAACTTGAGTAACAGATCGTCAGACAGGACAGTGCCTCTGGTCAGCTGCAAAGGACCAATACATGTTCTATCCCATTAATTTCAATGAGACATCAAAAAACCACAACATTTGTAACATGTTGACAGTGCAGACCAATCACTGTTGTTTACACACTTGTTGTATAAGCGAGTATTATCTTCCAGCTCCAAATATAAAGAATATTGAAACTGTGACTCACTTGAGAGCCTGTGCGCCCGGTCTCTGTGTGAGCATGGACTGCAGCTCTCCCACTGTCAGACGGATGATCTCGTTCCTGTCTTTGGCGTGTTTGATGGACACGGACAGTTTCTCCATGTGGAAGTTCACCTTCATGTCCTCGAACTGCACACAGAACAGTCACACGTGTGAGTGGAGCAGGATGTGGTCTTACGTAACAGCGGGCAGTGACTCAGAGGAAGTGCGGTCTCTGGTCACACAGGTGTAATGGACTCACGTCTTTGGGCAGGTTCGGGTTGGCCGCCGTCTCGCTGTAACCGATCGCCGTGTAGAGTTTGGCCTTTTCAGCGGGGGTCAGCAGCTCGTCAAAACCTAAAGCAAAGAGAAAAAAAACAAGAATAGCAACATAACAGGGTCTTATAATACTCAAAACTGACTCTCGTGAGCTTTTAGTAATGTTATAATTTGTTACATCGTCAAAAAAAAGCTGTTGTTTTTTTCATTCACACATGTTTGAGTAACCCTTTATTATTAGTCACTCTACATCTTCAAATTTCAAACACACATAAGACACATAAGACATGTCAAACTCAGGCCTGGGAGCGAAATTTGGCCCGCAATATAATTATATTTGACCCGCGAGATCATATCAAATATGTATTAGAACTGCCCACTGGCTACAGATAGACTATAGAGACATTATTTATTTAAAATGTTGTTATTATTTTATATGATGCTTGTTCTGGATTCAATGTTTAAGCAAAACTACTATTAAACATTTATTTTTATAAGAAAAGGTTTAACATTACATATCTCAAAAGAAGAGAAAACATGCAGATGTTGTTGGAAATTTTCAGTAAATATTTAGTTTGGCCCACGACTTAATCCCAGTTTTTAATTTTGGCCTCTGTGAATTTGAGTTTGACACTCCAGATCTAAATAACTTTAGTCAAAGTGTATGGAGTTTAAAAACACAGTGGAGCACTTCTGGTATTACCATATGACATCACAAGGTGGAACAGTGGTTTCTATTTGAGAGAAGAACACTATAAATACGCAGGATTTGTGTGTTAAAAGCGTGAATGAAACGAAGCAAAACTCCAGATTTGTTTTTTTATGAGGAAACAACTAATTATAACATAGATCAAAAGATAAATACATAAAAAACAGTATAGCCTGTTTAAAATGTGACACAAAGGAAAAGGAAGAACTCAAAATAATCATTAATATTTTCTTTTTACATTTTTCTCACTGTGTTTTTTTGTTTTGTAAACAGACTGCAGAGACAACATATTCAGTATTTTTGGTGTGTTGGTATGTCTGAAATTTCTTCACTGTGGGACAAATAAAGGTTCTCTTACTTCTCATCTTATAAAGCAGCCCAAAATATTTATAGTGTATGATAAATTTTAGTATTTCAATATTTTGGAAAACCCTTAATTATTGATTAACTGAATAATCTTGACATCTTTAATCAGAGCAAGACTTCCAATAGGTTCAGGCAACAGGTGTTTTTTGGTGACAAACAGCGGAACTAAATGATCTTAACATGTGATCGAGTTGAAATGCACCAGCAGGTTTAGTTTTTCAGGAGTTGTTTTTCATCATGTTTCAGCTTTAGTCTCTTTTTCTCTTTACCTCCTCCGCCCTTGGTCTCTTTGACTTCGGTCTCGCCCTGTCCGCCCCAGTTCCACATCCAACCGAACCAGCCCTGAGACTCCTCCTCCTCCATCTTCAGCCCCGGGCGGTAGATCTTCAGGCCTGCTTTACTCGCCTACGAAACCAGACACAAGCAAACGTTTCTTTCAGGTAGTGATTCCAAAAACACTCAAATATTCATACTCATGTGATCATTTCCAGTGACATCATGCTGAAGCTTGTTCTACGTGTATCTTTATAATGACTAAATAATGACTAAATCATGTCTGTGACACTAAAAGTCTTTGTTAAACCACTTCTTGTGCAAAGTTCATATGATACACAAACATTTTAATCATCAAAACAGTAAAAATGTCAAATGTGTCATATAAATGAGTTTCCTTCCTCTAAATAAACAACAAAACTGTAGCTCTGTAACAAAATAATTAAGTATAATATGTCAAAAAATACTCCTGGCGATATACTGATATACCTGACCCCGATATCGATACCGTATCATCACAAACTATATGATATATCAATATTTCAATATTTTTGCACACTCCTACTTAAATTAGTCTGAAAATTCAAGAAACAATACCATATAAGATACATACTTCAATAGAAACACCACGATACAATACATACATCTCGATACTTTTGATTCGATATGATATATTTCAAAACGATTCGAAGCGGTTCAATAAAAAAATAACGGCTAAATGATGTCTGTGACACTAAAAGTCTTTGTTAAACCACTTCTTGTGCAAAGTTCATATGAAACACAAACATTTTAATCATCAAAACAGTGAAAATGTCAAATGTGTCGCACAAACGAGTTTCCTTCCTCTAAACAAACAACAAAACTGTAGCTGTAACAAAATAATTAAGTATAATATACCAAAAAATACTCTTTCTTGGCAATATGGCGATACAGCTGCCCCCGATATTGATACTGTATCATCACATTAACCTATATGATATATCGATATGTCAATATTTTTGTCAAGAAACTATACGATATAAGATACATTCTTCAATACACAGGCCACGAGAGACTACATACATCTCGATACTTGATTAGATACGATATATTTCAAATCGATTCGGTTCAGTAAAAAATAAAGACTAAATTATGACTGTGACACTAAAAGTCTTTGTTAAACCGCTTCTTGGGCAAAATTCGTATGAAACACAAACATTTTAATCATCAAAACAGTGAAAATGTCAAATGTGTCACATAAACGACTTTTCTTCCTCTAAATAAGCAAAAAAATTGTAGTTGTAGCAAAATAATACACCAAAAAATACTCTTGGCGATCAGATTAAACGATTTGATATATCGATCTTTCAATATTTTTTTGCACACCCCTATTTAAGATCGTCTGAAAACTTGCAAAAAAATGCAAAATTGATTTAAAGGGCACATTTTCAGCCTGTGATGGTCTGTTTAGGAGTTTGATTTTGAACAAAAAAGTGAGAGTGACTAAAAAATTACGAAAAAATGTTACAGCACCAATCAGCTCACCTGTTGTCTTTCCAAACAGGACACTTATTTATGGTCAGATTGTGTTAAAACAAAGCTCAGGTTAAAGTCTAACTAACAGAGCTTCAGACAGAGCAGAGCAAACAGTCATCAACACCAACTTTGACAACACAGTGGAAAACAAACAGGAAATACATCGAGATACTCTTCTAAACAGACAGCTCCAGTCTTCTTCAACATGAGACTATAATGTGGGCGCTGATGTGAGGCTGCAGCTTACCTCCACCTCGGCCTGCTGTCGGGCTAATGTGATGTTAAAAATATCCAGCGTCTTCTCCGGCTCCTGGAACAAAGCATCGATCAGCGTTTAAAGCTCAGAATGCACCTGCCTCTGTAATGTGATGGGCCAAGTTTAGAAGGAAAACACTTAATCAAATCATGGACATCTGAAGTGAGTAACAGAACAGAGAGGTGAAGAACGCTGTGCACCGGACAACGTAAAACTTACAATTAAAGCGCACATATTACTCGACTTTCTGATCTAAATCTGGAGTTTTGTTTGTTTCATTCACACATTTAACACACAAACGATGCTCCGTCGTCATGATCTTACTCAAAGTTGTTTGAGTGATTCAAACAAGTTTGAATAATTATCTGCATGCCCATCCCTGCCCACATCCCTGTACTTATCTTAGGGATTATTTGAATATTTGAACTTAGGACATAGGCTTCTAAAATGTCAGGTTGGCCGTCTCCTGGAATAAAAACAAGTACCGTATTTTTCAGACTATAAGTTGCACTTTTTTTCATGGTTTGGGTGTTTACAGTGATTTATATATTAAAATTTTCACACTGAAGCGTCGAGAGTCTCTAGTCTTGTGTGTGAGTATCTGCTGCTCCTGTTCCTCCTGTACCACTGTCACTTCACTCTACTGCGCATGTCTCCTGTAGAAAGAGCCACAAATGCCCCCAAAAAGGAAATCAAGCTGTAACAAGCTGCATGTCGTGAAAATCTGCAGCTGAAAAACGATAATCGAGCAGCAGAAAGGAAGTTTGGAGTGAGTGAGAAACTTGTGACACTGGGAGGATGCAACATGAAACTTTTCCTTAAGTCACTGGATGGATGGACAAAACCTGGACTTCAGTGACACCGAAACCATCCTGTCTGGATTCAGAAAAGACCAGAATAATTCTAACTGGAACTGATGCTGAGTCTGACGACAGCGACACAGAAGAGGAAGCGGTGTTCTGTTTACCTCAGAAGTGACACCGAGGATGAAGAATTGAATGGATTTAGTGATTTGGAGTGAGATGGAGAGTTTGGTTAAACTTGTTCTGTTCTGTTGTTTATGTTATAGTTTATCTGAAGAACTGTTCATATGTGACATTGACAGTCTGTTGTTCTCTCTTCTATTGTTATTACTAGAACTTGACTTTCAAGATGAAATGGCTGTTCTTGGTCTCTGATTTTATAAAATAAATTTCCCCCCAAATTGTGACTTATAGTACAGTGTGACTTATATATGTTTTTTCTTCTTCCTTATACATTTTTTGGCTGGTGCGACTTATGCTCCGGAGCAACTTATAGTCCAGAAAACACGGTACTTGGTTACTTGTCAGATCTGTGGAGAGGTGACCACACTTCCAGTGAGAATCCATGTTTTTCAAAGCAGTTTTTACGGACAAAAACAAAGCTCTAACATCTCCACCTCCATCTCCACCTCCTACTAGAACTTGACTTTCAAGATGAAATATGGGTTCCTGGTCTCTGATTTTATAAAATATATTTCTCCCAAAAAGTGCGACTTATATATGTTTTTTCTTCTTCATTATGCATTTTTTGGCTGGTGCGACTTAAACTCCAGAGCGACTTATAGTCCGAAAATACGGTAAATGAAAAGGAGCTGTTTGTGAAAAATCACTATGAAGAGACAGGTCCTCTCTGAAGTTCTGAACAGGAAATCAATGCACCTGTTTCTATTATTTAGTGAGTTTTAGATCAATAACGCCTGTTACAATGAATCAATGTAAATGATGTAAACAGGTCAATACTAAGTGAAAAGGCTTAATTCTTTAATGGATGAATTACTTTGGCTCAGACAGCTGGGCCCCTGTCGTCGCTCACCTGTAGTCTGCGCAGAAGCTCCTCGCTGGGTTTCTTGGACGTGATCTTGGTTTTGTACTCCTCTTTGTACTTTTTCACCGCCTGACGGTGCTGACGAATCCGAGTCCAGGACCACATGTGGAGGCGGGGCTTCACGTCCACCTCCAGAACACTCGTTATCATGTACTTCCACCTTACACACAAATTATTATATTTTACTGATTTTACTGTTAAATGGACCCATGCTCATCAAATAAAAAAGAGGCAACCAGATGGAAAAAAGTTAAAAATGAAGCTACAGTCAAGTAAAAGCATCTCCGCATTGCTTCAAGCTTCATGTAATTCAAACTGTGTCTTGTCTTGTTTACGTGACTTTTTTAGCTTTGATACATACTCAAATGAGTATTTAGTAGGGGTGTGACGGTACACAAAAATCACGGTTTTGAGGTCACAGTTTGGTTCATTTTCGGAACAGCTTGGGAACAAAATGCACCAACCATTTGTGTTTTTTTTAAACCAAAACTCTGTTTTAACATTATACAAATAGGAAAATAAAATAAATGCAATGTGCTGCTTGGTAATACTAATAAGTTCAATAAAATATTCTCAAATAAGCAACAAATGTATGAAATATTATAAAAAATGTATTCTTTGTAAACAGTAAACAAAACTTTTCAAAAAGTAAAGTGTAGCACTAACAGTTCTAGCATGAAGTTTTAAACAATCTTCATATTTTTGGCCAGAAATACCACCTTGTCCACATTGTCTGCAGTAAGTACTGATCTGCTGCAGTTACAATGTCCCCAGCGATTGAAAATACCCTTTCTGTAGGGTCAGAGGTCACGGGTATGGGGGTGGGGCGGCTGGAGATTCCGTACCAGCAAAAGGCGAAAGTAAAAACCAGGGTGCAATGACTGTGGTTTTGCGAGGATTCACGTGGTTCAGAGGGACGTAGTCAAGGAGGGGGGCAACTGTTGTCAATGCGGCCGCTCTAACTATAAAGCGCTGTGGGAAACACTGCCCCAATCACGGATAAGTTCTTCGTGTGGAATATTAAAAAGCTAAGCCTTTGTGTAGCTGCACATGTAGTGGCAGAATATAAACACTGTAGACTGTATAAAGAAGTGCACTAAGCGAGTGTGACGTCACCCACAGCGTTCAGCGGCGCTCAAATGAGGCTCACGATGTTCACGGTTACAGAAGAGAATCTGAAGCCAGACTCTATGTTATGAATAGGATTTTTTGGAGAAACAAAATAGCAGGAAAAAAATTCAGGATCATGTAGAGCAGGTTAATACAAAGATTTTAAGACCAAAATGACGAGGCTCACAGCAGCAGTTACAGAGAAATCAAGATCCTAATGTTAGTCAATTAGAGCCAGAGTCAGAAGGAGCTGGAAGAGTCTCCTGGTGAACTTCCTATTTGGCACACGGCGGCTAGAACGTTATGTCCACTCATATATAGTCTATGGTAAACACACACAAATTGTGCAAACTCACTCGTGCACAGCCCTGGACAAAACTGAGCGTCCCGTACCGAAAGGGTTTGGCACAAATACATGTACTGTTACACCCCTAGTATTTAGTTTTGATACAAGCTTTATACTGTATATTTATAGCATCAGTTTACATTCGATTGTACCACAGTGTCTTACCAGATTTTGCTGTTTCGATGGACTGGGACGTTCGGCCTGTACTTCCTGTACGGCAGATTTCTGGACATCATATCCACTGAGCCGAGCAGCTCCAGGATGCTGATGTACTGTCACAACGAAGAACACAACGATTCAAACGGGTGTGAAAGTAAAAACGTGTGACTTCACCTGGGCACAGACGTCACTCACCTGCGGCCTGTTCAGTTCAATGGCCACTTCGCTCAGATTCACCATGAGGTCGACTTTAGGAGACGAGAAGTCCACGTCAGACCGGGGGTTCATCTTCAGTTTGGCGTCGGCTGAGATCGGACGGAAAACTGTGAACAAGAAAACAAGATTATACAACGGTTCCATTTGGCCACTTTATGTTTATCCCATTCATGATTTATGTTATTGTATTTTATTTTCAGACGTTATAACATCTGTAATAGCAACATGTCATCTAACAAAGTCTATACATCAGGGGTGTCAAACTCATTTTGGTCCGGGGGCCATATCCAACCTACTTTGATCCCAAAAAGGCCGGATCAGAAAACTCATGTCATATAAACCCCAAAAATAACAATAAGTTCAAATATTTGTGCAAAGAAATGGAAACCTATTACAGAAATCATTTTAATTGATGAACTCTTTCTTTTACAAAATCTTATAATATTTTGAACAACCTGAAACCTTCAATTTCAACACAATGTTTTAACATTAACTTGTGTGTAAATAGGAATAAGTCAATTTTTCTTGGAAAATCCGGCACCCATCGTCCACTTTTCTCATGTTGGACATTTTTCTGATGAGGGTGTCACGGTCAACAGTCAAAACGATCGTCCTTTAAGAGCGTTTGGAAAGAGACAAGTCTTCATTTGTGCTGCTGTGGTGGGAGGGGCCACGTACAGAGACGCAGAAAATTACCAATATTTTAATAGAAAATATAATTAAAATATTTTAGTAGAAGATCAGTCAAGGGCCAGATTAAAGGTCTTGGAGGGCCGGATCTGGCCCCCAGGCCGTATGTTTGACACCCCTGGTCTATACCAACATCATTTTGTACTTTTTTAAAAATGCAGGTAGAATTTCTGGAAAACTTACTGAACTCATGGGTGACTGGATAATTGTTGTTACTTTTCATGCTGCTCTTTAGACATTTCTGCAACAAAAGCCAAAAGAAATTATTATATTATATTATTTTGAAATGATTAAAGACATGTTAAGAGAACATATGAATCCATGCGAAATAAATCCGCTTGAAAACTGTCTTACCAAGGCCTCCTCTGACTGGTGACTGGAGAAAAGCACAGAGTTGACGTTCCAGTAGGCAAACAGGTTATCGAGTTTAACCAACTGTGTACACAAAACAAAACAATTAGATTAGCAATGGCTCCAATTAACTTTAAACAAGTTTACTCATAACATTACGAAATAATCTTCTAGGAGTCGACAGATCTTCTAAGAACCAAACGAACTGGTTCAAGATGATGAAATTGTGGTTGATGAAAATGCGGTTTAATGCGGTTTCACTTTTGCCCTAGTATGAGCGAGGTTTAGAGGTGGTTTAGAAGTGGTCAAGTCCTGGTTTAGTTTCTAAATATCTTGCAAGAATATATATTGTAATTCAAGTAGTAATATATGTGAATGTACCGTATTTTCTGCACTATTAGGCGCTCTGGATTATAAGGCACACTGTCATTAAATGGTCTATTTTCAAACTTTTTTTTTTCACAAATAAACCGCGTGGGACTTTAAAGGAAACCCAACAGTGTGATGGGTGAGTGGTTTTGTTTGTTTGTGGCGTTCACGGTGACTCTGGGCTTTGTTCAGTTGTGGCGTGTAGGGAGGGTGCTGTCTGGGACCAACGGATTGTCGGCGTGTTCGCAGTGACTCAGTTGTTCAGTCGTGTCTAGAAGCGGCACATTGCGCTCGCTTTTTCGGTTCGTTCCTCTGTTCCGTTCCTCGTCGGCGTGGAGTGATGAGTGTGTCTGTGGGTGTTTTTCGCTGTGAGGTCGCTGTCGGCTCCGTGCGTGTTTGTGTGTTCTGCGGGTGGTGCGACTTTGTAGTTTACTGAAGTTGTGTTGGGACTAGGGATGGGCATGATTAATCGATTAATCGATAATTGATCATTAAGAATTTCATCGATTACGTTAATTTTAATCGACAAACCGAATGTAGGTTGCTGTGCGTAGTGTGACCAAACAGGTCTGTACATGTGTCTCTGCATCAGAAGGAGTGAGCAGACACAAACAGTGGTCAGTCTGCAACGTACCGAAGCACAAATGCGTATTTAACGATAATTTTTACAAGTGTGAGTCCATGTGCACAGTGTATAAAGCAGGAACATATGTTTCGGTGTCCAGTGGGAAAAAGTTTACCAGGTGAAGTCGCTCAATGTGGATGACGAGTCCCCACCTCCCTCCCCCCGTACAGTGTCCTGGTTTTGACAAACGCAAATCTGGTCACACTAACCTGTATTCACCTGAATCATGTCTTTTAATCCGACAGAAATTGACCGCATCAGCGACACAAGAGCTGGAGTTTTATCTTCGCTGAGTTTATGCAAATTAGTGATGCGGTTTTAAGTTTTGTTTCTGTGAGATTTGAACAAAACTGAATTAAACACATTATAATCTAAAACGTATTGATGTGGCTCTTGAGTCGTTACAGTTTATATGTCGTAAAGTTGAATTTATTTATGCAGATTAGTAGTGCAGATAGTAATAATAATGATGATAATTTTAATATAAAAACGTTAATGATTAATCGATAATCGATCGTTAATTCTTCCGACGATCGATTAAGAAAATTTCTTCGAATGCCCATCCCTAGTTGGGACACCCGAGTGGATTCGTGTATAGTGCGCTCTGGACTGTGGGGCGCGCAGTCTTTTTTTGATGGGGTTGGTGGAGACTTTTGAGCGTGCCGTATAGCTCAGAAAATATGGTACAAGTAACTCTTTACATTTTTATAGTGGAATATTATTTGAGATGATTCATGAATTCTAAACTAGTTAAAGACGCTGCATTCAAAACGATTTTTACTGCACTGAAAACGTTAAAACCCGACCTAATTCATTTGAAACAGTTTGCTGCGGTCCATAGTTATTCCTCACTTCTCTTATGCATACAGAGCGTCCTAATTATTCACTGCAATGAGTTTATAAGAGCTTTTGTTTGAACTGTTTGGAGATTTTGCCGTGACAGCAACTAACAGGATATTGCACACTTCCTGATTCTAGGACAGTACAACAGTTTATAATTAGATGCAGACTTAATTTGACCTCAGGAGCTGCGTATACAATCTGTACTGGGGCAAAGAACATGTCAGGAAAATGTCAGGTACAGGGCCTTTAATAGAATAAACGTAGAGCTGTAAGTGCAGAAGTCAGAGTAAAGTGTAAGGACACGTTCTGTACCTTGAAGAACAGCTTGGCCTTCTCGTCCAGGAGAGTAGGTCTCCAGTTTTGATCCGCAGTCTGTCAGAAGAAAAATGAACAATAACATCATGTCTCCAAATCAACAAGTCCTTTAATGTTTTCCAGTCAGGTTTTGACACTGACACTGCTCTGATCAAAGTGACAAATGACGTTTGCCTGAACACTGATGCAGGCAAAGTCTCAGTCTTGTTAGATCCTCTTAGGCTGCGTTCACACTGCAGCCTGAAGTGACCCAAATCCGATTTTTTGGCCCCTATGTGACCTGTATCTGATCTTTTAATGAACGACACAGATCTGATTTTTTCAAATGTGACCCAGGACACTTCGAAATGTGGTCCTGAAACCGATACATATCCGATCATTTGACATGCGACTTCAGTCTGAACGTCCAAAGTGCATTCATCCACCTACATGTTATGAACAAGCCACAAACGTCACTATTCTGCACTGAAGTAGGCGAAAATTGTTAATAAACTCCGTGTGACTGAAGTGAAACACATCACCACTCACCACTCTTGGCTACGTCTCTACATCCACACGTTCCTTTCAACGGACGTCGCTGCTGCTATCCTACAAAACGCCACGGCCAAAAACCTCGTCCTTCTCAATCTCCTCCTTAAAACAAGTAAGTTGTTCATGTTCTGGCTCCGGTACGAGAGGAACTTTAAAATCTCCAGGTGCTCAATGCTCACGTCCATGTTTGGACAACTTCCGTAAACACAGAGCACGCTCGCTGCGGTTGACGTCGTCGTGTCTCCAGTGCACATGCGGGACACTTTCGGGCCGTTTCATGTTCACACTGGAGTCACATACAAGTCGCATTTAATTGGAAATGTGAACGACCTCGCAAAAACATCGGATTTCACAAAAAAATTGGATTTGAGCGTTAAGCCCTGCAGTCTGAGCGTAGCCTTACAGAGACTAGAGGACTGGGTGGGCATCTCTGGTACTGCACTAAAATGGTTCAAGTTCTATCTTTGAAGACAGGGAGTATTTTGTTGAAATTGGAAACTGTGTCTTAGATCACATGGTCCTGACCTGTGGGGTGCCTCAGGGGTCAATCCTGGGCCCCCTTTTGTTCAGTCTCTACATGCTGCCGTTAGGACAGTTAATACGCAGCAATAATGTACAAGACAAGATCATTCAGGATTGTGAGCAGCAGTAATAATAGTATTTTATTTAAAGTAGTGATAAACTTACTTGGAGACTGAGGTTTTCCAGTGAAACTCCAAACGACAGAGGGCAGTTTGGGTTTGTGACCTGAGAAAACAGAGACAGAGTCAAAGTCTAAGTCAGCTTAAACTTAAACAAATAAAAGACCTTAATTAGTTAATTAGATAGATAAACTTCACTTCATTGCTTGCACAGCACACACAAATGTGAACAGCATAATGTAGTCTTCATAAAATGTACATGCTCCAAAGTCAAGTGAAGAAACTGTCTCTTAACATTTACTTGTTTGCTGCGTAATTTTTTAGAAATAAGAACGTGAATCAGGCCAAAATATGGACCTTTTATTGTTCTGGCTTTTAAAGCTTATTCTCTTACATGTTTGGAGGGAAACAAGGCTTTGGTTGTCATATTTGTATTATTAACTTTTCCTGTGTTGAGCACTTGCTTTGTACACAGTAGATGGGTTTTTAGTAATTAATAATTTGGTGAAAAAAATTCTAAAAATAATTTGCATAAAGCTCTACGAATACACAGATTGGTGAAGTTCTCGAGAGGATTAGACAAACTATTCTACTCTTGTGGTGCAGGCAACAAGTCAAAATATCTAAACTGCTAGAGAGAGATGCTAAAACAGTAAAACAGAGGAACAAGTATAGATATAAGCTCCTGGTTTGACTTACATCGTCTTCATATCGGACGTGGATGTTGGAGATCTTCACCTGAAGGTTCTTGATGACCTGAGTCACCAGCTTCTCCACAAACGTGTCCTGCTTCTCCAGACCAGGGTTTTCTGCCACACAAAAGACGTACACAAGAAACACACACATTTATACGAGAGAAATACACACATGTAAACAAGACGAGTGTTTTATAAAGTGTTAAATAATACCACAGGTTCATATTGTCAGGGATGAATTAAGAGTTCATTATAATTTCATCCCAATTCATGCACATTGTGAAAAGTCTAAGAAGGTATTTACTTTAGGAGATACCTGGTCACGGATAATATTTTATTTACACTTCACTGTGACCTGTCACTTCATCTGAGCCTCACAGGAGCTGATCAACAGGAGGAGTGGGTGGAGTAAAGCAGCTGTTATATTACACAGGTCTTACATTATCTAAAATCTTCACATTAAAGGGCTCATATTACGCGATTTTCTGATCTGTGTTTTGTTTTATTCACATGTTTCACAGACAAACCCTACATATTTCGGCTGAGTTCTCCTCTCAAACAGAAAACACTTCCATCGTGTGATACAGGTAGTGCTCCACTGTGTTTTTAAACTTTATACATAAAATCTTTTGGATGATTTCAGCTCTGTAGCTGTTGACTTGAAAACTACCATTACCGTATTTTCCGCACTATACGGCGCTCTGGATTATAATATCATTAAATGGTCTATTTTTGAACTTTTTTCACAAATAAACCGCACCGGACTTTAAAGGAAACACAACAGTTGGATGGGTCAGTGGTTTTGTTTGTTTGTGTCGTTCACGGTGACTCTGGGCTTTGTTCAGTTGTGGCGTGTAGGGAGGGTGCTGTCTGGGACCAACGGATTGTCGGCGTGTTCGCAGTGACTCAGTTGTTCAGTCGTGTCTAGAAGTGGCACATTGCACTCGCTTTTTCGGTTCGTTCCTCTGTTCCGTTCCTCGTCGGCGTGGAGTGATGAGTGTGTCTGTGGGTGTTTTTCTCTGTGCGGTCGCTGTCTGCTCCGTGTGTGTTTGCGTGCTCTGCGGGTGGTGCAGCTTTGTAGTTTACTGAAGTCGTGCTGGGACACCCGAGTGGATTTGTGTATGGGGCGCTCTGGATTGTGCGGCGCGCGGTCGTTTTTTGATGAGGTCAGAGGCTTAAGAGCGCATCTAATAGCCCAGAAAATACGGTACTTGGGGTGGGACGAGACACAATTTTCACGAGACGAGACACACCACGAAACTAGGTCCACGAGAACGAGACAAGACGAGATTTTTACATAATTCGTGCAACCATTTCACAATGTTGGCTTCATTTATTTTATGTAACAAAAACACTTTAGCGGTCATTTGTACTACTGCTTTTTGGAACGACAGCTTCTCAAACTGCATAACTCATCAGCTTTTAACAGTTTTTGTTGTTTTTTGTCCAAGCCAAAGGTCATTTCGATCATCATGTGTGCACAGTCTTGTGGCAATTTTGTCTCATGAGATCTTGTCCCATTCCTAACCACTACATGACATCACAAGGTGGACCACTGTGAGCTTTGAGGAACATGTGTGAATGAAACAAAACAAACAAAACACAACTCCAGGTATGTTTTTGAGGAGGTAACAGCACTCTAAGATGGCTAAAAGCTCACAAGAGTCAAGTTTGTGTAACATTTAATGAATCAGCACAGAAAACCTTTGTTCTATTTCTCAACCACAAGACGAACCATAACAAGCTGCACAGTTTTTAGACTCTTCTGGACACATGACCTCAGCAGACCAAAGCTCAAAGTCATAAAATAAGAACTATCGAATGACACTGGATCTCTCTGTATAAGGATTGTAAAAAAAAAAGGAGATACCTAGAAGCCAAAAAACAACAACTATCAAAACTAGAAACGTATCTGTAGTACCAATACTAAAAAAAAAGCACTGATAGGACAAAACTGGACCTTTCGTAAACTTTTATAGCCTGGTCTTTGCATTTATCAGGACATTAAAACAAGAAAGAAAATACTTGTGGGAAGAGCTGAGCGTCTTGGAGGCAACAGCTCAGAATTTTTAGGTTTTATAAACATAATAAAAATGTCCATTCGCATCAGTTTATTGAAAGGCTTTGAAAATTACCGAAATGGGGACTTTACTGTCACACTATTGTTGTTTTGTTTTGAAATGAATTATCCCGGATTGTGTGTGTGTGTGTGTGTGTGTGTGAGTGCGTGTTAGTGTGCGTGTGTGTGCTTACAGTGATGGTTTGATGCACTCGTCTATTACTGTTAACAATACTAGAATACTAAAATCAACTTTAAATTTGACTCTAGTTTAGTCCAAATGTAGACAAGATTTGGTCCTATTTTATCCCTGGTTTAATCGTGGTTTAGTCCTGGTTTAGTCCTGGTTTAGCCCTGGTTTAGCCCTGGTTTAGCCCTGGTGTAGCCCTGGTTAGCCCTGGTGTTAGACCTGGTTAGACCTGGTGTAGACCTGGTTAGACCCTGGTTAGTCCTGGTTTAGTCCTGGTTTAGTCCTGGTTTAGTCCTGGTTGAGCCCGGATTGAGCCCGGATTGAGCCCGGATTGAGCCCGGATTGAGCCCGGATTGAGCCCTAGTTTAGACCTTGTTTAGACCTTGTTTAGATCTTGTTTAGATCTTGTTTGCCCGGGTTTAGTCCGGGTTTAGCCCTGGTTTAGCCCTGGTTTAGCCCCGGTTTAGCCCCGGTTTAGCCCCGGTTTAGCCCTAGTTTAGCCCTAGTTTAGCCCTGGTTTAGATCTTGTTTAGATCTTGTTTGCCCGGGTTTAGTCCGGGTTTAGTCCCAGTTTAGCCCTAGTTTAGACCTAGTTTAGCCCTGGTTTAGTCCTGGTTTAATTCCATGTTTAGTTCTATGTTTAATTCCAGTTTCAATTTCAACTTTAAATAAAACGAAAGAAAGAAAATGACTATTGCCTAAAAACATTGTGTGTGTTTTTATTCTCTCTGTTTTCCTCAGTACTGATGTTGTGTTTTCATTTTTAATACCGCTTTAATAACACTACTGAGTACACAATAATAAAACTGAACCCAATATGAGTCAGTGAGCCACCAAAAAGCTCTTCGTAGAACGTAGTTTAGCTTCATTTTGCCTGTTCAAGTGTCACGGGGAAGAGCTTGGGGGAAGTTGGTCACTTTGTTTTTCACAGTGTAACGCCACAAAACAGACCAGTGTGAAGCCAGATAACACAGGAAACCACAACCGCCACAGTCTATCTCCTCTAATGTTTGTGCATTTAGCTGCTATAATGTAAAGTAGTGACCAAAACAAACACTATAACTGAGCTTCGGGGCCGTGTAATTCGATTCATTTCGAGCTCCGGGCGTTTGTAATGGTCAACAATCAGCCTGGCTCTTTTTAATCAGGAAAAATGTGTGGTTTAGAGCAGAGGGGAGACTTTTGGAGGCAGAAATGTGGCTATTTTGTGTGTTTTTTGTAACTTTTTGATTATGGAGATGTCTTTGCTCTGCCTGGAATTTTCCACAGTGTGATATTAAACAGCTCTATCATAAATGTATTCAATTACTGGTGGTTTTACAGCTCAAAAATACCTACAAAAACAACTACTCTGACTAGGAACGGGCTTGCCTCGCCGCAGATCTGACCTGTAACTTGGTCTGGTTTGTTCTCCGTGAAAATACAAAGGTTTAACGAAACACTGTGAAACATTCCAGACAAAGTAATAAAATGTTCACGGAGAAAAGCATTTGACCAGAAAAGTTACACAATCTACCTTAAAGCGGGAATGAAAATGAAGAAATAAAATAAATTTAAAAAAAGCATTTTCATTTTTTTTAATAGTAATAGTGAAGGTCTAACAGTAATGTAGATGGACAAATACCGAAGATTTGCTAAACTGGACCTGACATGAATGAGAAAGTTGCAAAAATCAAACTATTAGTGTTACAAATATTCTGAGAAGAGGCATTACTACAATTTTATAATTACTGAATTTCTTTTTTTTTTTTCCAATATATTTTTCATTCCCTTACATTCACATTGTCTAATAGAGCAGCACTCGTCTAGTCTGTGAGCAGCTTTATCAAATCAAACTTTATGAATGAGCAACTTAAATTAATCTTTTATTATTATTCATTTATTTATTTCAGTCACAGGTATATTTTGACATTAATTCATAAACAGTCATATTTAACATATATAATCTCATAAATACGATCAGAAAAAAAGCTATTTATTTTTACCACAACTTGTTGTTTTGAAGTCGAAGATATGCAAAATTACAAAACATTGAGTATTTAACTGTATAGCCAGGCTGGAACCACCTAGTGCCTCCGCTCAATTAATTTTTCTCCAGCGATTAGATCAGGAATCAGAATACACTAGACAGTTCACAAAAACCAAGAGCCATATATTAGGGTGACCAAACGTCCGTTTTTCCCCAGACATGTCAATTTTTTGCGTCCTCTCCTGGGCATCCGTTTTTTTGTTTTTGTTTTTTAAGTGATGGAAATGTCTGGGTTTTCATTGCCGTTCATTGGGGCCATTAAACTGAGTGTCTCTTGTAGCTCTCTGTGACTCAGAAGGAGCGAGCAGACACAAACAGTCGGTCAGCCTGCAACATGCCGAAGTACAAATGTGCATTTAACAATGACTTGCACAAGAAATTCTCCATTTTCGGTCCCGGTCAGGACAAGTGGGAGTCCACATGCACAGTTTGCAAGGTGAGAGTAGCTGAATGTCGAGGTCCAATCCCCCACCCCCGGTAAGGTGTCCGGGTTTTCACAAACGGAAATATGGTCACCCAACCATACATTCTTTGTTGGCAACGATTCCCAAGATCAAGGATTTAAAGCCGGATTAAAGAGAATGTTTGGTGAATTTTATCAAGGGGAAAGACGTTATTGTCCTTCTTCCTACGGGATTTGGGAAAAGCTTAAAGGTTGTATAGAGGATTTTTTAAGGGAGGTGAAATACAGCGACAGTTCTTTTTCAAATGTTGTGCATATGTGACACCACCTCCCTCCTCCACAGCCTCAGTACAAACACCTCCTCCCGCCTCTTTACTCTACAAATCACGTTTGTTTACATCCAGTGCGTGTTCAGAATTACAGTTGAAGTGACCTGCCTAGAAATAATTCAGCGACCGACGCGTCAGTTTTTAGACCCTTCGGACTTTCTTTTGCGGCGAACTTGTCGTGGATTCTCGTCCGCCATCGCAACAAACTTTGTGCGAATTGCGAGGAAGCTACAGCTTGAAAAAGCCCCTAAGAACCGCTGCATAAACCATGTAATCCCTGAGCGCCGGCGAGTCAGTTACACAAAAAATGAAGGGAGTTTGATTGACAACCTAACAGCCAGTAGATAAAGAGGGAGCCTCGTTTTCTATTGGCTGATGTTTATCTGGCCTCACTACGTCCACAGTTGATAGATTTTCATTCTTTTTTTTTTCGGTCATCATAATTACAAGGCTGCTGTGTCTCTGTAATGGTACTTTAAACTTTCAATGACAATTTGAAACATAAACGTTAAAATACGAAGTAAAACGGAGTAATAGTACATAGAGTCTATAATTAAAACTATTCAAAATTACTAGAAAAAGAGACTAAACCTATAAATATCATAAGGTTAAGGTTTACTTTTGGGTTTCATTTTTTGCGCCTCACAATTATTATTTATTCATTGACTGTGAATAATAATAGTATTGATTGATTCACAGCTCTGTACCTTGCTCAGCTGCCTTGAGTTTGGTCTCCTCTATCCTCTGCAGCTCCCTCTGTCGAGCCTCCAAGAACTGCTTTTCCTCCTTCTCCGCGTCATATTTTATACCTGGAAACACACACAAATCAAGCTTTATTACACATTTTAAAGCACTTCATAAATACTGCATAGGTGCTACTACTTTTTGCGTAATAACTTTTCTGGTGGAGTGTCTGCTACCATCTGACTCCATGGAAATTTTATTGCTTTGCCCGGAACAGTATGTGATTAAACTTTTCTATTTGGCATTTATTCACTATCATGTGGTTTTAATTGCAAAAACAATACACACATTGTTACTGCGAGAGGGCTCGCCTCTCCACAGATCTGTAACTAGGCCTGGTAGCGTCACCTGTTTGTCTCTTTTTGTAATTTTAACATTTCAGGCAACACAATAACATCCAAAAACTTTCATTGTACAGCTTTAAATGAGACAATTATGAATGCCCAAGAAGTAAGAACTAATAAATATTTTGTTTAATTTCAAAATTGTAAATGGAGTTAAATTACAAACACAAAAGCCACTGATTACACATCATCTACAATCTTATATTAATACATGCATCATGAATTTTGGACGTCCGGTCACTGTGTAATACATACTGGGAAGGATTTTCTTAAAAACTGAGCATCAAACCACCATGTTTGTTTTTCCAGTGGGATGTGTCTATTGGCAAAATCGATCTTTTCAAGTCTTTTGAACCATATCACTTTTGTTTCTGTTTCTGATATTGTCATATTTTAGTTTTGGCATTCGGACATCGTAATTCTGTGGTTGTTGGATCCTAACAGCGGAAAACGGCTCGAGAAATGGGCTTTGGAAGTTTGCAAACTCCATAAACGCAAATGGGAATCAGATCTGTGTGAATCTATGTGAAACCTCCGTTCAAACTGTTTCTCTTTCCAACGGAATTGAAAAATAGTGACAGGTGAAGGCGATGGGCAGGATTGATCCACAGGAAGAACCAAAAAGGAAACATTTGGCTGCCTAAGAAATCATCCCGAGTTTGCAGCGAATATTTTGTATGTGGAGCGACGGCTAAGCAAAATCCTGTTTGTTAATCGAGAGGCACAGAAGACAAACAGACTGAGCTGCACTTTCTTGTTCTTGTGGTTTTACAGCAACATCACGTCTTGGTCGCTTTGCAGTCGAAGTTGTTTCTTGGTGAACAGTTGGAGCCTTTCACTTCGGCGTTGACTTTTTAAATTCATAACCAAGATTGAGTGAGGGATCAGGATTTTGTTTAGTTGACGCTCCACATACAAAATGTTCGCTACAAACTCGGGATGATTTCTTAGGCAGCCAGAGGTTTCCTTTTTGGTCCTTCCTGTGGATCAATCCTGCCCATCACCTTCACCTTTCACTATTTTTCAATTCCGTTGGGAAGAGAAACAGTTTGAACGGAGGTTTGCAGTCACACACATCTGATTCACTTTTGCATTTATGGAGTTCATAAACACATTTCTCAAGCCGTTTTCCACTGTTAGGATCCAACAACCACACAATTACGATGTCCGAATCCCAAAACTAAAATATGACAATATCAGAACCAGAAACAAAAGTGATATGGTTCAAAAGACTTGAAAAGATCGACTTTGACAATAGACACATCCCACTAGGTAAACAAACATGGAGGTTTGATGCTCGCTTTTTCAGAAAATCCTTCCCAGTATGCATTGCGCGATGACCTGAAGTCCGAAATTCGTGATGCATCTATTGAACTTACTTGCTGTGGGGACTATGAGGAGGTAGACCCCATCGAGTGTAGCTTCCACCGACTGTGTGTAAAGATTCTTCCAGGGAATTTTAAGCTCCAAACGTCCTACAAACACATTCAAAATTATTAGTTAAATGAATGCAAATATTATCATTTTTCCGTGCACTTTCTTACCTATGTGCCCAGCTTTTACTTTAAAGGGAATGTCAAGCTGACTCTGAAAGAAATGAAAAATGTGTTACCACTTACAGTATATTGGTTACGTCCAGGTTTGAGTCTGGTTTCGTAGACTTGGTCCTGGTTTAGTTCTGGGTTTAGTCTCACCATTAATTTGTTGTAAGAGTGAGCACCAGCACAGCATTAGTCAGTGTTCTATTAATATTGTATTAGCTCTTTGTTATTAATGTAAACAACCTCTGCTCTGTGTTCCTAAATTGCATTTTGAGTTACTGTCCAAGTAATTTCCCTTGTGGTCACGGATCGATATTTTTGCCCGAGGCTGTGTCTAAAATTGTCCTGGTTTGATTCCAGTTTAGTCCGGATATATATATATATTATATATATATATATATATATATATATATATATATATGGGTTGGTCCTGATTTGAGGCTAGTTCAGTCTTTATCTAGTCCTGGTTTAGTCCTGGTTTAGTCCTGGTTTAGTCCTAGTTAAGCTCTGGTTTAGTCCTGGTTCAGCCATTGTTTAGCCCTTGTTTAGTCCTGGTTTAGTCCTGGTTTAGTCCTGGTTTAGTCCTGGTTTAGTCCTTTTTAGCCAGGGTTTAGTCTTGGTTTAGTCGTGGTTTAGTCCTTTTTAGCCAGGGTTTAGTCTTGGTTTAGTCGTGGTTTAGCCCTTGTTTAGTCCTGGTTTAGTCCTGGTTTAGTCCTTTTTAGCCAGGGTTTAGTCCTGGTTTAGTCCTGGTTTAGTCCTGGTTTAGTCATGGTTTAGTCAGGTTTAGTCACAATTTTGATATGGCCCTGGTTTAGCCCAGATTTTATTCTAGTTTAGTCCTGATATAGACTAGGTTTGGTCCTGTTCTAGCCCAGGTTTAGTCCTGGTTTAGCCCTGGTTAAGCCCTGGTTTAGTCCTGATTTAGTTTCAAGTTTAGTCATGGTTTAGTCAGCATTTTGATATGACTCTGGTGTGGCCTAAATTTGATTCTAGTTTCGTCTTGATGTAGGCTAGGTGTAGTTCTGTGCTAGACCTGGTTTATTTATTTATTTGTTTATTTATTTGCTTTGCAGTATGCAGTATTTAATTTAATTTTAGTCCTAGTTTAGTCCTGGTTTAGTCCTTTTTTAGTCCTAGTTTAGTCGTAGTTTAGTCCTGGTTTAGTCCTAGTTTAGTTCCAGTTTCGATATGATGTGTACCTACCAGAGCATTTTCCTTGATTTCAAGATTTTTAAGAATGGCATCACCTGTGAACAGAATACATTTGGTTAAGAAAGGTTACTGCTATCACCAGCACCACCAGCACCACCAGCACTACTACTACTGAGCATATTTAGGAACGAGACCCGTAAACACAGAGCTATCTTCAGGTCTTTGCTTTCTGTCATGTGACTTGACTTCTACCCCAGTGAACTACAATAATGATCCATAATGTCTAAACAGCAAAGTCCAATTTACTTTCAACCAAAACAAAATGTGATCATTCTTAACCACCCAACACCAAAAACTCAAATTTTGTGTTTAAATGCACCTGTAGTTTTTCCTTGTACTACTTTCTATGCATGTTTTATTACTTTTTTGTTTCGCTTTCTATTTTTGTTAACAACCAGCACGTGTAATCAAAAATGGTAACTTTGAGCTATAGAATAATGTATAAAAATCACTAAACAAACACAAGCCAGAGGGGGTGGATGTAGCTCGACGTGACATGACACTTGCACGTTTCAGCTTGTTTACAATGGCATTCTGACGCCTGTCCTCCAATTCAAGGCAAATTTCTGGGTAGTCTTCTTCCCGGAGGAGCTGAAATAGAAGCCTACAGTGATCTCAGAGTCTCGCTGTGTAAAAAAAAAAAAGGGTGTGACCCAGAACTACCTATTTGTGCTTACAGTCTATGGTCCAGTGTAAACCTACTTGGGAAGCAGCAACACACTCCAAGTCCACAAATGCACACAGAAAACGCAATCACGTACCAATCTATGATCATGTCTGAATGAATACGCGTTGGTAATGTTTGAAAATGACAATAGGAAGTGGAGCAGAAGTGATTTAAGGACAAACTGACACTGACAGCTGAAGGAGGGAGCCGCTCGGGTGACTGCTCCGCTCCTCGTTAGCTCCAATGCAGGTAGCACGTTAGCTTGTTAGCATGTGTCACTAGTTTCACGTTTTGTTTCTTTTACCTCCCCAGATGCCGAGCTGCAGCTGTGACGAGTCGAGGTTCACCACGTAATCCCCCAGGAACCTGTTGAGGACGTCGACCACCACGCTCTCGAAAACCATGGTGTAATGTGCGCTGCTCTCATGGAAGCGTCATGTTGGACTACAGTGTTTACATCACAGGACTACAACTGCTCGGCTCACGGGCTGACGTGACGTGACGTACGGGGGGAGGGAGGGCGGTGCGTCACGACGTAAGGTGACCGCCCGCTGCTGCAACCATGGATCTATAATGAAAATGTTTTTTTTTTTTTTTTTATGTATATATATATATATATATATATATATATATATATATATATATATATATATATATATATATATATATATATATATATATATATATATATATATATTTCGACCATCGACCTCTCCGATCACCACCATCACACTCACGCACACACCACTTTCATACTAGGCAATGTATGAAATGACTTGCCCAAGGACAAGTATGAAGTGACTTGCCCAAGGACACAACAACAGTTTTTTTAATTTATTTATTTATTTTTTGAGACTGGCGCCCCCCTTATTTATATATTTATGTATTTATTTATTGTTATTATTATTTATTTATTTATTTATATATATATATATATATATATATATATATATATATATATATATATATATATATATATATATATATATATATATATATATATATATATATATATATATATATATATATCACATACCCATTCACACACCAGTGTACACAGACACTGGGGGCGAGGTGGGTTAAGTGTCTTGCCCTTGGACACAATGACAGCATTCATCTGTGGGAGCTGGAAACACAACAACCAAACTGTGTGTCAGTGGATCTGACCACTCAACGAAGGACGTTAATGTCAAGATCAGTGTACGCTCTTACCAAATGAACTACTGCCATTCTTTAATCTTAACTTCCCTTTATGTTTACTATACCACTGTGCTTCAATCTAATATGACACCGTTTCATTTAAAATTTTTTATGAATGAACTAGAGTCAGGCTCAGGTGAAAAGAGCAGAAGCCGTTTGGAGAATGCAGGGTCCTCGCAAGTGTCTTTATGCTCCAACACAGTCTATTTTTTGCCTAAAAAGTTACATACTATAGCTTTAAAGTACATTTAAAACCACTATTTATCAAATAACAAAACATGAATAAGTTTGAAGGTTTATTGTGTGACCTGTTGAGTAAAGCACTCACAATGTAAACAGCACCGTTGAACTTTACATCGAACTAACAGCTGCTAATAATGTCACATCATATAGGATAACAGCTATGTTATAAATGTAATATTTACTATTTACACAATGTTTTACATTCATTTAAAGTATTTAGAGTGGAAGTAAATGGTTTCTTAATAACAGCATAAAGAAGCATAATATTATAGGTCAGTGGTTCTCAAACCTCTGGTCAAACTGAAGCTCTTCTTCAGTTTTGAAAGCTTCCAGTTTGAGTCAGTTTTATCCACATTTTTATTTTCTTCTGGGATGATCCTCATTTGGAACTGTAGCAATAACAGAACAAAGAAATGAAGATTATTATTTATTAAATTTGATATAGCTAGATCTAATTTAGACATGGAATAGTCCTGGTTTAGATCTGGTGGCACTCGGATGGCAACATATATTATTCTAGTTCTAATTTCCAGTTCTTTGTGTGAAAAGTTTAAGAACCACGGTTAAACGGACAAACATTCATAATTTCTAACACAAATGACATCATAATATTGTACACTTTACGTATAATTCTACCAACACATGTTTCTTCTACTGCTTGTCAATGGGCAGCAGCTCTCTCAGTGGTTTAATGACCTCACCGACCAGGGCCCCTCTCCTGAGTCTAGCGCCCCCTGCAGTCTTATCCACCACCTTCACCCTGAGCTCCAGCCCCCTGAGCTCGCCCTCCTCCAGCTCCGTGAAGAAGAAGTCCTCGTTAAACCTGTACGTGACCCTGCTCTGCCTGATGACGGCGCTCCTCTGCCTCTGCCTCCTCCCGGGCATCAGGCACACGTGGAGGGCACAGCTGAGGGCCGACACCCGCTCCACAGACGCGACTCGGAGGCGGACGGTGCAGCCGGGCGACAGGGGGGCGGCGTGGGTGTGGTAGTGCTCGATGGAGAGGCGGATGGTCCCTCGTCCCTCCAGAGGAAGCTCGTGTTCTGTGGGCAGTCTGTCCCAGCAGCGCAGCACGTCCAGGGGGAAGAGCAGCGGGGGGCACAGGCCTGCGGGGCTCCTCTGGATCTGAACCAGAACATGTGAGAGACGTTTATACAATCACTTTATTTGACTCTGACCGGTCCTTTTAAGATAATTTGGAATTACAAATTAAACATTATTTTATCTCATGCATGGACTAAAGCTGCACTGTTTTAATAAAAAGTGTAAGTGCGTTTTGGTGTTGCCAAAAAAAAAAAAACAAACAAACAAAAGATATAAGGGAACAGAAAATATGTAAATGCAAATTTGATTTAACAGCCCTAAAATGTAAATACACACATGCAAACACTGCACTGAGAAACTCTCGACTACAAACATTCATTCATTTGTTTTTTTCAAAGTAAAATGAAAAAAAAAAGAAAATGAAAAAACAACTGTTTTCTTCATTATTTGTCTCCAAAACCAAAATGAAAAAAACAGATAATGATTCATTTTTTCAGTTAAAACAAAACTAAAACAAGATTAAAACAGGACTGAACCAGGACTAAAACAGAACTGAACCAGGACTGAACCAGGACTAAAACAGAACTAAACCAGGACTAAACAAGAACTAAAACAGGACTGAACCAGGACTAAAACAGAACTACACCAGGACTAAACAAGGACTAAAACAGGACTGAACCAGGACTGAACCAAGACTAAAACAGGACTGAACCAGGACTAAACCAAGACTAAAACAGGACTGAACCAGGACTAAACCAGGACTAAAACAGGACTGAACCAGGACTAAACCAAGACTAAAACAGGACTGAACCAGGACTGAACCAAGACCAAAACAGGACTGAACCAGGACTAAACCAAGACTGAACCAGGACTGAACCAGGACTAAACCAGGACTAAAACAGGACTAAAACAGGACTGAACCAAGACTAAAACAGGACTAAAACAGGACTGAACCGGGACTGAACCGGGACTGAACCAAGACTAAAACAGGACTAAAACAGGACTGAGCCAGGACTAAACCAAGACTAAAACCGAACTAAAACCGAACTAAAACCGGACTAAAACAGGACTGAACCAGGAATGAACCAGGACTAAACTAGTCTCAGTCCTGGGCTTAGTCCTGGTCCCAGTCTCTGTCCCGGTCTGGTCCCGGTCTCAGTCCTGGTCACCTGGCAGTCTACGTGGGCGCACCTCTGGGCCAGTCCCTACACTCCTGGTTCAGTCTTGATTTAGTCCTGGTTCAGTCCGGGTTCAGTCCTGCAGTTTAAGTCATGAAAACTGAAAATCCTTTATCCGTTTTTTCACTTTGGTTTTGGAGACAAATAATGAAAAGAACTGTTGTTTTTTTGTTTTCTTATTTTTAATTTTATTTTGAAAAACGAATGAACCAATGACACGCAGATGCTCTCACCTGTGTTAGGGCGGGGCACGAGGCCGAGCCCCGGAGCATGCTGGGAGACGCCAGGGGGGACGAGCCACTGGACGAGGGGCCTTCACACACCGACGACACGGACCCGGACTGAGGGGCCACCGCGCCGCTAATCGCCCCCGCCGCTCTGAGCCCAGGAGGGGGGGTACCCGGGCTGCGGTCAAACAGGTAGAGCGGGCGTCTGGCGTGGAACAGCGACTCTTTACGTCTGGTGTTGGGGCGCTCGTAGAGACCCAGACTCTCGGGTCGGACGGGTCTCTCCGGGTGGGGTTTGTGGGGTCGGTGGGGTCTGTGGGGCGGGTCCGGGTGGGTGAGGGGCAGGGAGGGGCTCTTGCACAGTCGGGGGGGTAAACAGAACTCTGGGATCTGCTCTGGAGTGATGATGTTCTGATGGAGGCGGCGAGAAGATCCGGACGCCTCGGGTTTGTCCAGGAAAAAGCTCCAGTCCAAAGACACGGTGTCCTTCAACTTCTCCAGAACCCACATCCTGAAACCAAACCGTGGAAGAAAAATACTCAATAGTGCAGCTAAAAATTATGACATTCTGCAAGTGTAATCCAACCAGGAGTACTTGGAATGGTTTCAACTTTTAAAACAGAGTGAAATTCAATAGTATTTGAGTTTAGTTGACTCCTGCCCTCCAGTTGAAATACGACATAATCACACTTCTGTTTTACTCATTACAACAATGTTGGTAAAAAGTCCACACTTTCTAGACTCACCTGAAAATTCACTCTGGTCTTCGTTCTCTGGTGTCTGGTCTTCGGTCTCTGGTCTTCTTTGAGGGCTATTTTCGATCTCTGGTCTCTGGTCTGGTTTTTAATTGGATCTCTGATCTCTAGTATCTGGTCTCTGGTTGCTGGTCTCTGGTCTTTAGTCCAGTCTCTGGTCTCTGGTCTCTAGTCTCTGGTCTCTGGTCTGTGGTCTCTGATCTCTGGTCTCTGGTCTCTGGTCTTTAGTCCAGTCTCTGGTCTCTGGTCTCTGGTCTCTGGTCTCTAGTCTCTGGTCTCTGGTCTGTAGTTTCTGGTCTAGTCTCTGGTCTCTGATCTCTAGTCTCTGGTCTCTGGTCTCTGGTCTCTGGTCTCTGGTTGTTGGTCTCTGGTCTTTAGTCCAGTCTCTAGTCTCTGGTCTCTGGTCTCTCTGGTCTCTGGTCTCTGGTCTCTAGTCTCTGGTCTCTGGTCTCTGGTCTCTGGTCTCTTAGTCTCAGTCTCTGGTCTCTAGTCTCTGGTCTCTGGTCTGTAGTTTCTGGTCTAGTGGTCTCTGGTCTCTGGTCTCTGGTCTCTGGTCTCTGGTCTCTGGTTGCTGGTCTCTGGTCTTTAGTCCAGTCTCTAGTCTCTGGTCTCTGGTCTCTGGTCTCTGGTCTCTAGTCTCTAGTCTCTAGTCTCTGGTCTCTGGTCTCTGGTCTCTGGTCTCTGGTCTCTGGTCTCTGGTCTCTCTGGTCTCTGGTCTCTGGTCTCTGGTCTCTGGTCTCTGGTCTCTGGTCTCTGATCTCTAGTCTCTGGTCTCTGATCTCTAGTCTCTGGTCTCTGGTCTCTGGTCTCTGGTCTCTGGTCTCTGGTCTGGTCTCAGGTCTCTAGTCTGGTCTGTTTCAGGTCTGGGGTCTTGCGTGTGCCTCTGGTCTTTATATAGCCCTCGGTCTCTGCCCACGCCTGAGTCACAATCGTTTTCTCCGCTTCACCGACCCCAAAACAAGTGACTCTGAAAATCTACAGCCGATAAAATAACTCAAATTTAACCTATAAATCTGTCTTTAAAATGTCTTAATCTGCATATTCTGAATGAAGTATTTAAGTATTTTAACTTTATTCATGTAGTCAACAATTGGTTCAATCCCAAAAACAGGATTACTGCATTTTGATACATTTTACCAGAATTAGACCTATTTTTATTTTCTTCTCTTGAAAATATTGGTATATAAAGAGTTCAGTGTAAAGCTTCTCAATACTTTTTAAACTGGACTTGTATCTGGTTTTACAAATGAACTCTTCTGTACTCAGTGTTGGGGAGTAACAGATTAGAGTAACTGTATTCAGTTACAGTTACTGTTTCAGTGAGTGGTAATTGGATTACAGTTACTTTTGTCATGGTTCATGTTTTGTAGTGGTTGTAGTTTGTGTTTTATTTTGACATTTGTCCTGTCACCTTGTATTTTTGAGTTTTACTTCCTGTCTTGATTGTTTGCCCCGCCCTAATGTGTTTCACCTGTGTCTATGTGTTTGCATTTATACCCTGTGTTCTCCTCTGCCCTTGGTTGGTCCATTGTCTCTGTCCGAGTGTCTCTGTGTCTCTTGTCATGGCAATTTAGTCTTGAGTTTTGGATTTTTTGATTTGACATTAAATATTTTTGAAGCAGTCCTGCATTTTGGGTCCTCCCTCTGTTTCCACGTGACAACTTTGTTGAAATAAATGGATTACACAGAGGTATTTTCCTGTCACATTTTCATGTTTGGGCTAAATCCCACGTCTGCCTTCAGTACAGCGTAGACATGCAGGTCTACTGTGTGCCTCTAACCAGGACTAAAACCAGGACTAAACCAGGACTAAACCAGTCCAGGACTAAACCAGGCCTAAACTAAGACTAAAACCAGGTTTAAACCAGGACTAAACCAGGACTAAAAGTAGGACTAAACCAGGTCTAAACCAGGACTAAACCAGGCCTAAACTAAGACTAAAACCAGGAATAAACCAGGACTAAACCAGGACTAAACTAGGACTAAACTAGGTCCTAAACCAGGATTAAACCAGGCCTAAACTAAGACTAAAACCAGGTTTAAACCAGGATTAAACCAGGCCTAAACTAAGACTAAAACCAGGTTTAAACCAGGACTAAAACCAGGACTAAACCAGGACTGAACCACGACTCAACTAGGACTAAAACCAGAAGTAAACCAGGACTAAACCAGGACTAAACTAGGCCTAAACTAGGTCTAAACCAAGACTAAAACCAGGACTAAAACCAGGACTAAACCAGGACTAAACTAGGTCTAAACCAGGACTAAAACCAGGACTAAACCAGGACTAAACTAGGTCTAAACCAGGACTAAAACCAGGACTAAAACCAGAACTAAACCAGGACTAAACCAGGACTAAACTAGGTCTAAACCAGGACTAAAACCAGAACTAAACCAGGACTAAACCAGGACTAAACTAGGTCTAAACCAGGACTAAAACCAGAACTAAACCAGGACTAAACCAGGACTAGAACTAAACCAGAACTAAACTAGGACTAAACTAGGAACTAAAACCAGGACTAAACATCTTATGTTAAGATTTCCTAGTCTTTGCTACTTTACAGTAAACAGTTGCTTATTCATGGAGATTTGGGTTCAACAGCCAATTTGAAGAGAACAAACAAGAATTTTCAGGATGTGGTCGCTGCATTCATGTACTTTTAAAAAACAGGACAATATCAAGTAATCCAAAGTATTCAGATTACGTTACTCCCCTTAAGTAACTTCATGGATTATGTTACAAACTACATTTTGGTGTATGTAATCTGTAATCTGTAATCTGTAGGGGAATACATTTTAAAAGTCACCTTCACAACACTGTCTGTAGTAAGAAAATAATGACTCTGTATGTTTTAAAAAGTGCAGGTTTCATTTACTCTCACATTTAAATACAATAATACTTTAGATTCACTGACACACTCTTGTTGGTTGGTTTGTCCTTTGCAGTGGACGGTGCGAGCGCTCTGATCACACACTGACCTCTGCAGTTCAAAGCCTGACCACAGGGGGCACCGCGGGGGGCCTCGCTCCTCTGGGGACTCACCTTTAGCTCAGGGGCCACTCGCAGCAGGAGCTCGACTCACCTAAACCAGGTCAGACCCTCTCAGGGGTTTATACGAGGGTTTAAAATGATGGGAAATGACGCTGTTACCATAGCGATTAAATAAACAAAATATTAACTATATCTTTTAAAGGGGGAAACTTTCTGAAACTGTGAGGTTAAGTTAGGACAGAAACAGGACAGGTGAGGACAGGAAGCTGAAACAGGTGAAAAGTACTACTGACTACCACCACTAGAGGGCACACTTGTATTTCCTTAAACAAACTGTACGGAATTAGGCTCATTTATTTTCTTATGTTTTTTTTTTTTTTTTAGAAGAAGCGTTAAAACCTGTATTTTTTTTATTGAAATGTTTATAATATCTAGTTTTTCATTTATTCAATATCGGTCCTGGTGTTTAGTTTTTGTTAAATGTTTTTTAAATGAATTATAATACTTTTATAAACACTGTTCACCATTCATTCACTTCATTTATAATCACACCTGCCCCTGTTTTAAATGTTTGTCTGTTTTACTGTTTTGTTTGTTTCGTTTGAACTGTCTAAGCTCATGAAAAAGAGAGTCTGGTCCACTCACCGGACTCTCTCTGTATAAATGAAGAAAATTAAAAATCCTCACTCTTTTTCACAGCTCTGTCCTACAAAAGGCCCAACGCTGTAACATCATGTTTGGTCAGAAATGGGTTCAAGTCATTTTGTTTGTATTTGAGACCTCCTTTATTGTGTGAATAAATATCTTGAAAAATACTGAGCTCAAAATTGATCTTTGACCCTTATCTGTCAGTTCCTGTTCTCTGCCTTTGTATCATGAGCCAAAAATAAGGAGTCGTGCAAAGACAAAAGGCAATAACAGTGTATGTTTTGTTTGTGATTTTGTTAATATAGATATATTTTTTGTATTCAATGATTCTTAAATGATCTTTAATGTGAAAGTATTTTGTGTATTTATTCAAACTGTACACACTATACTGCAAAGTCATGTGTGTGTCAAACTGTGTAAGTGTCGCCGCACGATCCTCATCAGCACTAAACAGGAAATCCAAAGCTCTTCTACGTCATTTCAAACAAACTCCATGATGACTCGACCTTGGTGAGATGTTCTTATGGTAAATGGTCACATTTTTCTATAGCGCTTTTCCACCTTCAAGTCACTCAAAGCGCTTAACATCAAGGAACCACTCACCCATTCACACACACATTCACACACCAGTGTACGCAGACACTGTGGGCAAGGTGGGTTAAGTGTCTTGCCCAAGGACACAACGACAGCATTCATCTGTGGGAGCTGGAATCACACCAGCCAACCTGTGGGTCAGTGGATCTGACCGCTCAACCTGTGATGTTTTATGTCGAGAGCTGGAATCGAACCGCCAACCTTCAGATCAGTGGACTTATAATGGATGAAAGTCAAAATCAAGCAAATAATAACGATGTCAGTTTCTGCCTTTTGTCTTTGCACGTCTCCTTATTTTTGACTCATGATACAAAGGCAGAGAACAGGAACTGACAAATAAGAGTCAAAGGTAGATATTTTCCCGCATACAAATATTTCTTCATTATAGCAACTAGTTGTCAAATTTTAGGAGACCTACCTATTGTACTTTTGTCTGGACAAAACAAAAACTCTGAAGTCATTTTTCTCAGTTTCACACTCTGGTGAGTTAAGGTCTTTTACTTTTGTAGGGGCAGACTGAC